GAAAATAAGAAATAACACACACATGAAGTATGCATGAATATTTTTGGGTTTAGTTTCTTTCTTCGATAAATGAAGAATACCTGGCTGTTCCGTTGCGCCGTCTTACCTCTTTTTATTGAAACTATAAGTGACAGCACCTTAGCTCCATATGTAGTGGCACCTCTATCCATGTCTCCTATAGTATGATACAAATCAAGTTCAACGGAAAGCTTTACACCACGTCTTTCACGCATCCCTACAACAGAATTTAGACCGAGAAACTTGGAATGAGGAATCGTATAACAGTATTTTTAGTGATGATCTCGCTTCTGTTTAGGAATGCGTGAAGGCCATGGTGCCAAGTCACTTCTAGTTTCGATTAGTGGAGGTCTGATGGCCCAACGGTATATCCAGGAAATACTGGAACCACAGTTTTGCCATTACTCCAAACGCTTGGAACACCTATTTTCTCACAAGATCATGAACCATTGAACATATGAAGAAAATTGACCTTTTTACCTCATCCTCTACAAGCACTAACAGCTTTTTGGAACCAAGTACAGCTAGCTTGGAATGAGATACCTCGATACCTCAAAAGGTCTAATCATCTGTTGAGAATGCCCCGACAACATCATTTCGGCTGGATCACATACGACTCAAGCTTGCACGAAAACATTTTGTCAGCAGCGCTTGCTGGGCAAAAAGTAGGCTATTTGTTTAGGGCTAAAAAGTAATTTCCTCATCATAACCTCCTCACTCTGTACAAGACCCAGATAAGACCTAGCCTCGGGTACTGCTCACATGTTTGGGGTTCTGTCCGATCACTCTTCGCTAACACACAGTCTAGGGATCCTTTTTTCTACTGCTATGTAACGGGCTTTGCTCTCAGAACTCCCGTGACTTCGATCTCAAATCCTAACCATGTCGAACTTCGTACATCCATAACTGGCTGATACGACCGCTTCTTTGTCCATAGGGTATCGAAATTGTGAAACAATCTACCCGAAGAGGCTTTTCCCAGTTCTACTAACCTTATACAATTCAAAAACCGGATTAACAAAGTTTCCTTTTAAGCCGCTGCGGTGCCCTGGTATTTAGGCATCAGTATACGCGGCTGCTTCGTTATAAAAAAAGCATGAAATGGCATCTTTCTATACTAGAAACTAGAAAAATGTCGATGATCGGCAACATATTTTCTTCCATGGTATACTTAGGCATTCCTTAACCCTATCACAGCATCTGAAATTCGTTCCATTTCCAATTCTCCTCACTACTTTACTTGCCTTCTTTAATACGGAGTTCACCATTAAAAGGCTTTTGAAAGACCCGGAATTCTTTATGTCCTTTTGTATTTTACAGACGCCATTACTAAACGATTTCGAATTACCTTTAGAAAAAGGGATGGTAGAGAGAGAACTAACGTCATGAACGTGTCCAGAATTTCACATCGCTATGAGAGAAGGTACACTCGCCTTCAGATAAATGCATTTCCTTGGCAGCAAAGAAAACTCGAAAGACGACGATAGCGTCTTGAAAATAAACCAACATTTCAGTTCACTTGACAATGTTGTAAGACGTAAAAGGTGTACCAAAAAGTTACAGCGTAACACTTTGCTGAAATTTGCATGTTGTGAGTATCCTGAATATCATCACTGATAGATTGGTGCAGTAATATTACACAGGGTAGCCGATAATTCAACCTATAATAATAATAATAATAAGCGATCATTGCTCAACAGTTTAACACAATTTACAGAGCAAACTACTATAAAAAAAATAAAATCACCATGAGGTAGCTTGTGAAGAAAAAAAAACAATAATAATTACAAGTTCATGTGTAAGAAACGTAAGATAAATCAATTGTGAGTACGCAATTTGCACTTCAATTCACCTATGCTACATAAGAATATGTCACATACATCGGCTATTTTATTCGCATTCACACACATCACGTTGACAATAAGTTTGTTTGAGCTCTTTGACATAAAAAAGGAACATTATACCTTGATGTTAGTCGTGGTACCAGAAACTGTACTTGTGAAAGTATTGTAGGTCAGTCTATTAGATTATGCAGTCATTTATATAAAACTACAACTGCTGATTGCTTACGCCGTTGTTCTAAGGATTGAGTGCCAAATTTATGAAGAAGGATGTTGTATTCTGTACCTCCAGTAGGATATATGCCATCAATCTTAAAACATGAAAATTTTAAAAAAATGTATATATGCTTTGTGTCTGTTTTTATCATAGTTTATTTATTATTATTTATTATTTATATTAGTTTATTGTTGCATAACTTTAAGATTCGATAGAACTTTTAAAATTAATGCATACAGTCTATATAAACATGGGTCGAAGAATGCGTGGCTTCCGAAATGCTACTTTCTAAAATCGTTTTTTTTTTAAATATTTCGAACAATATTTGATGTATAACAGTGTAAATTGGTATACAAGGGTTTTCTGGTACGTAAAATGAACCATGGGCATAGTTTTACTGTAGCCGCTAGAGGGCGCTCTCTACTATACCTGTAGTGTATTAAAATGACCGAAATTTTTTTCTTAGTGCAATTTTTTGCTTTTTGAATAAAAAAACTGATTCTTCGCACTCTTCAACATAAAAAAGCTCACTTGTGAATTTTCGTTATAGTTAGCCGTTTTTGAGATATTTCGATTTTTAAGGTTCGATGCATTTTTAATTATTTATGATAAAATAACGTTAAAAAGTCAGTATCTCGACAATTTTTAGAAGTAGGCTGTGCCTGCAAATATTTTTGAAATTGAAAGCAGAATAAGGTTAAACGTCAATTAGTTGACAGTTAGTTTTGTTGTCTGTTGAAACCTGAAACGTTTTTTTGCAATTGTGAATGCACGAAATTTAGTTTCTTTTACCTGTTTTTTTTTTGTGAGTTTTATAAGAATGCCATTTTTATTCTTTCTCCAATCAAGAGTTAGCGGATATTCATTTAGTGTATGGCTTTGTAAATGGAAACGCAGCAGAAGCAGCCAGAGAATACGCACGAAGATTTCCAAACAGACGACATCCAACTCGCTCAGTATTTGTAAGAGTGCATCGCCAAATAATTGAAAATGGTTTTGGAAATCTCCAAAGGGATCAAAACATAAATGTTCGCCAGCGCAGATTTACCCGTATGATTCTGCGTGAGTTTGATAGAGATCCGACCACAAGTGTTAGGAGAGTTTCTGGTGCCTTGCGAATTTCAGCAAGCCATGTTCACCGTGTTCTTAGAAATGACCATAGACGTCCTTACCATTTGCGACCTGTGCAAGGACTACAGCCAGGGGACGGAGAACGAAGAATCACATTTTGTCAGTTGATTCTTGATAGAACTGATAATAATAGGGAGTTTTTAAGTAACGTTTTATGGACCGATGAGTCATGCTTCACTAGACGTGGAGTGGTAAATTTTCATAATCAACATATTTGGTCGCATGAAAATCCGCATGCAGTTCGGGAAAGAAATTTTCAGCATGAATTTAGTGTGAACGTGTGGATTGGTATCTACCGTAATCGACTATTTGCCTGCAAGGTTAAATGCTGCGACCTTCTTGGAATTTTTAAAGGCTGAACATGCAAATATGTGGGATGATGTTATGTTAGATTTAAGAAGATTGGCCTGGTTCCAGCTTGATGGTTGTCCAGCTCATTATTCGAGAATAGTTAGAAACTGGCTGGACGAAAATTATCCAGAAAGATGGATCGGCCGTGGAGGACGAGTCGCCTGGCCTCCATGATCCCCTGACCTAAATCCATTAGATTTCTTTGTGTGGGATTTCTAAAAGAAAAAGTGTACCAGACTCCCGTAACCACAAGAGATATGCTAATAGACAGAATCAGGAATGCATGTGATGAAATAAGGCCTTATTTGAATAATGCTATACCACGTTCGATCATTCGTAGATGTGAATTGTGTATTGAACAATTGCATTTACATTTCGAGTAACTACTTTAGATTTTGTATGTTTGTCCTAACTATCCAATAGCATTTTAGTTGTAAATAATTAATTTAATTTGTTAAAAATAATATTGGAAGATTAAACAAATTAATATTCTGTTTTTTTGTGTTTATTTGGAGTTAGGAATTATTGCTGTGTTTAAAAACACAATCTAAACGGTTATCTTAATTACTTGTAATGCCCAAATCGAAAATGTAAAAAAAATAAAATTTTCCCATAAATAATTAAAAATGCATCGACCTTAAAAATCGAAATATCTCAAAAACGGCTAACTATAACGACAACTCACAGGAGAGCTTTTTATGCAGAAAAGTGCGAAGAATCAGTTTTTTATTCAAAAAGCAAAAAATTGCTCTAAGAAAAATTTTTCGGTCATTTTAATACACTACAGGTACAGTAGAGAGCGCCCTCTAGAGGCTACGGTAAAACTATGCCCATGGTTCGTTTTGTCGTACCAAAAAACCCTGGTATACTACCAATTTTCACTGTTATACATCAAATATTGTTCGAAATATTTAAAAAAAACTATTTTAGAAAGTAAATTTAAACACCCTGTATTTCGGAAGCCACGCATTTTTCGACCTATGTTTATATAGACTTTATGCATTAATTTTAAAAGTTCTGTCGAATCTTAAAGTTATGCAACAATAAACTGAAACACCCTGTAGTTTTGAAGTAGAAAGTGTAGCGACCACGCTAAACATTCGTAAATTTGGAGAAAAATGCCAAAACTGTAGAGTTTTGGCTTATAAAAAGTTTTAAATACATAGATACGTTCAACTTGAAATTTTAGTTATGTTCAACGCCGTTCCTGTTAGTGGAAATTATGAATTTTCATTTCTTTAATTGAATTCCAGATGAACACTTCAAAAATTCAATGCAAAACACTAAACTAATAAACTTTGCATGGGAAATACAACGTCCACCTATATTTGACATATTTCTTTTTACTGTACATTCAAGGCCAGTATGTCTGCCCTTACAGTTATTTGTTACATATTTTTACCACGCTTCCCATGATAATATAATCTACAGAACTGACAATACCCACATAATCGTATACATGAAATCATTGCCAAAGAACAATTTACGTTCGCTGACCGTACTTCCGTTATTGGTCATTTGAAAAAAGGAAATTTCGTTTGGATCACATCCGCAATTTGTGTCGCTCTAACCTACCGCTACCTGGTACAACCGTGTCGCGTTGTGTGATTTTTAAATATTGGGATTTTGCGATATGTGAGTGAATAGCAACTCAGTGTAAATGGCAGATTTACGGAAAACCATTTCATCCAGTACTGTGAGTATTGAATCTTGTGCCAAAACTTTTAGGACAAACGTTATTGACAACAAAGCGAAGTAGTTGCGTAAATATAGAGTTCAAATATTCTCAGATATATTTTCTGGAATTTGAGTTAGATTGAGGAAATGTTACATTATGAAATTTTGTTAAAACCAAGCTTTATCAAGCAACATGATTTTTTCCTACGTCCTATCGTATCGAAAATGATATACTTCAAAAATAATTGAAAACTTCAAGGACTTCAGATAGAAACTTTCTGTGAGGCTTTGATATCATTTTGCCCTTGATAAAAAAAATGTGTGTCGCTTTAGTATCACTGGATTTCTCCAAGACCTTTGATAGAATTGTTCACAAACTGTGTGCCAAACTGAAATTTTACGGTTTTGATAAAATAGCAGTGCAGTTAAAATCATACCTTAGTGCAAGACTCAGCGCGTCTGTTTCTGGGGTTTTGTCAAATGGTGTGTCTCAAGGCTCAATTTTACGCCGTTTGTTATTTTTAATTTATGTAGAAGCTTTAGCTAGGTCCATTCAAAATTCACAGCTACATTTTTATACGGGTGCTTTACTTCTTTTACCCTCAGGATCTTCAGAATGCAACTATGGAAATTAACAAGGGCATTGACTCTATTTGCACATATTCAGCCAATAACAACCTAACCATTAATGTTTCTAAATCTTCTGCTGTACTATGTTGTCCAAACCTCAGAAGAGATGTAGTCAAAGCGTCTTCAAGTATATGTATAAGTAATCAGAATCTTCCTTTTTCTGAACGTGTCAAGTGCCTGGGTGTGTTAATCGATGAAAATGTGTGGCTTCGTGAATATTTGAATAACCTCTTACAAAGAACTTATATAAATGTTAGAATTTTCTATGCGAACAGAAATTTGCTGATTTTTACAGTGCGAAGAAAGTTGCGTGAATCTTTTGTGTTATCAGTTTTTAATTAACTGCATACTGTTCATATTTAGCGTAAGAAAGTTTGCCCATGTTTCGGACCGTTATCCTATAATATGCCAGATTTAGTAAAATACAATTACCTAACCTTTATACGTAAATTACTTATGTCTGAAACTGCAATTTATTTTTAGATACAATGTTCATCAACGATCTATCAGTAACACATGTTCATTAACAATGCCCCTTCATAGTTCATCTCTTCTTAAACGGTCCTTCTCATACAATGCATGCGCGTTGAACAGTAGCTTGGATTATAGAACAAAAAGCCTGACTCTATACAGGGTGTTTCAGTTTATTGTTGCATAACTTTAAGATTCGATAGAACTTTTAAAATTAATGCATAAAGTCTATATAAACATGGGTGGAAAAATGCGTGGCTTCCGAAATACAGGGTGTTTAAATTTACTTTCTAAAATAGTTTTTTTTAAATATTTCGAACAATATTTGATGTATAACAGTGAAAATTGGTAGTATACCAGGGTTTTTTGGTACGACAAAACGAACCATTAGCATAGTTTTACTGTAGCCGCTAGAGGGCGCTCTCTACTGTGCCTGTAGTGTGTGAAAATGACCGAAAATTTTTTCTTAGTGCAATTTTTTTGCTTTTTGAATAAAAAAATGATTCTTCGCACTTTTCTGCATAAAAAAGCTCTCCTTTGAGTTTTCGTTATAGTTGGCCGTTTTTGAGATATTTCGATTTTTAAGGTTAGATGCATTTTTAATTATTTATGGGAAAATAATATTTTTTTTTACATTTTCGATTTGGGCATTACAAGTAATTAAGATGATCGTTTAGACTGGTCCTCCACGGCCGATCCATCTTTCTGCATAATTTTCGTCCAGCCAGTTTCTAACTATTCTCGAATAATGAGCTGGACAACCATCAAGCTGGAACCAGGCCAATCTTCTTAAATCTAACATAACATCATCCCACATATTTGCATGTTCAGCCTTTAAAAATTCCAAGAAGGTCGCAGCATTTAACCTTGCAGGCAAAAGGTAGGGTCCAAATAGTCGATTACGGTAGATACCAATCCACACGTTCACACTAAATTCATGCTGAAAATTTCTTTCCCGAACTGCATGCGGATTTTCATGCGACCAAATATGTTGATTATGAAAATTCACCACTACACGTCTAGTGAAGCATGACTCATCGGTCCATAAAACGTTACTTAAAAACTCCCTATTATTATCAGTTCTATCAAGAATCCACTGAAAAAATGTGATTATTTGTTCTCCGTCCCCTGGCTGTAGTCCTTGCACAGGTTGCAAACATGGCGCTGAAATTCCCAAGGCACCAGAAACTCTCCTAACACTTGTGGTCGGATCTCTATCAAACTCACGCAGAATCATACAGGTAAATCTGCGCTGACGAACATTTATGTTTTGATCCCTTTGGAGATTTCCAAAACCATTTTCAATTATTTGGCGATGCACTATTACAAATACTGAGCGAGATGGATGTCGTCTGTTTGGAAATCTTCGTCCGTATTCTCTGGCTGCTTCTGTTGCGTTTCCATTTACAAAGCCATACACAAAATGAATATCCGCTAACTCTTGATTGGAGAATAAAAATGACATTTTTATAAAACTTACAACAAAAACAACAGGTAAAAGAAACTAAATTTCGTGCATTCACAATTGCAAAAAAACGTTTCAGGTTTCAACAGACAACAAAACTAACTGTCAACTAATTGACGTTTAACCTTATTCTGCTTTCATTTCACTAATATTTGCACGCACAGCCTACTTCTAAAAATTATCGAGATACTGACTTTTTAACGTTATTTTATCATAAATAATTAAAAATGCATCGAACCTTGAAAATCGAAATATCTCAAAAACGGCTAACTATAACGAAAATACGCAAGAGAGCTTTTTTATGTTTAAAAGTGCGACGAATCAGTTTTTTTTATTCAAAAAGCAATAAATTGCACTAAGAAACATTTTTCGGTCATTTTAATACACTACACGTACAGTAGAGAGCGCCCTCTAGCGGCTGCAGTAAAACTATGCCCATGGTTCGTTTTGTCGTACCAAAAAACTCTTGTATACCAATTTTCACTGTTATACATCAAATATTGTTCGAAATATTTAAAAAAAACTATTTTAGAAAGTAAATTTAAACACCCTGTATTTCGGAAGCCACGCACCCTGTATAGTTTCAGAAAACATTTCAAGGCACTTAAGGGTTTTTTCTCCATCATATTTAGGTGGCGATCAGTTTCTTGCGCATTTTCCTCCTTTCAATTATGTGTAGTATAGCTGTACTTTTCTACCCTCAAATATATTTATGTCGTAAAAGGTGCAAGAATAGCTGTTATAGCTAAACTTCGCCATTGAGCTGCTCTCTAGTTTCGTTATAGGTAATACATGTATTATCTGTAATTAGTTTTTAATAAAAGACGGCTTTTTATTATTATTCGTTAATTCATCAGCTTTCAATAATATACGACCGCATAATATATCACTCTGTAAAATGAGTTTGGCAGCGAGCGACGAACGGGCCGACAAACTGACATACCGACAAAGACAGAAAAGTAATTAAAGAAACAAATATTTTCGCAATGACTATAATTTCACCATTTTGCACTTTGACTCTTCATTCCGAAAATTATAAATATAAAAATACCATATTTTTCGAAAACGTCAACGTATGTTTTTCTGGATAACTTAGGAGCACTGAAGTTGCTGATAGTATCTCAATACGGCGTTATACAGGGTGTTTTAAAAGTTGAGTCATATATTTTAACAGCTTGTAGAAGTGATCAAAAGAAATTGATATATCAAAAATCACCTATATAAAAGTTGAAATTGATATATCAAAAATCACCTATATAAAAGTTGCATAATGAAAGAGTTCAGATTAGTAAAAGTTATTTAAGAAAATCATTATCAAGTTAAATGGATACCGTTTTTACAAAAACTATTCAAAATTGTTCCCATTTGTTCGATTTTTCGAGCTTCGAAAATAAAATCCTAGTATCCATGAATTAAATCACAAGCATGCGCTGTTGAAGTTCTTCCAGAGTATTTACACTCTATCATGATACACCAACTCTTTCCAATAGCCCTACAGAAAAAAATCGCAAGGCGTTAAATCCGGGGATCGAGCAGGTCAAGACATGGGTCCATTGCGCCATATCGATCTGTTCGGAAACTCGTTATTTAGATGTTCACGAACTTCTCGTCCAAAATGTGGTGGAACCCCATCATGTAGGAACCACATATTCTGCCTCACATTTAGAGGAATATCTTCTAATAATTGTGGCAGATTGTGTTGAAGAAAATCTAAATAAATTTCACCGGTCAGTCCAGGTGGGAAAAAGTAGGGTTCAATAAGCATGCCATTTACCATGCCAGCCCAAACATTCAACGAAAATCTATGTTGAAAATGAATTCTTTTTACAATATGCGGATTTTCTACTGCCCAAACATGATTGTTACGGAAATTGTGCACTCCACTTCGTGTAACTGTGGCCTCGTCTGTACACAAAATTAATTTAGTAAAATCTTCATTTCTGCCGAACTGTTCTAGAAGCCTCTAGCAAAATGCATGATCTTCAGGTTGTAACGCTTGTACCCGTTGATAATTATAAGGATAATACTGTTCTTGTGTATGGTCTTCCACACTTTACTATGAGAAACTTCATCTGCTATAGGTAGTACGGATTGTTGGGTCGTCTTCGACCATTTCTAAAATGTCGTAATCAATTTGAAACATTTCAGGTTGAGCAGGTCTTCCCGCGTGACCAACCTAGTTGTTTTTTTAAATATCCTGTGTCACAAAGTCTAATAACTAAATTTACAAACATCCCTGCGGCCGGATGATTTCTTAAAGAAAATCTTTCCGCATACAACCTGCATGCTGCGGCTGTATTTTTTGACTCTTTCCGCATGTTAGTATTATGTCCTCTAGGTCATTGTTTTCGTAAACATGGGCCATTTTTTCGCACAAAACAATCAGACAAATGAAAGTATATGCACTATTAAAAGACTGATGCAACTGATCAAAGACTCGTACTGAAAACCATACAATAACACAAAAATCTTGTCAAATTTAGATAAACGATAAGAGTAGTATACAGAAATCACTAAAATTTTACACGGCAGTGGTCGAGGGTAGCAAAAAATCAATGTAATAACATTCTTATTATTTAACATTTTTAATCTTTCACCATTTCTTTTATTATGCAACTTTTAAATAAATAGGTGATTTTTTTATATATACCACAGCAGGCGCCGTAGGCTGCTATGATGATCCCAAAGAAATTTTGTTAATACGATTTTTGAACTGCCCAATGTTAGTAGAACTGGGAAAAACTTCATCTTGTAGATTGTTCCACAATCTCGACACCCTCGGGACAAAGGAGCGGTCGTATCGGCCAGTTCTGGATGTACGAAGTTCGACACGGTTAGGATGGGGCGCCAAAGTTAGGCGGGTCTGCCTGGCAGGCACATCGCGCCGCGGCATCATGAAAGAGAGCTCTGCGGAGCAAAGCCCGTTTCTGTAGCGGTAGAAAAGAGCTAGATCGCCGACGGCCCGCCGTTGCGAAGGGGTCCCGAGACTGTCTGTTAGAGAAGAGTCATCGACCAGTCGGACCGCCCTCCTCAGGACAGCATCGAGCATGGACAATGTAGTCGGGGCGTCAGCACCCCAAACGTGAGAGCAATACGCGAGGCTAGGTCTTATCTGGGCCTTGTATAGAGTGAGAAGGTCATGCGGAGAAAAGCACTTCTTAGCCCTAAACAAATAGCTTAGCTTTTTCCCAGCAACTGCTGCTATTGACCAGATGTGTTCGTGCCAGATCAGGTTCTCGGTGATCTGGACTCCGACCAGCCGAAAGGAAAGGCTCTTTGGCAGAACTCGGCCATCCATCGAAACCGGATGAGCGCTAGGACGCTTTTTGTTCGTCAAAGTACAGTGTTTTGGAAGCATTGAACTGTACAAGATTGTTGCGTCCCCAAGCAGTGATAGTCTCCAGGTCTCTTGTCAGAGAGGAAGTCGTTGCTAGTCTTCTTCTTTCCAGCTCAGCGGCAGAGATCGGCTTGTCACTCTGAATTCCAGCATGTAGAGTGCTGTCATCAGCGAAGCTGTGGATTGGGTTGATCGTGCAGGGAAGGAGGTCGTTGATATGTAAAAGAAACAGTGTCGGAGCCAAGACCGATCCCTGGGGAACACCCGCGTTGACGTTGTGGGATGAAGAGGAGAACCTGTCAATTACGACGGATATCTTGCGGCCAGAGATAAAGTCAGCCACCCATCTGCAAAGCTTTTCTGGAAGACCATAGGATGGAAGTTTGCTTAACAGGGCAGCGTGCCACAGCTGGTGGAACGCTTTCGTGATGTCAAGAGCCACGACATGAGCCTCACCATAAGACTGAATGAGTTTACTCCACAATTGCGTGACGTAGGCTAGGACGTCCCCTGTGGTTCGTTGGTGCCGGAAACCAGACTGCCTGTCGCTAATCAAGCTGTGACTTTCGAGGTAGTCCAGAAGCTCGCGATTTATGCACCTCTCCATCACCTTACTTATAACAGAAAGCAAAGCTATAGGCCTGTAGTTGTAAGGGTTGGTCTTGGATCCTTTTTTTGGGATGGGTTGGACATTTCCAGTTTTCTGGGAAGGTGCCGGATTCATATCTGGAAGAGACGCGAAAGAACTGGAGCAAGGTCCGCTGCACAGTACAATGGCAGGAATCAAGTCCGGACCAAAAGCTTTGTTGATGTCGATCGACAAGAACACTCGTCTTACGGTCTTATGCCTGTATGTTACCTCCCGCATAGTGTAGGGAACCTTTTGAATTATACACTTGGGCGTTGGGGGAACGTCCATCGTGGAGTTTTCAACAAAGATCGTGGTGGTTTTTGGCATTGTGAACCTCTTCGTTATATTTGTGTCTGGACTCGACGTCGGCTTGTCTGTTCTCTACAGTGGGGTTTTGTAAGAAGGTTCTGTGTGCCTTGATCTTCTGCTGGTTTTTGGTATATCAACTCCTTTTGCAAACGGTTAAAAGAAATGACTCAACTTTGAAAGCAGTACTGGTATTACAGTAAAATATTTATACATAGCTCCTAGTTCCTAAAACACAATGTACAATAACCGTCACTTGACCTACTAGACCCGACCACATGCCAAAACATGACATATCCACTAGAAATTCTGTATCAATAAAATTGCCAGTAGTCCGTAAAATAGATGTGTTGTCCAAATATACATATAATATATATTGTGACATATAAATCCGAACACCCAGTTTCAATGGTTTTATTTTAATAAAAGTTGGTGAATGTATTTATCTTACTGTAAATAACAAGTGAAAACATTTTCAGCCTTATCAGTTGGACATTCCGGTTTTTATACGGCTTTTTTTTAATTCACTAACGCTCTAAAAATGAATATTTCAGCCGCAGTAAAGAATCAACGTTGGCGGATTTTGGTTCTTGACATCCTTTACGATCGGTTACGATGCCTAGAGTACGGAGACCTGTACGATTTCGTCAACTTAGTGAGTTTGATAGGGGCCGTATAGTGGGACTTCGGGAAGCTGGACTTTCTTTTCGGGCAATTGCAGTTAGAGTGCAAAGAAGTGTAGACACTGTGGTTAGGTGTTGTCAGGCATGGCTTCGAGAAGGCCGTACGCAAAGAGCAAGGGGCACTGGACGCCGCCGTAGAACAACAGACCGTGAAGATCGCCGCCTAAGATTATTGGCCTTGAGGGACCGTTTCTCCACTACCAGGTCCATTGCAAATGAATGGTTTGCAGAACACGGAAGACCTATTGGCATGCGAAGTGTTTACCGACGAATGAGAAGTTTTGGCTTGTTTTCATACTGGCCACACTGGGTCCTCCCTTTAACTCGAGAACACCGACGTAATCGCCTTGAGTGGTGCAGACAACGGTCACTTTGGGATCAGGAATGGAACAGTATTGTCTTTATTGACGAGTCTCGATTTTGTTTAGGCATGCACGATGGTCGTGCCACGGTTAGAAGGCGACGTGGTGAAAGGAGGAATCCACAGTTTTTTGTTGAAAGACATGTTCATCACACTGTTGGAGTTATGGTTTGGGGTGCTATAGCTTATGGTTCCAGGTCACCTTTAATCTTCATCAGCGGTAACATGAACGCGCAGCGTTATATCCACGAAGTTCTAGAACCCCATCTTTTACCCTATCTTGACACCCTGGCAGATCCAACTTTCCAACAAGATAATGCTCGACCACATGTTGCAAGAGTCACAATAGAATTCTTTCAACATAATGATGTCACATTGTTACCATGGCCACCAAGATCTCCCGACTTATCCCCAATTGAGCACGTGTGGGATATGATGGGTAGGAGATTGCTCAATTTGCAACGTCCTCCTCAGACTCTAGAAGCACTTCGAGAGGAGTTGGTGGTTGCCTGGAATGAGATACCACAGGAGGACATTGGCCACCTGATCAGAAGCATGCCTAGGCGCGTTGGAGAATGCGTAGCACATCAGGGTGCATCCACACATTATTAAAGGTCAAAGGGCTTTAAAGCAGTGCAATCATTTTGAAATTTTTATCATTTACTTATTATGCTTCATTAAGTACTTATACAAAATTTTATTAAAATAAAACCATTTAAACTGGGTGTTCGGATTTATATGTCACTTAGTATACATACATACATATTATCGAAATAAGACAGACAACACTTCTTTATTAATCAAATCCAAGAGAATAACCAAAATTTCTGTGTTATGTGCCGCGGTTATAATATGGTTCAAGATGACACACGGGTTGATGACGTCAGTTACACGAATCGCTTGAACGCGTTGGTTTTAACCGCGGTTTTGTTGCAAGTTGTTTATTTTAGAAAAGCGCGTATATAATCTCTGATTATTTTTATTATCACTTAATAATCGGTGCTTTTTCGTCTACAACTGTATATGGAAAGTTTAAATAAGAAACCTTTCATAATATTCATGGAGAAATGTTTTTTTCAGATTTTTTTTTAATGATCTAACCATGGGTTTGTAGCTATGATAACTTTCAATTCTCTAAATTTTTCCGCATGTCAAAGAAAACATTTATTGATTCAGCAGAAATGATGAAAAAAGAAATTAGCAAAACCGTATACAGGTGGATATCATCTAGTGAGTTTATATGGCCATATTTTAATATTCTTGTGGTATATGGCTACACAGGATACTTTGTTAAGCATAGGAACTACATTTAAAGTATCCCCAACAACCGTAATGAGTATAACTAATAAGGTGCTCCACTTTATGGTAAAACTGAAGTCAGCCTGTATCGTTTTTCTCAAAAATGAAGCTGAAGTACAATAACAATATCCAATACCCGGCAAAATTCTAACTTGTCACATTTCAAATAATAACCAGAAATATAAAACTACTCTTGAGTTGGGTAAATACCACAATTTTGCGGTGATAACTATGACATATAACAGCTGATTCGTGACGTCACGGATCTTATAACCAAACTGATAACTACACTCGCTTGAACGGATTGGTAAATACCAACCCAAAATGGTAAATACCATTTCCATTTGGTTATCCGCTTGAATTTGATTATTGTTCAGTTTAATTCATTACTGCTTCACTAATTATCACTATTATTATTCTCATTATTCTTGTATATCGGCCTAACCCTTTTTTCTGGTTGCCTGATTCTGAGGCAGTTGGGTAACAGAGTATGCAAATGTAATGAGAAGTGTATATATACATATATATATATATATATATATATATATATATATATATATATAACCTTTGACCCATTAATCACCACTGTTGAATTGTGAAATTCGTTGTGGACAATTTTGCTAAACTCTTGCCTGGTAGAACATGCTATTGAACCATCGGAGATTCAAAAACATTTTTTAAAGTCAATAGTCAAAAAGTCTTTCAATCCATCCAATAACCCAATGACTATTTACAGGATTGTTTGGCAGATGCCGTCGTAGATGTGGCATTCAAGAAAATTAAGAAAAAAGCGGTTGGATTTTATATGTGGAAAATTGAGGTAATCCTAAGGTATTTTTAGTTTGTAAGAAATCGCACATCAGAAAAGACGATAGTAAACTTTAGCTATCAAGAATATGTCTACCAATTTTTAGGCTATGAATGTGATTGCGCTGCCCAGAGAGCAATATGGAACATTCATCAATACGGAATGCTACATAGTGTATGCAGCTTGTCAGTATGGCCAATCATGTACTATTGACACTGTTGTAAGTACTCTTTTGAAACATGGTGAAATTAACTAGACGCGCATTTTACAATTTCTATTACTTTTTTTTCAACACACCAGCAAAAATTATTCCACTCGCTATTTAATGAGGTAATAAGAAGTACCTGTATGATTTCAGAAACGTAACAAAGACTAGATCATCAGTCTGTCGGTTTATCAGACTAACGCTCTGCTTACTTGTCTCCAAATTGTACCAGTAATCATGATTTTACATCTGGAATAATAAGTTATAGTAACATACGAACAAATGTAGGTACAGTTATGCAGGGTGTACCGGATAAGGATGTATGGGATCTCAACCCCTGTGCGAGATACAGCTTAGGTTAAATTAGGAAAAAGTTGCGTTCTTTCACTACGTTGAGAGACTTGTAAAAATTTCATGGCTTACTGAGGTATTCGGGAAAAACTAAAATTTGGTCAAATCGTTTTTAAATTTATCTGACTTTATTTTAAAAAATATCAAAAAAATAATGGAGCTTTCTCATTGGCACTTTTTACATACATACATCTGTTTTTTTGGTTATAAAGAAAAAAGTGTTTTTCCAATTTTACTTAAGTAGATGATATGATGGGGTAAAATTTTACAAATTGATGCTTAATCTAGCGATATTCAGAATAACGAATACATTTTTAACCTTATTTTTATTTTATTCACGATAGGGTCAAATAAGTTGCCATTATTTTCTAATGGTATGATCTTCTAACGGTAGAATTCAAAACATCACTTCACATTTCTGGTGTAATCCTAATACATGCTGATAATCCTGGTTTTTAGTAAGACCCCAAACAAAAAAGTCCAGAGAAGTTAAATCTAAAGAACGCGTTGGCCAGGACACATCACTGGAGGTTCCAATCTACCTTTCAGGAAATCACTGAGAAAGATACTCTGGAACTCCAAATCTAGTTATGTGCAAGAGCACCGTCTTGTTGTAAATAAATTGAGCTAATATTTTGGTCCGTAGAATACCACATATAATGTTAAACCCAAAAAGTTCTTGATGTGTGGATACTTTTTTAGACTATACTCTCGTCGGACCATATTATTTTTGAAGGGAAATTAAATCCTTCTTCACACGTTCGTGTGTACCACTCACAAAAAGGTTGGCGCCGTTCACTATCCCCTGGTCTAAGTCTTTGGCAGATCCCGAATTTATAGGAGTGATATTTATTTTTACGCAAAATAAACTTTACTGTGGATGCCTAGTTGATATTCTGGGTTTCCTACAAAGACACCGTTTTTCGTGATGTAACAGGCTTTTTGAACGAACCATTTTCGTTTAAATTTGGAGCCAACTCTAATAAAAAATGCTATTAGATACATGGTCTACTTTTTTTTGGACCATATAAAAAATCAAGTTGATGATGGTTCCTCAAAAACGAATTGTCGGACACAAAATTTGAAAACACAAATAAGTGCCAATGGACAAGTTTCAATAGTTGAATGATATTTCTCAAAATAAAGTCAAAAAAATAAAAATGATTTGGCTATCCCCCACAGGTATTGACGTCCCTATGCATAGGATCCTTATCTTGGACACCTTGTATATCGATCAATGCGGATTACCTCTCAATCATTTAAGGGGGTATACTTAACATTCCGGGAAAGAGAACGACGCTTACGTTTTTCATATTGTTTAATAAAACACACCTGAAAAAAATATATCGTAGGAGCGAGATGCTAAAGATGTAACTTTGGAATATCACATCCATTTTTGGATAGGCTCCGAGACAACACCAGACAAATCCGGAGTTGCTGCTTACAAAACAGTTGAATTGGACAACTTTATTGGTGGCCATGCGGTACAGCATCGCGAGGCAGAGAGTAATGAAAGTTCCAGATTTTTGAGCTACTTAAAAAATGGCATAAAGTAAGTAAGCTTATATACAGGGTGTTTCAGTTTATTGTTGCATAATTTTAAGATTCGATAGAACTTTTAAAATTAATGCATAAAGTCTATATAAACATGGATCGAAAAATGCGTGGCTTCCGGTGTTTAAATTTACTTTCTAAAATAGTTTTTTTTAAATATTTCGAACAATATTTGATGTATAACAGTGAAAATTGGAATACAAGGGCTTTTTGGTACGACAAAACGAACCATGGGCATAGTTTTATTGTAGCCGCTAGAGGGTGCTCTCTTTTGTACCTGTAGTGTATTAAAATAACCGAAAATTTTTCTTAGTGCAATTTTTTGCTTTTTGAATAAAAAAACTGATTCTTCGCACTTTTCAACATTAAAAAGCTCTCTTGTGAATTTTCGTTATAGTTAGCCGTTTTTGAGATATTTGTATTTTTAAGGTTCGATGCATTTTTAATTATTTATGATAAAATAACGTTAAAATGTCAGTATCTCGATAATTTTTAGAAGTAGGCAAATATTTTTGAAATTGAAAGCAGAATAAGGTTAAACGTCAATTAGTTGACAGTTAGTTTTGTTGTCTGTTGAAACCTGAAACGTTTTTTTGCAATTGTGAATGCACGAAATTTAGTTTTTTTTACCTGCTTTTTTTGTAAGTTTTATAAAAATGCCATTTTTTATCTCCAATCAAGAGTTAGCGGATATTCATTTTGTGTATGGATTTGTAAATGGAAACGCAGCAGAAGCAGCCAGAGAATACGCATGAAGATTTCCAGACAGACGACATCCAATTCGCTCAGTATTTGTAAGAGTACATCGCCAAATAATTGAAAATGGTTTTGGAAATCTCCAAAGGGATCAAAACATAAATGTTCGTCAGCGCAGATTTACCCGTATGATTCTGCGTGAGTTTGATAGAGATCCGACCACAAGTGTTAGGAGAGTTTCTGGTGCCTTGGGAATTTCAGCAAGCCATGTTCACCGTGTTCTTAGAAATGACCATAGACGTCCTTACCATTTGCAACTTGTGCAAGGACTACAGCCAGGGGACGGAGAACGAAGAATCACATTTTGTCAGTGGATTCTTGATAGAACTGATAATAATAGGGAGCTTTTAAGTAACGTTCTATCGACCGATGGGTCATGCTTCACTAGACGTGGAGTGGTAAATTTTCATAATCAACATATTTGGTCGCATGAAAATCCGCATGCAGTTCGGGAAAGAAATTTTCAGCATGAATTTAGTGTGAACGTGTGGATTGGTATCTACCGTAATCGACTATTTGGACCCTACCTTTTGCCTGCAAGGTTAAATGCTGCGACCTTCTTGGAATTTTTAAAGGCTGAACTTGCAAATATGTAGGATGATGTTATGTTAGATTTAAGAAGATTGGCCTGGTTCCAGCTTGATGGTTGTCCAGCTCATTATTCGAGATTAGTTAGAAACTGGCTGGACGAAAATTATCCAGAAAGATGGATCGGCCGTGGAGGACCAGTCGCCTGGCCTCCACGATCCCCTGACCTAAATCCATTAGATTTCTTTGTGTGGGGATTTCTAAAAGAAAAAGTGTACCAGACTCCCGTAACCACAAGAGAAATGCTAATAGACAGAATCAGGAATGCATGTGATGAAATAAGGCCTTATTTGAATAATGCTATACCACGTTCGATCATTCGTAGATGTGAATTGTGTATTGAACAATTGGGTTTACATTTCGAGCAACTACTTTAGATTTTGTATGTTTGTCCTAACTATCCAATAGCATTTTAGTTGTAAATAATTAGTTTAATTTGTTAAAAATAATATTGGAAAATTAAACAAATTAATATTCTGTTTTTTTGTGTTTATTTGGAGTTAGGAATTATTGCTGTGTTTAAAAACACAATCTAAACGATCATCTTAATTACTTCTAATGCCCAAATCGAAAATGTAAAAAAAATATTATTTTCCCATAAATAATTAAAAATGCAGCGAACCTTAAAAATCGAAATATCTCAAAAACGGCTAACTATAACGAAAACTCACAGGAGAGCTTTTTTATGCAGAAAGGTGCGAAGAATCAGTTTTTTTATTCAAAAAGCAAAAAATTGCACAAAGTTAAAATTTTCGGTCATTTTAATACACTACAGGTACAGTAGAGAGCGCCCTCTAGCGGCTACAGTAAAACTATGCCCATGGTTCGTTTTGTCGTACCAAAAAGTCTTGTATACCAATTTTCACTGTTATACATCAAATATTGTTTGAAATATTTAAAAAAAACTATTTTAGAAAGTAAATTTAAACACCCTGTATTTCGTAAGCCACACATTTTTCGACACATGTTTATATAGACTTTATGCATTAATTTTAAAAGTTCTATCGAATCTTAAAGTTATGCAACAATAAACTGAAACACCCTGTATACCAAACAGAAAGTAATATGAAAAACATGTAACTAAAGTGAATTGCATCTGGGCTTATGTTTATTGTGTTTCCTGAATATTAGTTTTCAGTGGAAGTAACATATTATTTCAAATATAATTGTTTCAAGTGCTAAAACCATTCTACATTTTTTTAAGGATACTCACAAATAAATCAAAGAGGATATACCCAAAACTTTATAAAATACTGAAAAGGAAGACACCAATATTAATGGAGTTATCTGGTATCACATGGCAGCATTTTAGTAGCTCAGAAGTGATGATATTGAGAACGTCAAAAATTATATACATTTGGATTGGTAGAAATGCGAACGAAGCTGAAAAGAAGCATGCTCTAATGGTTTGTACTATCTAATAAATAATTACGTCAATAAAATGATGAAAACAATTTTTTTTCTTAAAAGATAAAGTGCATATCCTGCGTGAAATATGAGAAATCTGCACGATGGTGCCGGGCTTGCACACTCTGAACAACAAGCGCAACCGTGAGACCACATCAGAGCAGTGTTTGACGCTAAGCGCAATCCGAAGAAGTTTCGTCACCGTCGACGAGACATAGATTCCCTGGCATACACGAGGGACCAAGGAACAGTCGAAACAGTGGAATTCACGCAGCGAACATGCTCCGAAAAAGGCGAAGACTGTCCTGTCGGCCGGAAAGGTGATGGCCACCGTTTTCTAGGATCAGCAAGGTATCATCTACATCGATTACCTGGAGAAGGGCATAACGGTCACAGGACTCTACTATGCCGAATTACTGGGTCGATTCGAAAAGCAGCTCCATTTGGCGAAGGAGAAAGTGCTCCTCCACCATGACAACGCACCAACTCACACCTCCACCATCGCCATGGCCAAATTGATCGAATTCGGCTAAGAACTGCTGCCCCATCCACCGTAATCTCCAGATTTGGCTTCTTTTTATTTCCAAACTTAAAAAGTCACTCGCAGGGCAGAAATTTGAGTTGAATGAGGAAATTATCGCCGCAATCTGATATAGGGCCGGAATACGAGGGCGGTTCAATAAGTACCCGTGTTTGACGACAGAGGGCGTTCCTGAGGGAAGTTAATGTTATCATCGTGTGCTGCCATCTGTCAAACGACGGCACAACAAATTTCAGACTGATTGATAGCTTAGTTTGGATTTGGTAGCTATTCAAGTAACACGTGTTTCGTGATTTTCGCTGAGATGGAAAAATAGTAGTATCGTTCGCTTTTTGTTTTTGGATGGGAAAAAATGCGAGGAGATAAAAGCAAAGTTGGATGCTGTTTATGGAAAAACTTTGCAATCTATGACCTCAGTTAGTTATTGGTTCAACGAATTTAAACGTGGGCGAACATCCGTTTTTGATGAGGATCGACCAGGACGCCCAGCAAACGTGGTTACCGAGGAAATCATTCAATAAGTCCACGACATGATTCTCGCAGATCAACGAACTAAAGTGCTTCAAGTAGCGAAGGCCGTAGGTGTGTCGATCGAAACGGCAATCAATATTTTACATGATGAGTTGGCAATGAAAAAATTCTCAGCCCGATGGGTGCCGCGATTGTTCACGGTAGACAACAAGCAGATGCGGCTGTTAACTTCGAAGCAGTGTTTGGAGCAATTTAAGCGAAATCCGAAGGAGTTTTTGCGTCGAGTTATCACAGGCGATGAAACCTGGATTCATCATTACACACCAGAAACTAAGCAACAACCAAAACAAAGGGCTTCTCATGATGAATCTGCTCCAAAGAAGGCGAAGACGGTCCCATCGGCCGGAAAGGTCATGGCGACGATTTTTTGAGATGCGAACGTCATCCTCGTGGAGTTTTTTTTAGAAATAGGAAGAACGATCACTGGATATTACTATCGTGAGTTATTGGACCGCTTCGACAAAAAAATGAAGGAGACACGGCTACATTTGACGAAAAAGAAGGCGCTGTTTCCCCATATAACGCACCAGCATGTTCATCCAGAGTTGTCGCCGAAAAACTGTATGAATTGCGTTATGAAGTGCTGCCGCACCCTATCTGGCCCACTGTGACGTTTCCTTGTTCCCTGACATGAAGAAATGACTCGCGGGGAAAAATTTTGCTCAAACTAGGAAATCATCGCCGAGACAGAGGCGTCTTTTGGAGAGTTCTGGGGGGGGTTAAAAATGGCTGGAACGGTGGAAAAAGTGTATCTTTCTAAAGGGGGATCTTTTTTTTGGAAAAAATGGTGTCTTCATTTCTGACACCGCCCTCGTAGATATGATTACATGTCACACAAACTTTAATTGTTTGGCTAAAGTTCACTGAAGATATACAAGGTGTTGCATTTAAAAAATACAACTTTATTCGATAGCATGCACTCGAAAAGCTTAATATACAACTTTTTCTGCTAGAAGGTTATATGAAAAAGTTAGAGGAGGGATCAATGTATATATAGTCCATACATCTCAAGTCCTCTAAAACCATTTGTATTGTCGTTTCAGTTGAGTGTTTCTTCCTTAGTCCAGCTTGAAATTTGGTTAAAATTCTATTTCCCTCGATCAATTCGATGATCTGTTCGTATATACAGGGTGACTTCGAAGTTGAGTCATTTATTTTAACAGTGAGTAGATCTGATCAAAAGAAATGTTTTTTTCCTTTACCATGTTTCTGGTAAAATTAAAGTAACAAAGTTATAGCCCTTTGGAAGTTTGAGTACCGCCCTGTCTCAATAATAATATTATGTGCTCGTGTTTGGCGACAACGGATATAATCCGCCTTATCGGTTCATCCCATCGGAAACAAAAAAGCGAAAGAATTTGGAACGATGTTTTTACAATTATTTCATTCAGTTGTATACAGTCAGTGTCAGTCGGTAGTGAATAGTGGTGTCTGTTGCGTGGCTCAAACGAAATAAAAAATGGCACATGTTTATGCGGATCGGTTTCCCAATCGAGTGCAACCAACCCCTCGTGCCTTTGTTAATGTATTACAACGGGTTCGTGAATCAGGTGACTTAAGACCTCACATATGGACGGCATGCCGGTGCTCCAAGACCTCACGATCAAATACAGGTCCGCACTGAAATACTTGTCGGGAGGATACTTTATAAAACAAGGTAAAATTTTTTTTTAATTTTTTTTTTATTTTTACACACATATTTTGGTTTATCTTCCTTCTACAATCATTATCTGAAAATTAATGACTCAACTTCAAAGTATATATGAACCCCCGATAATCCGGCCCTGTCTAATCCGGCGCCCCCTGTAATCCGACATGTCCGATCTACAATTTATGACATTAAAAGAAACCACGAGAAGAGCAAGAAGTTCGTGTCAACTACTGACTGCGGGCCAGACAAGAGACAGACACTCAAGAAAGCTGAACATCCTGAAGTGGAAGAAGCTTTGTACATGTGGTTTCTTCAGGAAAGAAATAGGCATGCACCAATTTCAGGACCCATGTTGGCCATGAAAGCTAAGTTTTTTTATAAGGAAATAACAAAAAAAGATGATTTTGTGGCCACCAAAGGATGGCTAGAAAGTTTTAAAAGTCGTCATGGCATACGTTTAATGACTATTACAGGAGAGAAACTTTCTAACGATGCCACCTGCATAGAGCCCTTTAAATTAAGATTTTTGCAAAAGTGAACGATTTAAATCTTGACCCGTCACAGGTGTACAATGCAGACGAATCAGGGCTTTTTTGGCGTGTGATGCCTAACAAAACTTTCGTTTCTTGCAACGAAAAATCCGTACCTGGACGAAAAGTAAGTAAAGAGCGTGTAGCCATACTACCATGTGCTTACGCTGCGGGCACACGCGCGCTTAAGATGATGGTCATTGGGAAATCTTATAAACCACGGGCATTCAAAAACATTGATTTACCTGTACACTATTACGGACACAAAAGTGCATGGGTGACAAAATACCTTTTCAGAAAGTGATTTGATGAATGCTTCGTACCTGAAGTTAGAAAATGGTTAAAAGATCATATTTTTCCTCAAAAAGCGTTGTTGCTTCTTGATAACGCTCCCGGCCATCCGTCTGAAGAAGAATTAACAACTGAGGATAAATGCATCACTGCGATGTTTCTTACGCCAAATTGCACTGCACTGATTCAACCAATGGACCAGAATATAATTCAGTTTGTCAAGCGAGACTATAAGAAAAACCTACTTCTGAGGGCCGTATCAAAAGACCAACCAATAGAAAAAACTTTAAAAGAATTTAATATGAAAGACTTGGATTTTGCTCTTTGTCAGTCGTGGAATGCGTTACCGTCATCAACTATTAAATCGTCTTGGAAAAAGTTGTGGCCAGATATAGTCACCACTCCTAGCAACGTTTCACAAATCAGTGTTACTTCGGAAGTTATAGAACAAGTCGCTACTGAAACACAGATAAGTTCGGAAGATTTGGAAATCTGGTGCCGTGGAATGGATAAAGAGGAAAATGTTTTTCATGAAATGTCTGACGAAGAGATTTATAAAAGAGGTTTCTAATTATACAACAAACAATCAGGAAAATAACGACGACGTGATTGCAACTGGTCCACAAGTCACAGCTCAAGACGCAATTAACGCCTTTGAGCTAGATTTACAATGGGCTGAAGAGAAGGGTACATCCTACAAGGAACTTTTACTTTTGAGAAGACTGAGGGACAAAGCTCTGATCTCGCGTTATAACAACCTTAAACAAAAAAAATTGATGAATATGTCCAAGCTTCATAATTTGATAAATTCATTAATGATTTTGATTAATAATTCTTGACTATTTTGGTACATATGTATGTGCATTTATGCTTAATTTTATAATAAAACGTAAGCTCGCTATTGTTATTTAATTTATTAAATTCGACATACATAAACTATGTATAATTTGTACTTGAAAGTACATACATATACATAACATATATGTATACATAATCTTACCATTGGATATGTAATTTGTCGGATTACAAGGTACTCTTTTGTAAAAAATTCCGGACTATAAGGGTCTTAGGCAGTGCTCTATAATCCGACAAATTCGATAGTCCGACACTGATCTACATAATGTTTGTCGGATTACCGGAGGTCCACTGTATATTTTTAAAATATGTACTTTTTCTTTAGTTCCTCCGAATGTAACTTCAACTTACAGGGGTCAATTTGTTGTTAGTTCGATTAGAATAAGCTCCACACTTATTACTTTCGTTTATTTTATTGAGAAAAATCAAGGAAGATCGAATGATGTATCTGGATAATACATGCAAAATGTTGATTAAATACAACCACTACCCTTTAAATAATCTGATTTTTCAGATGGCGTTCGATATGAAGCAGAATTCTTCTGATGAGGTAGTTTTTGTAGACGACGGATATGAGAAAACTTTGCCAAGTAATTTAAGAGATAGGTTCAATCACCACTTGCCATTAAGCAAACGGTTAATCGTACCGCATTCAGAAAAAGAAAATGACACTCCGGCAAAACATGTGTTGAAGTTATATAAATGTGCAGAAAATAATGGAAAATATAGAGTAGTGGAGATAAAGAATGGCCCGTTTCACCAAAAAGATCTAAACAGTGATGTGAGTATGTAAACGGTTACTTATAACTGTTGCTACGCGTTTTTATTGTTGATTCTAGAAAGTATTCATCATTGATGACAGTGTTTCAAGTGGCGTTTGGGTGTGGGTCGGCCAGCATGCGAATGATAAAGAACGGACCGAGGCACTACGAAATGCCAGAGGATTCATCAAAAAGAAGAAATATGAATGGAAAACAAGAGTTACAAGAGTTGTTGAAGGACATGAGCCACCAGAATTCAAGGTGCTATTTCACACCTGGACAGATGAACTGAAAGGTATATATCTCAATTCTCGTTATCATTTTTGCAGTTTTATTTCGCGACACATGGTGTTTCATATGATAACTAAGAATCCATATTTTACATTTAATTCTCACTTCTCTAAAGATTTCCGTAAGATAAAAAATGTATAAGAGCAATTTTGACTGTTGGACGAAGGAAAAATATAGGAAGCCTAAAATGATGGCAATTCCAAACTGTCTTTGTAAAATGTCATGTTTTAAATCAGTCCAGCGCAAACCAGCCTCTTAAGAAAACTATGGCTATAATTTTTTGTGGGGCCTGATTGAAGGTCAATTGTTTGGCTGAAGCAAAATCCGATGTTCTTTTAACATCACCTTCGGCTGTAGCCGTATGTTCAGTTAATAAAAAAGTGGGTGGTGTTATTGGAATAAACTGGTTTGCACCAGACGAACGTCAATGCCCTTGGTTCTGTTGCCTTCGGATTAAAATAATGTAAAAAAAGATTCGATGTTAGCTAAATTGAGACAAGGTTTTACGAATATATCAAAAAGCAGCACCTAGAAAATTTAAGCATTCTTAGCGTCTCAGGATATACAAGTATTGGGCCAATAATGGCATACTTATCCACCAAAATTTGTAATGTACCGTTTCTATCTTCAAATGTTTGCCATGTAGGATTGTACGTTTGGCAAAACTGTGTACAATGAAAAATGTTTCAAAGCACTTATTCGGTTTCAACAGACAAGAATGAACTAAGATCCCAGATTCGTATATGTTAAAGTTTCTTAGCACCTTTGAAAAAGTGTTATTGTTCCTATACTCACGAGCCAAGACCATGTGCATTTTTACTTCCACGATATGCGATATTTTCTGAAAGCTTCTCGCGGGCAGAGACTTTTCGAAACATTCGTCTTCGGTTCAACCTTTCTGCCTCTTTTGACCGAAGACCGAATATGTAGCCCGTGTTTTTTTTTGCCCAATTTGGCCGAACCTTCGGTCGGACCCTAGTATTAAGAGCGCATAGCGCCACTTTGCCGCTCGAGAAATACCGCCAACCCGCACGAAGATTTAAAATATAATAAGGTTTTGTGTGTTGAATCTTAAAGCCTTGTGATATTTTTCTGTAGTGATAAAACCAGTTACTCTGCTGTATGACTTTGATGCTGCAACAATGGCGGATCGTCCATCACTAGCAGCCGAAACTCAACTAATAGACGATGGAAGTGGTACTCTGTCCATATGGCGTATAGGTAGGAAGAGTATCACAAAAATTCCGGAAGAGAGGCATGGATACTTCTTTTCTGAAGATTGCTATATCACCCTGTACACCTACCAAATTTCTGAAGAGAAGCAAATGCATCTACTATATTATTGGTTGGTAGGTACAGTTATTCACCCAAAGAATGAATCGCCGTTTTTACAAGATAAAATACTCAGTTAATGACAGTTAATATTTCAGGTTTTAAATATTATCGTTTTTATGATGATGTGTTAATCATCAGTTCGACAGAGAAAAGTCCAAGAGATGTGTTGCTCATGCAACTATTTGAGATTCCAGTCTAAAAAAATAATGTTTCCAATACAATGGTGTACCATATTTCATTTTTTACGTATTCGGATTGGGTGTCTGATCATTTTTGCAGATGAACTAACATTTCTTATATTTCTAATAGTAAACTGAACTTCACAGGGTAGCCATGCTTCTCAAGATGAAATCGATCTCACACTTCTAAGAATAAATGAGATGGATGAAGAGTTGGGAAAAATAGGGTTTCAAGCCAGATTGATCCAAGGAAATGAGACACCCCACTTTCTTCAATTGTTCAAAGGAAAATTAGTTATATTCAAAGGGAAAGGCAGCGACTACGATGGTAAGCATAACTACAGTTCTTTTTCTTCAATAACCACTCATTTAACAAACTAATACTGTATAAAATATGACATTCATCTTATTTTTCAGAGTCTGGGAAAAATAAAAAGTGTCCTTCACATTATTTGCTGCAAGCAACGGGATCCACGACATACAATAGTAAAGCTGTGCAAGTTGATACAAGAAGTTCCTCTCTCAACTCTAATTATTGCTTTATCTTAAAAAAGAGCAAAAGAATTTATATTTGGTGCGGTTCCCATTCAACCGGTGATCAAAGAGAGATGGCAAAAGGATTTGCAGGGAAAAGCTTCGACTTGATCCTCGAAGGTATCATTGAAATCAAACATCTACACTTGAAGTTCACACCATATTTTACTTATAGGTAAAGAAACGGGCGATTTTTTCAACTTATTGGGTGGAAAGATGGATTACCACACGAAAACTGTACAAAAGAAATATAGCAGAAAACCTGCTAGGCTCATATATCTGTTAAAATGGAGCAATGAGAGAGGTAACCCATTGTGTTTATCAACAAGTATTATAAATTAATAATTTTACAACTTACAGCAGAAGAACTCGTATTCTTTGAGCAAGCTGATCTGCTACCAGAACATGTAATACTGCTAGATATAGACCTCTGCTTGTACATTTGGATAGGCAATTTCAGTTCTGAAGAAGAAAAATCATCCAGTTTTAAAAAGGCAATAGAATACTTACAATCCGGTAAGTTAACTTCTACTTAATAGTTAGTGGACGCACTCGTAAATTCAGAAGACTACTAGGACCATCATTGAAGTTATACTCATATTTACGTACACTGTAAGATAGTTTATTGTAAAACCTACCATTTATGCATGTCAAGTATTTAAACACCTTTATGTGAAAGCGTTTTAAATTGAACGTATAAACGTACACTACCGTTCCAAAGTATTGGAACACCTGCATATTTCCATTTAAGATCATAACAAACAAAAAACTATTCAGTACGTATTTATTATTCTTTATTTATTGAAAACCATCACCATGGAAATCAAGCATCACTGAAAGGTCATTGAAATCAAAATTTTGTTCACACTGTTATTGGGATCTCATCATTTGCTATAATAGGAATTTCTTTGCCTTTAGAATATTGTTAATGTTTTTGTATAGGAATTCCTTCTCAGGATTTGATTTTCGATTATTTCTTTTAATTTGTGTTGTGCGTAAACCCATAACACAGTTTTACTTCAGTTATCTTGTCTCATTTAATAAACTAACCGTGCACCTGTTAGTTCAAGATTATTCAACAAGTGTGTTTTCGTTTATTTTTTTCTGTAGAAAATGTGTAAAACTAAAGAATATTCCAAGGAGATAATTATTATTGGTCTTCATAAATCCGGCAAGTGTTCCAGAAATGCCTAAACTTCAGAACACCGCTACCCCACTGTGACAGTACAGGTGTACACTACATTATTAAGAAATTTAAGGCCCAAGGCGATAGCCGTCGTTCAGGGAGACCCAGAGTTACAACTTCCACCGAAGACTTAAGCTAATAGTGAAAAGTAAACGCAATAGATGCATGAGTACACCCGACATAGCTCGGACTTAGTGTGGGCCGTAGTAAAACTGTAAGTGTGACTACAGTTAAGAGAAAGTTACTCGAAGCTGGTCTTAAAGGTTGCATAGCAGTATCGAAACTACTCCGTAGGGCTACTAACAAAAAAAGAGACTGAATTCGGCAAAACAACATCAAAATTGGACAGTTGCTGACTGGAAGAAGGTCCCCTTGAGCGATGAATCGAAATTTGAAGTTTTTGGTTCCACGAGAAGAATTTTTGTCCGCCGCTGGCCTAACGAAACGGCATTATAATTATGCACCGTCGGTCCAGTCAAGCACGGTGGAGGCTCTATCATGATTGGTGGTTCCGCTCTGGGGGACATTTTGAAAGTACAGGGAATACTGAATAAATATTACAAAGCCATTCTGCAAAACCTGAGACTCGTCTTACTGGTCTGGGGTTTGTTTTTCAGCATGAAAACACACATCCAAGCTCTGTAAACAATTTCTGGAAGCAAAAGAAGAACAAAACATTTTGAAACTCATGCAATGGCCTCCCCAATCCCCGGATTTGAATCCGATAGAGTTGCTGTGGGATGAACTGGACAGACAAGTACGGAGATGTTGTCCTACATCTCAAGAACACTTATGGAGAATATTACAAGACGAATGTCGAAAAATAACCCCATCCACCTTAGAAAAATCAGTTACGCGTTTACCCATCATTTGCCAGGCTGGAATTAAAAGTGAAGGAGGACATATTGATGAGTCAAAAATATAATTATTTTGATTATAAATATGTAGTTGTATGTCGTTAAGAATAAAGAAAATGTTTCATAAAGATATTGTAATGTTTTCCTTAATAACTTCCATCAGTTTCCTAGTTTTCTGGGTGTTCAAATACTTTTGAACGGTAGTGTAGTTACGAGGCTTGTTCAATTGAAACCCATCTTTTTTAGCCTTGGAAACAATTCTAATCACTTAAATAACGTTTTACAATGTTCGTTGTGTTTGTAAACGTCACACTGACCAAGGCCTGTCATTTGTATTTGACTGCGATTTCAAGTATTGTGACCTAACAATGACGTTTATTGTTAAATTTTGTGTGCTGAAGCTTTGGAAGCATTGCAAATTCATTCGCAAATGCAAGCAGAGTATGAAAACGCATGTTTTGCGTATCCAACTGTCAAGGAATAGTGTCGAAAATCTAAGAGTGGAAGAGAGGAGACGAATGATAAGCCGCGACCCGGTGCATTGAGTACTGCATCAACAGACAGGAAGGGAGTGGAAGAGAGGAGACGAATGATAAGCCGCGACCCGGTGCATTGAGTACTGCATCAACAGACAGGAAGGTGGCATGTGTGGAAGGTATGCTTAGAGAAAATCGTCGAATTTCAATCAGAGCAATTTCAGAAAATGGTGTGAGTACAGGATCAGTCCATAGTATCGTACCCAAATTGGGTTACAACAAAGTTTGTCAGCAATGGGTTACTTGCCTTTTGTAGAGGACCAAAAAAGCTTGTGAATGGGCTTATCTTTCAACATCTCACGGAATAGAAGGAAAACGGTAATGACTTTATTTCGTCAATAATTGCTGGCGACGAATCTTGGTGTCATTATTTTGAATCACCCAGTAAGCTGTCATCGATGCAATGGAAACGCAAATTCTCCGCCACCAAAGAAGTTTAAAGTTCAACCCTTTGCAGGCAAGGTTGTATTAAGATTTTTTTCGAAGGACCCTTGCTCATAGAGTTTAAAGAACCTAGAGCCCACATCAATGCAAACCTTGAACTATTTCCAAAAGCAATGAGACAAAAACGTCCAGACAAGCTCGCACGTGGTGTCATTCTTCTGCACGATAATGCTCGGCCTCATGTTGCTAGAGTTGCGAAAGAAAATCTACAACGAAAGTAATGGAGGATATTAGAGCACCCTATAAAGCCGATGTGTCGCCTTAAGATTTTCAATTTTCGGGTCACTGGAAAAGCCGTTAAAAGGTAAGCATTTTTAGTCGGACGAAGAAGTACAAAATGCCGTAAAAGAATTTTTGAAGCAACAGCCACAAGAATTTATTCTTTTAGCAGGGTATACATCGATTGGTGAAACAATGGAACATGTGCCTTAATAGTAGTGGTAATTATTTGTAGATATATTTGCCAATAATTTTTTCTGAACCAAAGATGGGCTTCAATTGAACAAGCCTCGTATTAACCTCAGTAATCGCGTCGCGTTACCGTCTGACGAACACTCCACCTTATATTCGACTTATTGTTGTTTGTTACTTTTTAGATCCATCCAAGAGAGATATGAGTATTGCCATAATACATATAAAACAAGACCATGAGCCACCAATATTCACTGGATTTTTTCCAAGTTGGAACAAAGATTTCTGGAAGGTGCTTATTGATAAACTCAAATACTGCTTGTCCTGTAGCTTGTTCATACCCAATTTACCTCTATACAATCAAGTCTAAAGTCCCTTCGGATATCCGCAACAATGTTGTGAACGCTAAAAGTAAAATTACTTAATGTTTTCGTATATTTCCAGGCATACAAGCCATTTTTGGTACTAAGGAAAGAAATAGAAAAAGTACCTTCATCTACTCATAGTGGAAGACCTGAGCTGACCAAGTTTGACCAATACGACAAGTACCCAGTAAGCATTTTAAGGAAACCCAACGACGAACTGCCAGCAAAAGTAAATCCTTTAAATAAAGAAGTAAGTCGTAATTCATGGTTCGTTTACAGGGAATATGACTTGATCTCCTTTGCAGATGCACTTGACCCATGACGATTTTGTGACGTTGTTCAAAATGCCATACTCAGAGTTTGCAAAACTTCCCAGTTGGAAACAAAAAGAAATTAAAAAAACAATTGGATTATTCTAACATTTGCAGTATAATGGAAAATTAAAATGTTTCCAGTGACAAGTAAAGGAATATATATATATATATATAATGATATTCTCCATAATACGAAAGCACTTAAAAATATAAGTTGAAATTAAAGATCCAAAAGTCATATTATTGTAAATAAACATATTTTCGCAAATAAAAAATAAAAATGAAATTATGCTCCATTATTCACAGAATGGTGTAGGCTTGGTTTCGATGGTCGATTCTGGTAATAGATGGCACTTTGTGCTGTCTTATTTTGATGAACTTTATACTCTGATTAGAGTAGAGTTACTCGGCTTTCGTTCGTTGTCCTACCTGAGACCAGGCCTAGGTCATGCTGAGTTGCCAAATAGCGCAAAACAGCTGTTCATGGTTGACCATCTGTGGTCGCAAGTAGACCGTATCTAATTTTTCAATTTCAGGAAGAGAAAAAAGTTACAAGGACTCAAGTCAGGCGAATAAGGAGGCTAAGGAGCCACAGGAATGTTTTACTGGCCAAAAACTCGTTTATCGTCATTGCTGTGTGACAAAGAGCATTATCGTGATGTAAGGCCCAGTTGTTCTTGATCTGATGAATAGTGGTGTGAGTCCAATTTATATCTTCCCTGATCATTATGACTATCAACCGTCGGAACTCACAAGATCCCTGATTCTGTCGATATTTTCATCGGTTCTTGAAGATGAAGGCCTTTCGCTTCGTGGTTCAGCTTCAATCGACTCTCTCCCTTCTGAAAATGCCTTAAACCACCGAAAAACCTGGGCTCTTGACAAAACACTCTGTAGACCTATTTAGCAAGATTCTCCATTGCACTGTGCCCAAGTCTGAAGCAAAACCTGATAGCACACCTTGCTTGAAATTGATGTGCCTCATTTTTAGAACACAATAGAAAAAACTGTTTCGAAAAAAAAAATAGCTACGGACAAGCAAATTACTCGAGGCAAATACTCGAGCGAGTTCAAACTTGTACTGAAGGCGGATCACATGTTCCCCTGTCTCTCGCCCAAGCCCCGCGCCTCATATGTGGCTAGATCGAACGCTACGTTGCCAGTCTCATCTCTTCATTTGCAGACCTCATAGCTTGCTGTGTTCACTTTCGTAGTGGTCGATTCCGATAATAGATGTCACTTTGTGTTGTCTTATTGCAATATGCCATAATCTTATGTTATGAAGCGAGATAGATTCATAGTTGCCTTAAAACAGCTGATTTTAGAAAAATACAATCTGAAAACAACACCACAATCAACATGTCATTCCCTAACCCATTTATTCATCGAATGCACAGCCTAGGTCAGAAAATAATTCATCCTTCAAAAATATAGTTTCATAAAATACAACTTTTCTGACAAAAAAAAAACGCATTTACTATGTACAAATAAGCATCCAATAGGGTTTATTATATATTTTAAAAAATAAAAAATAACATTAAAAATAGTACATAAGCATAAAATGGATCTTAAAAAGCAAAATACCTATACAGAGCTCTTTACACTTTACAGCCTACAAAACAAAAAGGTTATGTTCTATTTTTGAAACAAGGCTGTTGTTAATAAAACATCATGATATCTTCTGTCAAACCAACGATCCTACTATACAAATAAAACTCAGGATATTTGGTACCTTAATACAAACTAAGTATTGAATAGTTTCGATACAATCTTGTAATATTATCACAGATTATACCATTATGCGGGGATAACAGTATGGAGATTAGGTTCTGGTGCACTATAGGAAGAACTCAGAACTCATGCTGACGTAACGTCATGTGTCATGGAATGATAACCATATATGGTAAAATGTTTTTCAGCATATGCTAGACGAAGAAACGTATTCGAAAATCAATTAACAAATTTGTTAGTGCTTACGTATAAAGTACATCACAAAAAGATATTAGGCAATAATTCATGACATTTGTGAACCATATGACGACATGTTTTATACATATGCACTATAATGTATAAATTATAAAATTGCATTAGAAATTATTCTATACGAGTAATTTTGAATTATGCTCTTAATTGAGGCGGTCAGAAGCAAAGGGATGTAAGTGACTTTTCCACCAAAACCGAGTTATGGGCACAATCAAATTGTTTAAGCACAATTTTATTCGGTGGCAAAGGGATATACATGAATTCTTTTCTGGTGGCTCTATCTATCCGCTGAAAGAAAAAGTACTCAGCAATATCTTCAACTTACTTGGAGGCAATGGGATGTATGTGCACTTATATCTCTTTGCCTCCAAGTTATAGACCAAATAAAGCAATTGCGTGCGAGTGTACTGCGTATTTATGACAGTGCTTTAAGTAATATTATTGTTGTATTTACAATAACTATTCAATAATATCAGTGAATATTATTCATGTCAATCATATTATGATGGATTTTAAGTTAGATGGTAAGTACGATAAAAATCAAGTTGAAATTAGATGTTTTTTAGGTTAGGAAGTAGAGTTTGATTTTTCTCATATGTTCATGGTTTACGATGTTCTAAATTTGCTTTGTATTCTTGTATTCACTTTTTTTTGTTGTGTCTTTGTTTTTTTGAGGTGGATTTAAATTCCTATTGTTTTTTCGCAGAACCTGTCGATGATAGCGATCTAGATCGCGACTAACACCCAGATAAATCTTCATCTGTGAGTGAAGCAGAGTCGGATGAAGGCGATTTAGGCAATCACCAGATAAAGCGTAGCAGGAAAAGGGTTCGAAACGAGTCATCTTGGATAAGGAATAAAGCCAGGAAGTTCAGGAACAGTTGTGGGGAGTTCATCGGTCATAGGAAATTGCTAAAACCAGCAAGAGCCGTTCAAGATCTGGCAGATCATCACTGTCGATACCAGTGTAATAGTTTTTCAAATGAAGATCGCCAACAAATCTTTGAAGACTATTGGAATTTGAGCTCATGGAATCTTCAAACGGCATTTCTTAGCGCTTGTATGGAAACACGTGCACCTTTGAAAAGAAAATTAGGTGTTGAGCCACGTAAACAGGTGAGCGTTCAAATAAAATTAGTGGGAAAAAGAGTGTGTAAACTCTTTTTGTTGAAAACTCTGAACATAAGTCAGAAAAGATATGACAACGTTTTAAAAAAAAGAAACCGCACAGGCGTAGCGCCAACTGACCAACGTGGTAGGCATACCCCAGCAAATAAGATTTCGGACAACGATATTGCAATAATAAAGGGCCACATTAAGTCATTTCCTTAAATACTCGAGCCATTATTCACGTGTCAAAAATCCGCATACAAAATATTTGTCAGGCGCACTAAGCATCCACAAAATGTATAACCTTTACTTGCAGTATTGCCAAGAAAATAACATTCAAAACCCTGTTAAAGAGAGCTTTTATAGATTTATTTTTACAACGACAATAATCCTGAAGTAGTGAATGATAGTAAGATCCAGAAAGAGATTCATTTACGAAAAGCTGAACAGGCTAGATCAGCTAAAAATGATATCAAGAAATTGGGCAAGGATAATCCAAATACTGTAAATGCAATATGTTTTGATCTAGAAAAAACTCTCCCCACGCCTGTATTAACTTGTAGTAAGGTCTTCTATCTGAGACAACTGTGGACTTATAATTTTGCAATACATAATCTTGCAAATGATCAAGCATCAATGTTTATGTGGCACGAGGGTGAAGCGTCTAGGGGATCTCAAGAAATTGGATCATGCTTATTGAGATATGTTCAGCAACTGCCTAATTCAGTAGAACATATCATCGCATTTAGCGATAACGCAGGCGGTCAAAATAAAAATAACAACATTATAAAATTTTGGAGGCATATTGTTCAGACAACCTCCATTTGTAGAATTGACCACAAATTTTTAATTTCTGGTCACTCTTATATGGAGTGCGACCAAGATTTCGGGCTTATCGAGAAGTCAAAGAAGAAAAATCAATATGTTTTTGTCCCGGATGATTGGAGCAAAATAGTAGCTCAAGCTAGTCGAAAGTTTACTGTTGTACGAATGAGAAATGAAGATTTTTTGTCAGTTGAACAGATGAAAAAAGAGATAAAAGACAGTATTCCAGGGATACGTAATATTCAGTGGTTTCGACTGGAAAAAGATAAGCCCAATATTCTTCAATACAAGAACACTTTGAATGAGGAAATGGATTTTGTGCATTTTGACCTTAGAAAACAGAAAAAGGGCCGTCCAAATACGCAATTTGACCTTACATTATTGTATCCTGAACCACCATCTATAAAAACCGCCAAATACGAGAACCTCCAGCAACTCCTTCAGTTTATTCCCCCCATTTACCATAACTTTTATTCATCACTAAGACATCGAGGAAGCGTAGCTTCCGCGACAAACGAAAATAGAGAAGTAGATGCCAACGTCAGCCAAAGAGACATTTCTGTTGAAAATTCTGCAGATGTTTCAGCTGAATGGGAATCTGATGATTAGAAATTAAGAGCGAGTCAGTGCTTGGTGATTGACATTAAAACCTCTGAGTATTTTGTTTTGTATACATTTTTTTTGTCAATAAACTTTCGATTTCATCTGTCTGCTATTTTGTTATTTTGCAATAATTTACAAAATCCCTTTATAAAGAAGATTGCTTGAATCCATATGCAATTACGGGTAAAGAAAATAAGATTTATAGTGTATTATTCAAAAATTAAGTGCTAAGGGGTGTAAGTGATACCATCGCTTTACTGTACGCCCTGTATTTTTGGAATAACCAGCTCAATGGCATTAAAATCTATAAAAATAATCTTTTACAGCATATTGGAAAGTGAAAAAAACTATATTGAGTATTTTGAAATACCCGTGATTTTTTTACACAACTTAAACTTTGAACCTGTTTTTCTCAAAATGCTAAAACATGCACTTACCCCCTTTGCTTCTGACCGCCTCAATTGTAAACCATAGAGTGTGACCCAGAATAAGATGTCGAGCTCTAATGATATAGGATACAAAAAAATGTCGTATGTTGCTTGAGGAGACCAATGGAAATCAGTGAATAACATTTGAACGAGACTAAATTTTGACAGCACAGTAAATAATTGGGGCCTCGTATGATGGTGATTACCAGGGACGGACGAGCCCAAGCATAATATTGCAATAAAGATTTGCAACCTGTATGGTAATGGCTCGACAATAACTGTTGGAAAGCTGAAAACAAAAGTACTCCTGATCAACATCGATAAAAGCAAAGAATTTCAGTTTAGTGTTGTATTAATTTTGATATCAGATCCAGTATTTCGGTTCTGCCTTTTTTAAAATATGTACAGTATTTCCGATAATACATTCACCTTGGTTTTTATTGAACTTTTCGAGGATCGACAGCAGTATAAACCGATAAAAACAATATTGAATCAAGACTGTTTTTGTATTTATGCTATGATAGGAATCAAACCTGTGGCAAATAGTTACAAGAAGATAAATCATTTTTCCGAGTTATCACATTTTTATATATTCGTTGAGTAGACGACTATAAAGATTAATTGAGTAAACTTGTATAAGTAAAAAATAAAATATATCTTTCTTTCACACAATATCTTTATGCTAATATTATACAAGGATAAAAAAAGGGTCAGCAATATTTTTTAGGGTTAGTCCGTTTCTGACGATCTAAACAAGTTAAGTATCTTTTATGGACTCAACTGATTAGTATGCATTCAAAATTTCGTTGAAATATACAATATCGTTCAAACGTAACTTAAGAAAAGTCAACTTCCGATAGAGCCTTCTGAGGACTTACATCGTCGTTCGGGAGAATGTTTAAAGAAACTTTGTGATATTATTTTTGTGTGTCCACACGATAGATATCGTATTATGAGAAAGCCCGTATATTTTGAATATCATGTTTTTCTGCACATACAGTACGTTTTACGAGTTACATCTTATAGCATTGAAGCAGAGGAGCCTGACATATTCTCAAGATATGTTAATCACATTCCAGAAATATATTTAGGATAATATAGAGGCGTGACGTAACAAAGTTTTTCATATATAGTCTATATGTACTTTATCAACCTTCCCAGAATGCACCACAACCTCATGTATGATAGGATGATGTCCAGGCTACCTTAACTGTCATTTGTTGCTCATGGAACTGTTAGCGGGGAGAGTTGCGGAACGCTGTTGGGCATTCAAATATGGCTTCAGGTTAGAACGGGTTGATTCCCTGGTGAGAAAAGAAAATTAGTGTCAATGTTATTTTTATGAAATTGTTACGTACTTAACAAACACGAAATTAGTAAGTGTATGATAAAGTTCGTGTCATCTGACATACCACTGAAATATACATTACACGAATAGTTAGAGGGATTTATGGATTTTGTGAGAATACATCAACGGATCAGAAATATCTCATGCTACACATTTCTACACTTCTTCTACGACAAATGTATACTTAGACATTGCTTATTAGATTTACATGCAAGATGAATTTCATATAGTGACACATCCCAGAATTCGATTCTTGAGAACGACTGAGTAGAATCACTGTGAGAAGGTGGGCGTGGTTATCTTCCCTGGGAAATGATCTCAAATTCTGCCTGCTACTGACATTTGTCAAACAAGTTCGGCAAAATAATATATTCCTGTGTTGATCATTACATTTGACGATCCATGACAAAGTTGAAGCTGGTGGATGACGACGAGAATTCCGCAATACTTCTCCCGAAAATGATTCGGGGAGTCACTCTTCCATCATTGTTCAGGAGTACAGTTCCCCCGGAAGATAAGAGAACCACCCCCACTTCATCTCAACTATTCTACTCTCATGTTGAGAATTATCCCCCAGAAATCTTATATAAAGTTTTTTCTGTTTTAAAGGGCGGTCGGAAGAATTAAACAACAATAAGCCACTGGTTTTTGTAAAAAAAGTTGAAAGCCAGATTGATTCTACTTCAGAGGATATCCGCACGGGTATTACGTAAAAAAACTATAAAACATCAAAAAAACCTATAAGATGTCATCTTGTGGACTAGACAGTTTTTAGAGTGCAAACAGTCATTCCACGTTTGCTCACTAGGATCATTGTGAGCGTCCATCTATGGAGGTGTGGCTCAACTACACGTATACACGCATTGTTGGTTGCATAAATGTTTTGTGAAGCCGAGCGGTCTATAGTTTTCATCTCCGAGTCTCTGAGAAAAAAGTTGATTATTTGGTTGAATAGTAAGAACGCATCTGGATGATTGTGTGAATTGGTCTAAGTGTGTATAAAATCAGTGTATTTGCTTTGTGAGAAAATCATTACTGATGCTGCCAATGAAGTATATCTATAAGCTGTGCCCAACGGGTTATTTATATGCTGTCCTTTCGGAAGACAAGTTATGTTCAAAGTTATCAATTACGAAGAATTACGGGAAATCACCACCGTGCTCGCGTTATGCGTAATTACTGTTAGCATTTCTATTTCTCTCATTTTTAAATTCAGCAAATTTGCATATGTAATTTCCAGAATGTTTAAGAAAAATTGGATGCACAACTAAGTTCTAGCTTTGAATCTCAAGTGAGTGTATTTGACTCAAGCGTCCAATGAAATTATCATCAACACACGTCATTAACACACAAATCCTCACTATGCACCTATGCATTGCCGTTACCTCCAGTAATGTCATCACTGAAGCAGATTTTTTATCGGATCAGAGCCAAACATTGATAACTGAAGCCTCTTGACGTTTAGGCAACTCGTACAACCATAACACGAGTTCACAACGTGTCCCTCAGCTAGTGCTAAGTTAACATATTGTAGAAAAACCTACAGTATATTCAGATAAGAGATAGACCGGATGTAAACAAAAGGTTCGGGTGATTTTCACGCTAACGCCGCCGTCTCGACGTAAAACAGGAGCCCTCATTGGTCAATTCGCAATTAAATGCCTATGCCGAGCGGCAGAGCAGTCGTATCAAGGCAGAGTCACATTCAGGTTCAGACGTGTTACGTATGTCGTGTGCATCATTGCAATTTGATATTTCTTTGGACGTTTTCGTTTGTTATCTTATTAAGTTGTTGAGTTTGTCGTTGTTATTGTTATACCTTGTTATTGATTGTTATTGTTATCAACTGCTTGCGCAAAATGCCCAGTAGTACAGATACTGCCGATGAAGTTGTAAACTCCTGTAGTCCACCTAGGAAACGCTCTAAAAAAAGACACCTGAGTGCAGAAATGAAAGAGGTCATTTTGAATATATATAAGATCGAGCGCGAGGAGAACGAGGCATCAACCATCAAAGAAATTGTTGTGAAGGTTTCTCACAAAGTTGGGGTGTGTCGCGCATCAGTGTTTAATGTGTTAAGACAATACAAAAAAAATCACACCTTTTCTGAGCCAATGACCAGAAAACATCGCAAAAGTATTGTTAAATCATTGGATGAAGCTGATAAGCATGCGATTAGGAGGAAAGTGCATGAATTCTTCTTTAGGAATGAAATACCTACTATAGATAAAGTACTGCAGGAGGTAAATGGAGATACAACGTTGCCAAATTTCAAACGATCAACTTTCCATGCGTTACTGAAGCATTTAAATTTCAAATGGAAAAAACGGGGTCGTAATAGTTTACTACTGGATAGAGAAGAAATTGTGCTATGGAGGAGGGATTATTTAACAAAAATTGGGAGATATAGAAATCAAAACAGGAAGATTTATTACTTTGATGAAACGTGGGTAAACGCAGGACACACTACAAGTAAAGTATGGGTTGATGATTCTGTAACTTCATCCAGGAGGGCCTTTCTAGATGGACTGTCCACCGAATTAAAAAATCCAGCAGGTAAATACGAGTAATAGACAACAATCAAATGTTTTCCAAACCTTGGGAACAAGGTTCTAAACATTAATTCCAGGGGGCAGATAAAACATATTACAAGTAACAAAACTTTTATAACTTTCGATAAAATGCGTGGATGTTTTATTGTCATTTTCATTTGTTAGAACTTTTTTAAGCCATGTTTTTATGTGTTTTCGATATTTCAATAATTTTTTAATATAATCTTAAAATATGTCGAATATTATAAACTTAAAAAAAGTTACTAAGTTTTATATTGTGTACCGTTCCTAATATTTCTAATCATTTTAATTCATACTTTAAGCTTTATAAAGTTATAATTTGTTAATATTAATATTTGCGCGTATTTCAGGTTCCTGATCATTCATTTTTTAAAGGTTTATAACTTTAAATTAAATTGTGAAGCGCTGAGTAATCATACGACGTTCAATATTCTTTCTTTCAATATGACTAAATAATCCCAATTATAGCAATCTGATACTCATGTCTCAATGTTTTTTCGCTGAATGTGATGAAAACATTTGAAAAAGGTTCGCTTATTGAAATAAATCTACACCAGTTAGTACTTCGATTTCCAGGTAAAGGGAAAAGGCTCATTATCTGCCATATTGGCAGTGAGGATGGATTTGTTGTTGACGGTCTGTGGTGCTTTGAGTCTAAGAAAACTGGAGATTATCACGAGGAAATGAATGGCGAATCGTTTGAACAGTGGTTTTCAAAAATTTTACCGAACTTAGAGGAAAACGCAGTAATTGTGTTGGATAATGCGCCTTATCATTCTCGAAGAATGGAGAAGGTCCCAACAACGGCTTCAAGGAAAGTTGATGTTCAAAATTGGCTCCGCTCGAAAAATATCAACTTTGAAGAAGCAATGCTGAAAGTACAATTATTAAGAATTGTCAAGGATCACAAGGCGGAATATCAAAAATACGCCATTGACGAAATGGCAGCAAGTCAAAATAAAACTGTGCTACGTTTACCTCCATACCATTGCGAGCTCAATCCCATTGAGCTCATATGGGCAGAGGTTAAAAATTATATAGCTAAGCACAATACAACTTTTAAATTTTGTGATCTCAAAGGACTTTTCAAAGAAGCACTAGAATTAATAACAGCGCAAAAATGGGAAAACTGTATTAAGCACGTGAAAGACAAAGTTGAAAAGAGAATGTGGGAACTGGACAATATTTTAGAGGAACAAGTCGAGCCATTCATTATTGACGTTGGTGCTTCAGGCAGTAGCGATGATGAAAGCTCATCAAGCTCATCTTTCCAATAAAAGATGTCGTTCATCAAATTCGGTAAGTTATAAGTAATTATAAAGCTACTGTATTTTTTAATTAATTATTGACATTTTTGAACCTATTTTGGCAAAACCTATTCAAGAATCTACTTTCTGACAATGTTCAACCATGCACATTTTTTACGTTTTGAACGTTTTAATTTGGTTACATATTTACCTAGAAATCAAAAAATATACTAATCAATATTCTAAAAGCAATTTTAAGAGATATACGATTATTTTTAATTTAGGCTAATTTAAACGCCATTTTGAGATTATATTCGACAGTATTTCACCAAACATCAGGCGGCATCCGAAGCTGGAAATCGAAGCGAAAATTTTGAAACCCTTATGTATATTTACATCATTATATATTTCTTACCCCACCCCCACATGATCCTATATCCATCACCAATCGTATACACATCGAATTGTGCTAATTTACTACAAAGTTACGCAAAGCAGCATCTACTATCTGAAATATGTACTGCGTGACTCTTAATACGTCCCTGCCGAATGTTACAGCGTTCGATGATCACGTGGTCTTGTTTATGTCCGGTCTATCTCTTATCTGAATATACTGTACATAATGTCACAAAAACCAATATAATGTCAAAAAAAATCGGCATAATGTCGCTTTTCAAGATACGTAATACTCGTGCCGGACTCGAGCTTTAATAAAATTTTATCATATTTCTAAATACAGGGTTATCCAAATTAAGTGTCCACCATTAGTAACTTTGTTATTAGTGAAAATACAAAGTTGTTTGAATTAGCAAACTAGTAGCATTTTTAACGCTGGTAAAAATGAGAAATAAAAAAAAACAATTGAGAGTCGTTATTTTGATTTTTTTCAGTAAAATAACATTTTTTTAAATGGAAACCCCTGTATATTATATTTTTTTCTGTTAAAGCATCAAATTTTAAACAAAAAAGTTCATAATGACTTTTCCGCTAAAGTCAAAAATAAAGTCAAAATAACGATAAATATTTTTAATTATTTGCAGTATTATAATATTAAGACGGCTATGAAAACAACATGGCGTTCGCGATTTGACAGCATTAAGATAAGCGACAAATTGTTAAACTGGACATACTCGCAACTAGAAGGCTTTGGAAAACAATGATAAAATCAAATAATGTCAAACATTAGTGTAAATACTTGTTTATAAGCTTTATTGTGTCATTAATTTAAAGAAAAATGTTCTCCCATGAAGAAAAGTGTGATATGTTAGAATGCTATTTAGTGTGCAGAAAATCCTCCTTGAGAGCAAGAGAATACTACAGTGAATTATATCCCGCTCGCATTCAACCGTATGAACGATATTTTCTGAGACTTTATCGAAAATTTAGGGGCAACGAAAATGTTTTTGCTAAAACAAGGGCAAAAAAAGAATTCATAATAAGCGAGGCCACGGAAATTGCAGTTATTGGATATTTTGAAGCTTATCGTGAGAATTCAATAGCAGATATTCTCAAGGACTCTAATTTCAGTTATGGTACTGTTCAAAGGATTTTAAAAAAATACAAATTTATTCCGTATAAGTACCGACCAGTTCAAACGCTTTTGGCAGGGGATCCAGAGAGAAGACTTGTTTTTTGCCATTGGTATCTTAGCTTCTGCCGCCAAAATGTAAATAACTATCGTTACCTTTTATGGACAGATGAATCAAATTTTTCAAATTCTGGAATGTTTAATAGAAAAAACCACCATTATTGGTCAAGAGAAAATCTTTTGTTAGTACATCCAAGAGGCCCACAAGTCCGTTTCAGTTTCAACGTTTGGTGCGGTATAATTGGTTCAAAAATTGTTGGCCCGTTCTTTTATGAGGGAACCCTAACTGGTGAAAGATATGTGGAATTTATGTCAGAAATTCTGACTAATTTCTTAGACGAATTGGATCTTATAAGTAGACATCATCTGCATTTTCAGCAAGATGGCGCACCTGCCCACAACTCCAGAGGTACTTATCATTTTCTAAGTACTACTTTTAATGATCAGTGGATAGGAACAAATGGCCCAATACAGTGGCCTCCCAGATCACCAGATCTAAACCCACTTGATTACTTCTTGTGGGGTTACTTAAAGAACCAAATTTACAAGCGAAGGTACGATAACCTTGACGCGTTAAGACTGCAGTTAGGGAAAAGATAACCCAGATAGATGGTAGGACCATACTTAAGACAGTTCGAGCAGTTGAAAAACGTGCCCAAAAATGTATTGAAGAACAAGGTGGTGTTTTCGAGCATCTTCTTTAAAAAAAATTGTTATTGTATTTTGTAAGATTATAAGTTGATGTTGAAAATAAAGTTTGTCGATACAATTTAATTGTTTCAGATTGGAGGCCATAACTTCAACAATTTGTAACCTAGGAGAAAAGTTATTGTAAGCTTTTTTGTTTAAAATTTGATGCTTTAACAGAAAAAAATATAATATACAGGGGTTTCCATTTAAAAAAATGTTGTTTTACTGAAAAAAATCAAAATAACGACTCTCAATTGTTTTTTTTATTTCTCATTTTTACCAGCGTTAAAAATGCTACTAGTTTGCTAATTCAAACAACTTTGTATTTTCACTAATAACAAAGTTACTAATGGTGGACACTTAATTTGGATAACCCTGTATACTGAATCCGCGTTTAACAAACATGCTGTAACACCCTGTAAATCTTTGGGAAAATCACTCAGAAATTATAACAGATTAAAATCATTAATTTTTGGTTGATTGAAATGTTACAACTGTTCATAGCATCATACTGCGGTTGCTAAGTGTAACCAAACATGTCTGCATTCTTTATCCTCAATACAGCCAGCCATTATGGAGCTATAATAAAAAAATTTCCTCTCTTACTAACGAAATGCTACAGAGGCAAAGCAAATATAGTGATGCCCTCCATATTAAAATTATCCCCTGAGAGAAATAAAGCAAACAGCTAACAAGCTCTGAATGAACCACTGCAAAACAATAAAAATAAAACAACTGCTGGAATGTAAGTGGTTTATTAAACTACAACGACGAATAGCAATATACATATAAAAGATAAAGCATCTAGCACTACCTCGGCATAGAGAAAGCAACAAGAAGTTGTCGACTCACCTTGGCGAAATCTTGGCATTAGAATCTATGGCATTAGTGTTGTTGGCTTTGAAACCGCACTTCTGTATTTTCTTGCTAAGCCGGCTCACCCACTGTTTCTGTTCCTCAGGTGAGGAGGCAAGTAACAGCAGCTCTTTGGCATACGACGGGTCGTAGTGTAACTTGCAAGGCGGTACGTTATCTTCTTTTCGGTCCAAATGGTCTTTGTGGACTTTTATCCTACACCCTGGAATTGAAATCGTAATTTGGATAAAAAAAATACCGCACCCAAGATGGATGGATTAAGGTTTTCGGTCGCATTGGTTGAAATTGTAGCATGTTGTTCTCCATACCATTCTGCTCAGAACAGTAAATTGGTGGAATATTCTAGAAATTAATGCTTTCCGGGTTATATTAATATTGTGAAATATTATGATTTCAGGAAAAACATATATCGAAGTTCTTTTTCTCATATAGGTCGAGTCTTCAACTTGACAGTTGGAAATGAATAAAGCAAAAAGAGTTTTTCTGCAAAAACATGGTTGGCAGGCTATGAATTAGAAAACATTTTCACGTCGATTTTTGAAATTTCCTAACCTATAAATGTCAATAGGTATAGAATATCATGACATCCTTGAGATGTCCGCCTCGGCTGCTGCAGGGATGCTGCAAATTTTGATAGACTGCTTGACTTATTTTGACCTTGAGAGCATTGTTGGATTGTAGCAGATTGACAAACATCTGCGACTCCAGAAAAATCCACATAAAAAGCTAATAGGGCCAATTTGCACGAACTTAGTGTTAAATTCACATCCATGCCGTGCAATTTGGGACAACAGAAATTTGAAACTGATCTGTTCCGCTCGCCGTTGACGGCGATCGCTCCACTAATAATGTTTCCGAAAAAGTAACGACTTATGACATTCGGCGTAGAATCCACAACAAACACGCTGTCCAACTATGATCTCACAGCTTACACAATCCAGGCCATAGCTCACATTAGTTGAATTTATTTATTTATATTTAAGACTCGACCTTTCGTATCCATGACATTCATTATGCACAACCGCGGTTGCCACACATAGCAAGTAAATGCATCTTAAAAACAAATTGTTTATTGTATTTATTGTTATACAAACTAAGAACGTTTCCATTCAATTTATTGTTTAGCCTTGAATAGAATTAGATTTGGTTCAAAAATATGAGCAAACATGGTATATTGTCAAATTTCATTGAATCCTTGCATCTACCTTATCCCCTCAATCAGGTTCATTCGCCTAAGGTACATACAAGCTCGTGTCTCATGACCAACGAGATGATAAATTTATTGGCATCCGTCTTCAGTAACATTAACGCCTGTAAGGACTTCAAGTCGTCTATTGAAAATATGAAAATATCGTTTAAACGTATTCAAAAATAGACGAACTGTCGAATCAGTATTGCCTACGAAGGCAACTGTACCAGTTAGGCCCGGTTTTTCAGTCGCAGGTTAACTACGACCTTGATCTTTATCTATGAAAACGCGTTTGTCAATACCATGTTTATATTAAGACGGTAGTTAACTTTAATAAGAATACCATCTGTGAGTTAACTAGGAAGGCTATGGTTAAATACCTGACGTTTCATTTCAATTTTTTGATAAATGTAAATTAAAGCTGAAACGTTTATGGGTTACGACCTGTTTAGATATAGCAGAGATGAAAAGGCTAGAAGGCCAATAATATTCCGCAATCGACTGAATTAATTTGACTAAATTTGATGACCTGGATTTGGGAGATTTTGTCATACAAAAAGGATTGTAGAAACAGAACTTTTCTCTTTCCAGGGAACTGAGGCAACTCCACATTTTTGCTCTGTTATTATGCTCTTGTTTTTACTGACCAATGATATTAACATCATGTCCCCAACCATGAGAAATTTTACATGTGATATGATAAATTTTAGAAACAAGAACAGCCGTATTTTTTGCGTTTGCTGATTCTTCGGAGGTGGATTATACATGGTCCGTCAGCAAGAACGCATGTTTTTTAAATGAGTAGTACAGTCAAAATAAGTATGGGAAAAAATATTTTATTATATCAAAATACTCAGAAATACATGCCATTTTTTTGAGTAACACAATGCATTAATCAAGCCTCTCCCGAAATGAGCCCATTGCGTCGGCCAGCATACGTGCAGGAATTTGGGTTACTTCTCTTCTTATTTCCTCCTTCAAATCGACGAGGGTCCAAGGCTTGCTTTGGTAAACTTTTGATTTCAGGTAGCCCCATAAAAAAAATCACACGTTGATAGGTCCGGGGAGCGAGGGGCCATGGAATATCGCCATGGCGTGAAATGAGACGTCCTGAAAATTTTTGCCGAAGAAGTTCCATCGAAATGCGAGCTTCGACGTCGAAGGGCCGGAAAAAACGTTGTTCAGCATGTGGATGTAACGCTCTGAATTCACAGTAGTTGTTTCTCCATCATCCTCAAAAAAATAAGGGCCAATAATCATCGTTGGGCCTACTGCACACCAAACTATAACTTTCAGGATATGCGACAATTTTGTTTATTGACATATACATGTAAATGAAAATGTGCTTCATCACTCATAAACAACGTCATGTCATTGTTATCCAACTGTTCAATCATGAGCTGTGCAAAATTAACACGTTGTGCATAATCACCTGGCAACAGTTGTTGACAAACTTGGATTTTGTAAAGATGGAACACTAAATCCTTCTTCAAGATGCGACGTACAGAGGACGCGTGGATCCCTAGAGAACTGGCACGCAAACGGACGGAACGATTCGGGCTTTGCAGCGTGTCAACTCTCACTCTGTCTACGTTTTCGGGGGTTCTAACAGTACGGTTTCGCACTGGCGGTTTTTTCTTCAACACATTACCTGTTGTGTTGAATGCTTCCACCCGTCTCAAAATGGTGTTATGGTCTGGTACTGTCCCACGACGTGGAACACGAAAGTACCGACGTACAGTGAACACACTATGCTCAACATTCCAAACCATCTTGCCAATTGAAACAGCACTTCTACCACTATCAAAACATGCGTTCTTTCTGACGGACCCTGTAGAAGTGATGGTAAAAAGGCGACAATCTTCAACAGATATTTACAAACTTAAATGTATTTTTAGCATATTTTTTTGACCTATGTAAGGTTGATTAGAGATTGCATTTGCTACCTTCTTTACCCCCATTTCTATAATCCCGTCTATAGATTTTACTACTAAACATTTATACGAGCAATGTTTGAAAACCTTACATTGCTCGGCGAAGGTTTTATTCAAATTTTGACTATTTTATAAAACTTCATTAAAAAAATACGAGCTGTCATGTATGACACGTGTGAAGGTACAAGACACAGATGCAGAACTCACAAAAGGTACATACCATGATATCTAAGAACCACAGGTGCAGGGCGGTCAAAATACTTGAAAAGCGCATTTACAGTAAACTACCAATTAACTCCCTGGTTATAGTTAACTAACATGTGATTGAAAAGCCGGGCCTTAATGATAAAGGATACAAAAAGGGTAACATGAAACTTACTACCGCCGTGCTTGTTAGAAGACATAGAATGTTAGTAAAGAACACTCACTTCTACACTCGAGCCCCGGTGGGGGCCTGAACATGTGCCACAGGGGTTTGGGACACACCTCGCACGTAGTGGGCATGTGGTAGGAAATATTCAGAAATTCGTGCCCTTTGTGCACCACGCACGACGGTTTGTCTTCTCCCTGAAACCTTTGGCCGCCCATGTCGGCTGCTACCACGGCTGTGGATTCGTCGGCTTTCCTGGCTTCGCCTTCGCCAGCATAAAGTAGTTGGAAGATGCGAGGGATGTCCTTCGAGTCGGCGCGGATCACGTCGCCTTGGGTCACCGAGCGGACATGGAACACTTTGCTGAAACCAAGGAGAAGTTCGTAGTTATCGCAATCAAGGTATTAGTAGCACGACAATCGGATGTAAAATTTCTACCCAACCATCAACGGAATACCTATATACTAAAATTCAGCCCAAGTGAGACCACAACATCGCAAACTCGAAGCGTGATCAGCGCGTGATCGATGTTCCCGCAGAGGGTCTCATTACAGTTCAGGCATTTTACGATTTGAAGTTGTAGTTTGAAGCGCTTGCTTTTTCAACTAATAGTTTCATTTCGTAGCTTTTATTTTTCTTTTTTTAAACTTTCCGCCACTCATATTGATGCTTTTGTTAAATACAATGTCCTGAAGTGGCTCCAATATAAAACTCCATGAATTTGGAAAACATGCAGTTTCGAACATTTTTTAAGACCTAGTTAGACTGTAGCAATACAAAACCCGCCGTTGCGCCGCGTTGATGTCTACAAAAACCAGAGTTGTAATCAGGCCGTGGCGTGGCGTCGAGTGCATCGCTGTTATAAGTTCTGTTATATCTGGTGTTTTTTGACCATGTCTTCTACCGACACAGCTGATGAAGGGAGAACTACATTGAGTCCACCCAGGAAACAAAACAAAACCATTTAAGCATCGAAGTGAAAGAAATTATTTTAAATGTTTACAAATGTGAAACGTAGGAAAAACCTGAGCTCAGCGTCAACGATGTTGTGCAGAGGGTGGCGAATAAAGTTGGAGTTTCTCGTGCATCGGTATTTAGAGTACTCAAAGAATATAAATTACGGAATGCATTTGCTGAACCTAAAACGAATCAGAACCGTAAAAGCCAAATTAAAGAAATAGATGATGCTGACAGACATGCGATCAGAAGGAAGGTTCGTGAATTCTTTTTCCAGAATGAAATTCCTACAATTGATAAGATTTTGAAAGTAGTGAATGAAGACTCAGATTTGCCGAATTTTAGTAAAACGACGTTCTACAGGCTATTAAAGGAACTCAACTTCAATTGGCAGAAGAGAGGCCGAAACAGTTCAGTGATGGATAGAAATGAAATTATACTATGGAGGAGAGAGTATTTGACAAAAATAAAAACATACAGGAGCCAAAACCGTAGAATTTACTTCCTGGACGAGACGTGGATAAATGCTGGCCATACAAAATCAAAAGTTTGGGTGGACCAAACAGTAACATCAGCAAGAAGAGCGTTTTTAGATGGGCTTTCAACTGGGCTTAAAAACCCTACAGGTAATGCAGACATTCCATTTTAGAAAATCCAACAATAGTTATTAGATAATTTTTCATAGCCAAAGTGATTTAAATGAGGCATTACACGTTATCAGATATCTAGAAAAAACGAGGGGTGTTCACTCTGGAAATCAATGTATTCTACGTTGGAATTCTTATGGTATCGATGACAAGATTTTTTACAGCAATGCGAGCGTTGCAGAGACAACATACCTCGTCCGTCACGGAATGTAACACGTTAATTGACAACGTCAGACATTGCGTTGATTTGTAAATTTTTCGATAAGTTTGTCACACTGGATAATTTTTTAGTTTAATTGATGTTGCCTGTTTCTTTTTGTTTTTTAAGCTAACCAGATTCATCAACAGATTAAATGGTGCATTGGTTGAAGTGTCCGATATATCTCACCGCATGCATCCCGCTATCATGAGAAACAATATAGCATCGTATATAAAATACAGAAATGTGTCCCTATCTCCGTGGCCTCAGTACTCTTGTGAAAGACATATAATGTTCATCCGTATTTAACAAGTTTTATCTTTATAGGCAAAGGAAAAAGGCTCATTATTTGCCACATCGGGAGTGTAGATGGCTTCGTGAAGGAAGGACTATGGTGTTTTGAATAAAAAAAACCACTGACTACCACGAAGAGATGAATGGTGAAGCATTCGAAAACTGGTTTTTAGGCATTTTACCACGTCTTAAAGACAATTCTGTGGTGGTCCTGGATAATGCTCCGTATCATTCTCGGAAATTAGAAAAAATTCCAAATTCATCTTTTAAGAAATCAGAGATACAGGACTGGCTACGTGCAAAAAATATACCTTTTGATACGTTTATGTTGAAATTACAACTTCTAGATCTTGTGAAACAACACAGAGCAAAATATGATAAATATATAGTGGACGAGATGGCAAAAGCGCACAATAAAATGGTACTTTGTTTGCCTCCTTACCACTGTGAGCTCAACCCCATTGAGCTCATATAGGCAGATATAAAGAATTTTGTTGCTGAACACAACACAACATTCAAGTTTTCCGACATGAAAGAGCTGTTCAACCTTGCGTTGCAGAGAATCACACCAGAAAAATGGTTAAAATGTGTGAAGCATGTTCAGGAGAAAGTGGAGGTTGCAATGTGGGAGCTAGACAACATAATTGAAAGGCATATTGAACCGCTAATTATCAACATCTATGATGACAGCTCTTCTAGTGAAAGTGAAAAATATTGATGTTGTCAAACACATATGTATAATTACTTTTTGTGCCCCCCTTAACTTTCAATCACCTCTATTGACTCTGTGACAGTAGTGTTGTGTTATTATTTACTGATGTCTCTTTTTCAAATATTTAGTTCTGAAATATCACCTTAATATTTCCATAGTTTTGAGTCCGACCCTGCTCGGTTCTTGTGTCTACGACCATCATGCCAGCGACGCGTGCTGGTTGTTGTGTCTGGTCTCACTTGAAATGGATTCAAGTATAGGTATAAATAATATCTTATGCTTAGTGGCAACCAAATCGGTCTGTATATAGATCGTGCGCAGTGAAATATGTCAAAAACTGATTAGAATAAAGCCTTCCAAATCAGCGACAACACCTTAATGCTGATCAAATTTTATATGGTCAGTTTCTTAGTTTTATGAAATAGTACAGGATTTCCCAGGAGACAACGTCAAGCCGGAAACGGAGGATAGGCCAAGTCGTAATAGTTACCAGAAAATTATAAAAAAATCTAAGTCGTGTACTCTGAGAATTAAAGGCTTTAAAAAATCGAAAAAATCTACACCCTATGATCTTTTAGTTCCCATTCCTATAAATTTCAATTTTATCTTAGACAGTGATGGAGAGTGTCATTCTGCGAAGTGACAGCAAGACACATAGTACCACAATTCACAATAAATGTTCAAACTGCCTTCCTTCAGCAGCAATGCAGGCGTGACATCTTAAAAAATGATCGGGTTATCAATCGGGCGAATCTTCAGTTACCAACAAATTCAGCTGCTTCCCTTATTCTGTCCCGTAGCTCAGATACATTTTCGATTGGCTTGGACTAAACTTTTTCATTCACCGCTCTCCAAAGTAAAAAAATCAAGTGGATCATCACAGGGTATAAATTTTCCAGTTTTTCCGATTTCTTTTTTAAGCCTATAATTTGAAAAGTACACAACTCATATTTTTCTGATAACTATTATGATTTGGCCTATCCCCCGTTTCCGGCTTCACATTGATATCTGGGACATCCTGTATATTATTGTATATTATAGCAACATGAAGCACGGATGAATGAAAATGTTGCTGGTAATACAAAATTGAAAAGCGGGAGTAGAGCTGCTTAGCTTCAGACACGCTTCTGAAAGTGAGTGCAGGCGGCTGAAAAAAATAAAATCAAATATTGTATTTATAGACCAAATATCAATTTATCGAAACACTTTGATGGACTTGAGCGTCCATAGGGGCTCAGGGCATCCCGAAATAATGAGGAAAATGAGCATTTCAAAAATGTGAAAAATGACGTTTTTGAAATTTGATGGCAATGAGATGTTTCTCGGACACCCGTTGTGAACAAGGTTTTTTGATTCACGATATTTCGATTCATATGATCTTCAACCGTCATCAAGTGAACTGAGAAAAATGAATCAATAACACCTTAATGCCCCTCATGTTTCACATGATCGGTTTTCTAAATATTTCCTATTTTTTTTCTCATGAAGTTGTAATAATACAAGAGAATATGTTACATGCGGTTATATCAGGATTTTATCAGAAATGAGATTCGCTATCGTAGTATTTTTGCAAAAGTTTCTTTGAAATTCTCGATACACGCGCTTAGACGAATGTATTGGGATAATATGTACATTAAAAAGTATAATGGTTATAATTCTGAACATTATTCAAAGCACAATTTTCATCATATATTTTGTTAAATGTTCACTAATTCAATGGCCATAAACAATACAAGATATAAGATATATACATGTTCAATAAGGAACCAGTCATCAACATCCGAGTATAATGAGAATATCCTGACTATTTTTCATGGACTGTCTATATCGTGAAGTGAGATGAAGCAATAACATTTTGTGCATATTGTGGGTAGTGATATCATTACATGAGAGTGTCAGACATTGTTTTTTGGATGCTAAAGATAATTTTATTGTGTAAAGCATACTACACTTTGATTGTCTCAAAACACAACTGTCTTTATAGAGTAGACTTTTCAAACTTCCATATATAACTGCGCCTACAAAACTGCTTGTCCAGGAATACTGGATGTCAGCTCCAGTCTCGAGAAAGCATGTAAAGCTGATATGTTACATAGTTATCGTACTCTTACCTTAAATCTAACACAATCACAGGATCCGAATTCTGCTTGTCGCTGTCCGAGTTGTAGAAAATTATTTTCCTGCTAGAGACGACGACGTACTGCCGTTTCCAGCCGTGCCGCCTGATATGTTTAGACGGTATGGAAAGCCACCCTTCGAACACGTAATCTGGTTCATCCCCTTCATTGTCAGCTGAACTGAGAGAGGCAGTCTCGCTATTCAGCGCGTTTAGCTTCAGATTCAGCTGCTCCAGGTCGGCGTCTTTGCTGTCCAACTCCATTTGAAGGCGTTGCTTGGCGGCCATCTCTTCATTCAATTGGATCTAAAAATGAATAAAAAAATAAGTGGATCCAAGTAAGTTTAAGCGTTAAACATATACCTTATTTTTACCCTACATTCTGAGTCGAGGTCGACCGATATAGGATTTCTGATATGTTAAAGGCCGATATACGAGGTCTGTAAATTAAGTGATGAGACTAGCAACGCAGCATTCGACCTGGTAACACTGGAGGTGCCGGGTTTAGCGGGGAGACAGGGGACCGTGTGATCCGCCTTCGGTACAAGTATGAACCCGCTCGTGTCAATTTGGTTGTCTGTAGCGATTTTTTTGTGAAAGTTTTTTCTATTGTATTCTAAAAATGAGTGGCATCAATTTCGAGCAACGGTGTGCTATCAGGTTTTGCTTCAGATTTGGGCACAGTGCAACGGAAACTCTTGCTGAACTTCAGCATGCCTAAGGAGATAGTGTTTTGTCAAGAGCCCAGGTTTTTCGGTGGTTTAAGACATTTTCAGAAGTTGACCGAAATTGAACCACGAAGCCTTCATCTTCAAGAACCGATGAAAATATCGACAAAATCCGGGATCTTGTGCATTCAGATCGTCGGTTGATAGTCAGAATGATCGGGAAGAGTTAAATTTGACTCAAACCACCATACATCAGATCAAGAACAACTGGTGGCTGCATCGCGATAACGCTCCTTGTCACACAATACGATAAACAACGAGCTTTGGCCAATAAAAACATTCCTGTTGCTCCTCGGCCTCGTTATTCGCCAGACTTGAGTCCTTGTGACATTTTTCTCTTCCAGAAGTTGAAAAATCGCCTCAAATTGGGACAATCGAAAACATTGAAACGGCTGTAACCGACCAGCTGAAAGCTAGTCCAGAATTGGAGTTCCAGCACTTCTATGAGGAGTGGAAGAACCGTCTCCAGCGCTATGTGGCTTCAGAAGCAAGTTATTTTGAAAAAATAATAAATATAAAAAAACAGTCTCATCACCTAATTTATATAGTTTTTTTTTCAACGATTCACTTATTTTAATAACGTAGAAAAAACTTGAACTGCTATATTTCATCCAATAAAAAGTGGTAGTTATTCTGAATACTGTTCATCTATTAGAAGCCACTTTCAGTTTGTTTTGGGTGGTACCAAGCTTTTTAGAAAGCTTGCGAAACTGTGGCTGAAAATGACGTGATACTTTATAGATATACCACGTCTAATAATCATAATCCAACGTTATTATAAATAGATACAGGTACAAATAAGTATAATCCGCTATTTGACTTCAAAATGCAAAAATTACAACACAAACTTGTTAATACTTACACTCAAATCTTGTATGTTCTTCTGATAATTAGCTATCATCTGATTATACTTGTCTTTCTCCAAACTCAACTCTTGCTGTAACTTTTTCAAATCCTTCTCCTTTCGTCTGAGATCCGCATTCGTCACCTTTGATTTACCCTTGATAGAATCCCTCAGATCCTTCCTGTTCATGATTTCATGCAACTTATTGACAGCCGTTTGTTTGAGCAGAGATTCAGTTTTCAGTTTTGCCATTAGTTTTTCTATTTCTTCGTTGTTGCCAGTCTTCTTGCTCAGTTCTTCTTGCAGCTGTAAGAAAAATGTTATTGAAGTGACGCTTACACATTCAGAAAAAATGCATCAATAATTGGATACTAGGCAACAAGAAGTACTGAAGTGAACAACGCGAGCAACAAAAATAGTTGATTATGTACTAAGAAGCAGCAACATTACTGATTTTATGAAAAATATGTTGAAATTAAACCATTTTTTTATAGTTACAAAACATTTTAAAAATCATAATAGTCACAATGAATTTTACAGATCAATATTAAAAAAGGAATAAAACTCAACCTATAATTTCCACACAAGTTAAAATACTTAAATATATTTTGTTCTACTCACTTGCTTAATTTGCCTAATATATTCTTCTTTGTCCTTTTGCCACTGCTCACTCATCTTTTTATATTCTATTTCCCTTTCTTTGTATGTGCCCAAAGCTACCTCCTTCATGTTCATATCATTACGATGTCTTGCAAGGAGATCCTTTAACTCTAATTCTTTCATTGTCTTCTCCTTCTCCAACTCTGCAACTGTCTCCTCTGCGATTGAACGTGCCAAAGCTTCGGAGTCTGCTCTTGCCAATGCCAACTGACACTGATGTTTCAAGGACATCCTGCAAATTGGGGATAATTTGGAGGTTAGATTGGTTTACTATATCATCAATGAGATCAATTTCTTCAACACATTACAAAGTTGCGGCAAAATTTCGATGCAAATCTGAAAAAATTTGGAATAGAACAAACCACTTGCCTTTCTTCCTCGAATTCCTTATTTATACGATTTTTCTCGTCTACTTCCTCCTTCAGTTCGCTAGTTTGAGTTTTATACAAAGTTGAGAAATATTGTTCAGTTTCTAGTGATTCTTGCAATTCCTTCATCTGAAGTTGATCTCTCTGCCATATATTCTTCACTTTCAGCAGTTCTTCCTCCAAAGTACGTTTGATATCCTACAAATACACACATGTACTTACAAATTACACATACAGAATAAAATTAAACGCTTGTAGTTTATGCAATATATTGTCAAATAAATCAGGTCAATTGTTCAAATTGTATGCTTACCTGTATATGACTGAGTTCCATCAAAAGTTGAGCTTCTTTTGCCTTAACTTTAGTTAACTCGGCAGTCTGTTGACCCATTTCTGATTGTAAGATAGTCTTCTTCTGTTGCTCTTGCTCAAGCTGGCTATGCAAAGCTTTCACTTTCTCCACTTCTTGCCTATATTCACCTTCCAGCTTTTGTAATCGTTGCTGTATCTGCCTATAGTCAACAGAAAGCATAGAGATTTGTCTTTCCTTCTCTTGAGAGTTAAGGTCCGCCTTCTGCCTGGCACTTTTCTCTTCATTCAGTTTCGTTTGTAGTGCTGTAAGTTATATATTGACACTGTATGATCTCATCAAAATTGCATTTATATGCTGTTAAAAATCAAATCTGTGCTTTGAGAGGATATTAGACACATGAAATGTATGTTGCGTATCTCTATCTCAACAATGTATTGAAAAACTTGAGTGTTAAGCTGATACATATTATTATTAACATAAGCTCTGATGTATGGGGATTTCCAATAGGGACCTGACAACTTTGAACTTTCACTGTGAACGCACCTTTAAATCAATTACCGAACTGTCAATGTCAAAGCATTCAGTAAATGAAAAATTTTCATCAAGCTGAAGTACATGAACGAACAACGCTTACAAATAATTAAAATTTACTACCGAAATTCCGAGTCGGTGACTGCAACTTTAAGAGCGTTAACGCCAATTTTTGGGTGTAATTCTCGACCCAGTAGACAAGCAATTCATAGTCTAGTAAAAAAAAGGAGTCCACATATTCGCTGCTGGATGGTCCCGTGCCAGTGAGACAACGGGTTGGTCGAAGTGCCGAGAATATTGCTGACGTTCAAGCTTCCGTCGCAAACGAACAGAACACGTCGATTCCATGGCGTTCTCAAGAATCTCATCGCTCAGACCACACAATGGCGAATTTTGCGAAGAGATCTTGGCCCTTATAAGATCAAGTTAACTCAAGAACTAAAGCCGTCCGATCACATGAACCGACGTACCTTCTCGAATTGGGTTCTTGAAATGTTGCAAGAAAATGACCAATTTCATCGCAAAATCTTCTTCAGTGATGAGGCGCATTTTTTGATAAACAGCTTACCTGTATGGTGTGGTTTTCATTCCGGTAGTGTCATTGGGCCGTTTTTTTTTTTCGGGTGAAACAATCGACATATTGAAATCAAAATGCGGTGAACGCGTTATATCGAGAAATGGTCATGTCGAATGGCGGCCTAGATCGTGTGATTTAACACCTCTACACTTTTTTTGTGGGGCTACATTACATCATTGGCCTATGCCCTATGCCATCAAGCCAGCGAAATGTGTGGCCGTGTCACTGAAAATTGGGTTCCACGAATCGGACATATGAACGAGGTCGAATTCCATACATAAATGTTTTGAGTATACTTCAATCCAATAATAAAATTTTCGTGATATCTCGAATGGTTTGCGTTTTATTTAAAAAGAAGGTTGTCAAGTCCTTCATGGAAAACCCTATACAATACTTAACAGTTTATGGGTGACAATTTAAATATCGATAATGCAAAAACGATGCGAAGTTACAATATGAGAAGGTACCCCACTCATGTAACCAGATATACACAGTCCCATATTAACCTCCACACCTAAGTATTTAGAAAATATTCTGGAAAAAAGTTTCAAGTAAAAGTTGTAACGTATGGAGGTGGTAAAATGATTGTGACCTTGAATTTATTCCAAGTCATTCCAAATTCAAGGGAATATTTTAGAACCTCGGAATTAAAAAGAGGAACAAATTTTACGATCGAACATAACCAGGACCATGATAATTGCCTTCTAGGCCATTTAAAGGTCAAATCATGGAAACAAACAATTTACTCTGGTAGCAATTTTCGAAAGCACAGTTGTGAAGTTTGGTTGGTTTTATATTCAAACGTGACCTCGACCTCAAATCACATAGTACATGCTGGGCAAGAGCTTGACTTTGACGTCAAGGTCACAATCAGACGTAAAATTTCATTTTCCAATACCAGTATAAAAATAACAGGTTTCTTTTGAAAAATTTGACTTGATCCTGAAGGTCAGGGTGGGGACATTAAAATGAATGTAAACTGTATATAGTTGAATAAATTATTAATTCAGTGAAAGCATCGTCAAAATTCGAGTTATACATCCTTAATTCATGCATAATAGAATAAAAAAAATCTAAAAGGCCATAATATATATTACCAAGGAGTTGATTATAATGCTACAATTATAATGAATGAAAGTTTGCGTAGATAGATGTACCTACATTGCAATACTACAGATTAACAATCAATGTGCAATACAAGTTGAATTGCTAATATAATTTTACCTTTGATTATCCGATCCATCAGTTCTGCGGGAAAATTTAGGATTGGTAAGTTACTCTTTTAGATGAAATTACCACTGATTTAAACTAACAATAAATCACAGTAGATAAAATTTGTATTGAGAATTTAAAAAAAATATATATCCTCTACATACCTTTAACTACTTCCATATTCGCTTCTTCCTTATTCATCACCCTACTCCTTTCAGTCTCTTCATGGGCCTTAACTTCCTGCTGATACCTATTCTTCACCGCTTTCAATTCCAGATCTAAGCTAGCACATTCTTTTTCCAAAAATGATACCTTCTCAAGTAGCTGAGTGTTGTCGCCTGATGTCTTCATCTCCCTTTGTCGCAATCTGAAAGTACATTAAAATTACTCCTGTGCCAAAAATTCAAATTTCTGAGCTATATACAAATATGCGGCCGATTAATGCCTTGCCAGATGACGAGAAGCTGTTCGAAGGAATAATATACGAACAAATCATTGATTTTACTGAAAAAAATTTTGACAAAATATCAAGCTGGATTTTAAATATTCTACAGAAACAGCAATCCAAATAGTGGTGGAAGACTGGAGAATAAGCATAGACGAGAAAGAATCTATTGTAACAGTATTTTTAAACTTCAAAAAGGCATTTGATTGGAAATATGTCATGCCTTCAAAACTAGGGCCGTTACGTTACTGTTCAATATATATATATATATATATATATATATATATAAATGATATCTCTGACATTTTAGAACACTGCAAAATTCAAATACTTGCGGTCGATATATTGGTATATATAGCACATAAACATTTGGACATTACATTAGAACTGTTCAATAGTTATATTAAAAACTATGAATTAGTTTAATGTTAAGTTAGTTCTCATTTTCATATTAAAATTAAAAAATTATTTATGACAACCACATTTAACTTCACAAAATTAAATAGTCAATACCATATAATTTTATTTTGTAACAAATAATCATATAAAATTAACATTACAGCAATAATGCTAAATGAATCAACAACCAAAAAATTGCAACAATAAACAGGAGTCAACTTATCTTCGAGATATAGTCTAGCAATCATCAAATTAACAACACACCAATATCTAGGTGTACTCATGGTCGCATTTTTAGTTTCAATTTTCCTGTCATCTGGTAAGCTGTAAAAGTGGAAACCAAAAATATTTACCTCTCCATTTCCGAACTCATCGACTGCAACTTATTTTCTAACACTATTTGATGATCTGATGCTTGAGATCTCGAGTTCTTTTCATGTGTTAATTGTTCTTGTAGAGATGCTACTTCGGCCTGCAAGGTATCTCTCTGAGACTGGAGCGATTGCAACATGGTTTGGTATTCAGCAATCTGAAACAAAATTGACAATGTAACTCCTAAGGTACTGAATTAAAAAACCCAAAGGACTTGAAACAGAACAAATACAAAATTTGCTTACCTTCAATTCTGATTGAGATTTCGCGATTGTCAAATCGTTCGTTTGCTTCCTGAGCCTTTGGCAATTCTCAGCCTCTATTTTCAATTTATCTTGCATCTCATTAACTTGCTTCTCCAATAAATGTATCCTGTCATTATGTTGCTGATTGTTATTCATCTCTCTCGTCCTTTTGCTTTGTTCTTCCTCAAACCGCTTTTTAAGATCAGATAGATATTGCTCTGTATTTTTCCTAAGATCACTCTCATATTCTGCTTTTCTTTGAGCCTCCTTATAGTTGTGCCTTAATATTGTAAGGTCTTTCTCGTATTTGCTTACTTCTTCCCTAATATCACTCTCCCTGCAAAATATCGAGATATTTTTAAAAAAAGTATGGATGTTCCAGTGGTGGAATTAGAACATATATGGTTTCCGAAAAATAACAAAACATCTCCAAAAAAATAAAATACCTTTGAGTTATTGCTTCTATTTCAGCTAATAACTGGATCTGCTTTGCCTCTAACATTTCTGCATTGCTTTTTTCCTGTTCTAGTAATATTTCTAGTTTGGTAACTTGAGCATTGGTATATTTGTTATCTGTTATGTCCATTGACATACTATCTAGACATTCCTTGGATAGAAGTTGATGATCAGAATTATATGTAAATCCTAAAACAGGAGATATTAGATTATTACAAATTACGGCATGTAAGAATGTGTAATCGCAAAACTACTCATCTGAAGATTTTTTTCATAAAAAATGAATCATGTGTATGAACTCACCTATAAATGGTAAATGATTGCCGACAAATGTATTTGGAACGGGGAAGACTTCTTCAGGTGTTTCGTCCTTTTCATAGTCATCAAAGTTACTGGTGTCATCATCTCCACTTAGTTCTGGTACAACAGGTGGTGCCATATCACGCAAGTTCTCAAATGTCCATCCCTCATCATTTATGAAAAATGGATGACTTTTTATCTCATCAACACTGTTCCTGCCTAAACGTTTTGACCTAAAAGAAAAAATTTAAACTTCATGAAGAAATTCTCAAAAAAGACTCATTATAACCATAGATTATATAAGAACTAAGTCATACCTATCACATAATAGTCCTTTGATAAACGATTTTGATTCATTGGATATTTCTACTTCTTCTGGGAACGTAAGATTACTTTCATGGTACATGATTTTATTGTAGGTTCCTAGTAAACTGTCTGCATAAAATGGAGTTTCACCAACAAGCATTTCATATAAAAAAATCCCTACTGACCACCAATCGCATTCTCTACCATATATTCCTGAAAAAACAAATAGTGATATTAAAGCTACAAGTTGGCAGTAAAATAAAATAAATGGTATATGGTATACTTATCATATCTATTCTGCCAACTTATTTCTAAGCTCTGTACTAAGTTGCCAAGTTCTGGAATTCAACCACCCCTTATGGTTGTACTTACCCTGTCCATGGCTTTGTAAAACCTCAGGAGAAATGTAATCAGGTGTACCAACTACATTATTAGATCTGACCAGTCCATCTTCATCCATCCTCATACAAGTACCAAAATCGGCTAGCTTCAAATGTCCATACTTATCAAGAAGCATATTATCAGGCTTAACGTCTCTGTGTACAAAACCCATCGAATGTATCACATCTAACGCCAACACGATTTCCATTGTATAAAACTTCGCCCAAGTCTCTGTAAAAAGACAGTAGATTAGGACCCTTAAAAACAATTCTGCAATGAAAATATTCCATTCTCATTCAGCAACTCTCCTCTATTTGGCTGAGACCACATTGAAAATAATAGGCTGAGTGGCTAGAGGATAGCATGCATTTATTAGCTGGAATGATATATCCCAGCTGGAATGATATATCCCAGCTAATAAATGCATTCACCTATGTAAATAGCCACATCATGTGCACCAAGCATATATTCCAGTAAACTGAGATGAGAGATACATAAATAGATTCCCGACATTGTTATTTTTATAGTACTCCACCATGTAAAATCCTATGTCGCCTCTTGGTATCCTGGCATTCCTCCGCAATGTAGGTTATCCTGTCACTATGCTTACCACCTGGGTCTGCGTCATTTTTAGATTCATACTACCACATTTTAATATTCTTTCTGAATTTTCCTTTCACCCTCTATGTCTACTCACCAGGAATATCATAATCAGACATCAAGTTGACTATATCCCCGCCAGGCATATAATCCATGACCATATATAAATGCTTAGAATCTTGGAAGGCAAAATGTAGCTGGACGATCCACTCTGACTTAGCATGAGCCATAATGTACCTTTCCTCCCAAAAGAATGCTGAATCCGACCGTTTGATCAAATCAGCTTTGCTTAAACGTTTCATGGCATAAACCTGAAAAATTCAATAAAGATTAAAACATCCATAATGTAACCTATTTTTTTCCACATTTTCCTTTGACAGTAAATGTCACTCTACGGCTATACCAAGTGGAATCATTTCAATCCATCTCAAAATTCTTATGATTGATAAAATCTAATTATCAGCCAGAACAAAGTCATTCTTGAAGAGCTCATTTCTTAAGAATTGGGATGAAATCAATTCTATGCTCATTTTTTAATTTTGTAGTGCAACACTAAAAGGTTGTACAGCTGATATGGAATGATACTGACCTGTCTTGTATGTTTGTGGCGCACCAGCTGTACTTTGCCGAAGGCACCTCTTCCAATCACCTTGATGTGTTCAAAATCATCAGTGTTCATGCGAAGATTAATTATATCACTGGCAAAGTCATCATCTGAAAGTACAAAACAAATTTTAATTCATTCTCCTCTCCCATGGATCTAGGCGAGTAATATCTTGGAGCCCGTCTATAACAAAATGATTGTTTATGAGTAAATGTTATTGAAGGTTATTGTTTATTCTCAAACCTGTAAACTCAGAGGACAACCGGATGTGTTGTCATGCAGGAGAGCCCCAGAACATAGGTTTCATTCACATATTACCAAAGTACAGTTTGATTTGGGCTCAGAACAAATTAGTGACGTTAGGTGTTAGAATCTCTAGCTTTAAAAAAAACTAAACTATGCTTAAGTTAAGCAAGTTCAGCCAGTGATTAAATTCAAACTTTTCCTTTGGCAACTCAATGTAAGATAGCCGAAGACCTAAGAGTTATGAGCTTATTGTTGTGATGTGTCTTCAACAGACACGTCAGATTAAGTCAGAATATGTCATGTGTACATTAACCACCACTTCTATATATCCCCATGTTACTCAAATGGTCCTTGAACTTAGCTTTGAGAAGGCTTAAGTATATAAAAAATGTCTCTTTAATCATTGTATTTTATCATTATGAAAATTCGAGGCTAATGCCTGGTACTGCCCAAAATCTTGACATTATAACATACATAATATGTTCATGATCAATCCAGTTATGCAACTAGGATGCAAGTTTGTAACAGTTTGGATATATTAGGAAAAAGACTTGATTTTAAATGTAAACATAAACATCAATAAATCCGAATGTTGCTGGAATTTTAATGGTATTATGACGTACAATCATTCACACATTGTAAAATTTTAACCAAAAGAATTTTGTTCTCAACCATTTTTATGGCCCCGTGCTTTTACGCAGTTAGTTATAGTTCATGCGTTGATTTGATTCGGGATTTTATAGTATTCAATATCGCTAAATATGAAAAACTACAAAATTGTTCATATTATATGAAATTGGGAACTGGTTCAAGAAAATCAGAACTAAATTTAAATATTTTAATGTTGAAAAATATAATATATGAGAAAGTTATAAATTACTTCTCCTTTTTCTTCAAGATGACCAACTATATTTTTTCTAAGTATCATAATTTTCTATATTGTTCAGTCTTCCAGAGAAAAGCAAAAGGGTATCCTCTCCTTTTAATGGTATTCCTTCGATGGGCTACACATAATGAATTCTTAAAAAAATATGCTATTCCATCTTTACAGTATGGGCAAGAGGGGCATTCGCTCAGTGCTCCACCTTGAAATAAATGTCTATGCTGCCTCCCCCTACGCATTTCATTTTTCTCAACAGTGAAGTCAAGCCGCAGCCTTGCCCCAAGGGCCCCTTCAGCCAACAGCCCAGAGGCCCCTATATGGCTTAAGACAGTTCTGCATCCAGGCTGTAATTTCTTAGATCTATCTAGGATCGAGAAATGCTTTCCAAAATTTCATAAAACATCACAGCAAGGCTACCACTATGGTAAGAGCAAAAGCAAAACGAGCCCAATGAAAATCAGTCCGGTGGCAGCGGTTATTTGCAAAAAAAACGAAAAACGAGAACACAAGAAAATTGAACCTCATTTTTTTACATTCCTGTGACTTTTTAAAATACTTTGGAGAAATTATTCATTGAGGTTTTGAGATTGTAAGTATATTTATAGAGCTTATAGAAGACATATCTATCAGCTTTTGACATTGTAATTTGTTAGCTTGAATTTTTTGCTAATGCTAATTCATAATATTTCAAATTTATTATATGTTGACCAAAAAAATGATGAACTGATGGTATTGCATAGGAAATACAAAGTACCTTACTTGACAACTTTTTTATTCCACTATAACAAAATTATTGTTATATACATGCACAAAAGAATTCTGCAATCCTTAGTTTACTAAATATACATTATTCACCAAAATAGTCAGAAGTGTAAACAATATTAAAATGTATTTTCACCACACCATCTGTATACCATGTAAATCAAGTATGAAGCAGCCAGAGAATACGCACGAAGATTTCCAAACAGATGACATCCAACTCGCTCAGTATTTGTAAGAGTGCATCGCCAAATAATTGAAAATGGTTTTGGAAATCTCCAAAGGGATCAAAACATAAATGTTCGTCAACGCAGATTTACCCGTATGATTCTGCGTGAGTTTGATATAGATCCGACCACAAGTGTTAGGAGAGTTTCTTTTGCCTTGGGAATTTCAGCAAGCCATGTTCACCGTGTTCTTAGAAATGACCATAGACGTCCTTACCATTTGCAACCTGTGCAAGGACTACAGCCAGGGGACGGAGAACGAAGAATCACATTTTGTCAGTGGATTCTTGATAGAACTGATAATAATAGGGAGTTTTTAAGTAACGTTTAATGGACCGATGAGTCATGCTTCACTAGACGTGGAGTGGTAAATTTTCATAATCAACATATTTGGTCGCATGAAAATCCGCATGCAGTTCGGGAAGGAAATTTTCAGCATGAATTTAGTGTGAAAGTGTGGATAGGTATCTACCGTAATCGACTATTTGGACCCTACCTTTTGCCTGCAAGGTTAAATGCTGCGACCTTCTTGGAATTTTTAAAGGCTGAACATGCAAATATGTGGGATGATGTTATGTTAGATTTAAGAAGATTGGCCTGGTTCCAGCTTGATGGTTGTCCAGCTCATTATTCGAGAATAGTTAGAAACTGGCTGGACGAAAATTATCCAGAAAGATGGAGGACCAGTCGCCTGGCCTCCACGATCCCCTGACCTAAATCCATTAAATTTCTTTGTGTGGAGATTTCTAAAAGAAAAAGTGTACCAGACTCCCGTAACCACAAGAGATATGCTAATAGACAGAATCAGGAATGCATGTGATGAAATAAGGCCTTATTTGAATAATGTTATACCACGTTCGATCATTAGTAGATGTGAATTGTATATTGAACAATTGGGTTTACATTTCGAGCAACTACTTTAGATTTTGTATGTTTGTCCTAACTATCCAATAGTATTTTAGTTGTAAATAATTAATTTAATTTGTTAAAAATAATATTGGAAGATTAAACAAATTAATATTGTTTTTTTGTGTTTATTTGGAGTTAGGAATCATTGCTGTGTTTAAAAACACAATCTAAACGATCATCTTAATTACTTGTAATGCCCCAATCGAAAATGTAAAAAAAAATATTTTTTTCCCATAAATAATTAAAAATGCATCGAACCTTAAAAATCGAAATATCTCAAAAACGGCTAACTATAACGAAAACTCCCAGGAGAGCTTTTTTATGTTGAAAAGTGCGAGGAATCAGATTTTTTATTCAAAAAGCAAAAAATTGCACTAAGAAAAATTTTTCGGTCATTTTAATACACTACAGGTACAGTAGAGAGCGCCCTCTAGATGCTACAGTAAAACCATGCCCATGGTTCGTTTTGTCGTACCAAAAAACCCTTGTATACCAATTTCCACTGTTATACATCAAATATTGTTCGAAATATTTAAAAAAAACTATTTTAGAAAGTAAATTTAAACACCCTGTATTTCGGAAGCCACGCATTTTTCGACCCATGTTTATATAGACTTTATGCATTAATTTTAAAAGTTCTATCGAATCTTAAAGTTATGCAACAATAAACTGAAACACCCTGTATATATATATAGGGTGGCCCATCCATGTGTGGACGGAATATTACTCATAAACAAATACATTCTGTGGAAATCTATTTATGGGATGTTATACATGACATTTGAGGGCACATTTCTAAAATATTGGCCATTATACAGAGTGTCCCAATTTCGACCTACATATCAAAGTTGTGATTTTTCAAATGAAATGCCTCAAATTTTATTTCATATTTGGGTAAACCGATTCAAAAGAAGAAAATTGATATAACATACTATGGGGTTTTGGTAATTAGCTACTGAGATATAAGGTGTTTTGTCTAGAAAAAAAAACCACTTCGCCAAACCCTCAGTCCGCCATTTTGAAATTTGAAGTGCTGAGTTTTGTACCAAAAAAAAACTTACACACCTCAGCCTTTATCTTATTTGTTACTTTTTCGAATTTTAATTTTTGCTCATACAGGGTGGTCAAAAACGCAAATTTTAGTTTTTCTCAAAAATTTCAAATGCATCACCCTGTATATTTGTGCAAGTTTGGATTACATTTTTTATAAGCTTTTTTTTATACTAGACACATAAGGGTTTTGACGGCTATTTTTTTGGTTATTAGCACGTTTTTTATGGATCGGCTTAATTCCCTAAAATATCGCAGCATCCTTGGAAATAAATAAATTGTTGATTAGTTACAAACTGTCAAAATTAGCTTTGTGAGCATTCTTATTAAAAACGTGTATGAAAATGAATTTTTCTAAAGAAGAAATGGTGAATATGGTGTTCATTTTGGGTGAAGCCCACTGAAATAGTTTCCTAGCATCTCGCATTATATCTTGGCCTCCAAGATCACCAGATATGACACCGATAGACTTCTTTCTATGGGGCTTCGTTAAGCAAGAGGTTTATAGATATCCACCATCTACCCCGGAAAACATGAAGGAAAGGATTAAGGAGGCTTTTCTGAACATAAGGGAACACATGGATGTGCGATGGTCATTTATCCAAAGACTATTGCTGTGTATTCAACATGGTGGAGATGTTTTCGAGCAGTTTTTGTAGATTAGGTCTTGAGTAGTGATAGTTTGTTTATGTTGTTGTTATAGTTGTCTTTCTCTATTACACTTGAAGCTGAATACTGTTCTGCTTGTTATTAATTTTTACGTCAAATATGTACTCTTAGTGGCAATATGGAACTAGCCCACTGTCTGTTTGTTTCCATGGATGATGTGATTTTTTTCCTTAATTTTGGTGTGTTGTTCTATTAAAAGCTTAATAACTCAAAATCTAGTGATTTTATCTGAATCAAACCCAAAAAAGCTTATACAAAATTGAATCCAAACTTGCACAAATATACAGGGTGATGCATGAAATTTTTGAGAAAAAATACTATTTGCGTTTTTGACCACCCTGTATGAGCTAAAATGGAAATTCGAAAAAGTAACAAATAGGATAAAAGCTGAGGTGTGTAAGTTTTTTTTTATACAAAATTCAGCACTCCAAATTTCAAAATGGCGGATTGAGGGGTTGCCGAAGTGGACGGTTTTTCTGGAAAAAACACCTTACATCTCAGTAACTAATTACCAAAGCTCCTTAGTATGTTATATCAATTTTATTCTTTGGAATTGGATTATCCAAATATGCAATAAAATTTGAGGCATTCCATTTAAAAAATTACAACTTTGATATGTAGATCAAAATTGGGACACCCTGTATGATTGCCAATAGTTTAGAAATGTGCCCTCAAATGTCATGTATAACATGCCATCCATAGATTTTCCTAAATGGATTTGTTTATGAGTAATATTCTGTCCACACATGGATGGGTCACCCTGTATATATTGTTACTCCCTATTAATGTGTTTTTTATCTTTCAGTGTATATTAATAAAAGGATTGACACTTCATAACTTCCCCCAAAAATAAAATTAGTAGTGGATGCTGAGCACATCACATTGTAGTAGTGACTCTGTTAGCATCCTATTGATTCATGTGACTGCTAACATAAAGCACTTCATGTTTTAGAGGATAAGAGGACATTTACAATTGTTGCATTACCATTAATTATACAAATAATACTTGGCTTGTAAAACAAATTATCTCAAGATGTAGCTTTCTGGACCCAAAGCTGTTTTTAAAAAACTGTAACTCATAATAGGATATTGAAAAGATATGTTTCTATACTGATTTATTGAAAGCAATTGGGAAATTAACATGTTCACTGCCACTTTGGTCCTATAGGACCAACACTCATGTTGCCTCAGCAGGCCACATTGGTCCAATAGGGCCAACATATATTTTGCCTTACCAGGGTATGTTGGTCCCATGGCGTCAATGCATTTTCTAATAGATGCTGTGCTGTTGGTGCTCATTTACCTATGTACGCCTGTAGAAATGGACCAACATGGCCTAGAAGCTATATGCTGCACATATAATTTGTTAGATTCATTATGACAATTACTGTCATCAAAATGCATATCCTCTGTGCTTTAATCTCCATGCTAACGTTTTGATCACAACACCCTGTCAATTGTACTTTGCATCAGTTCAGTATTTGCATGAAGTATAATGCTTCAGGTTCCCTCACAAGGCACCTTATCAGTTTTGATAGCTCAGAAATGTATGATCAGGTGTATGCTTCTCAGATATATGATGTAGAGCATATTTTATGAGGTTGAGTTTTTTAACTGCAACATCTGTTCATTGGAGAACATTCAAACTTAGCAAACTACAACTTTAATTGTTTTAACACTATGCAGATAATATGACAATTAAAATTAAGGTAAGATTTAACTTGAGCATACCTCCCCATACTTCTACATTTTTTAAGAAGGGCCTATTTTATACATGGCCATAAAAGTATAAAACATGCCACCAAACAACATTAAAAATGCATCAAATTTGCTCACTGTTAAGCAGATAACTGTTCTATTGGAAATGTTTGTATGATTTTAAATTTTTAAAACAATTTGTCCTATTTTTGGTTTGAATTTCATATGAATCATATTTTATTATATATTAAACTGTTCCATCACATCAATAGGAATCTATGTCTTTGTTGTCAAGATTTAGTTCGCAATAAAAGCAATTTGGATAACATGTATTAAAATATGTTTCTCATAAGAAAGTAATGAGCAATGTAAAAAAAGCCTTATAAGTGCATACTTACATCTGTTTAAGTACACTTCAACATTTTTCAGTTTCTTTATTGCAGGATAGTCACAGTCTGTGTATAAGGCTTGAACTGTATCCAGAAGGGAATCAATATTAGCTTTTCCTCTGGAATCCTGAATTTTATCTTCTAGAAGGCGAAGTCTCCTTCTACGATCATCGTCCTGTATTGTATTCATATTTGAATAAGTTACCTGAAAATACTGTTTTTATCTCATGTGCACCGCGCAGTATGGATCATGTATACTATTTCACAAAAATCATGTGTTCACTATGTAGACTCAGAAAAATGCATCACCGGAAGACTATGAAAGGGGGGTTTTAATGATGAATTAATTATGTGATAAAATAGTAAATACACAATCTTGGAAAAATCTTTAAAAGTCGGTCTCGACCACTAGGTTGTACAATCCATAATAATACACTTCTCACCTTAGCATTACAAAATATAATATAAAAATTATTCTTATCTCACAAAAAGCAGTAGTAGTGATTAATAATTAGCTTATGAATAGCATTAAATTAAAACTATTTCACTTGAAAAGAAATCATATTTGTTTAATATCTAAGCAGCCATTTTAATATTCGACTATCATTCTTATTACGTCAGCTGTCGATATCGTGACATGGAACATAAATCACGAAACTGACAGGTTGTAACACGGAAACAGAGCGTGGTTTGACGAGCATCCAGTCCCACGTGTTTAGTCGTGTTTTATGTTAATTGGTCAACTACACGTGCTTTGGAAGTTGCGGTTTGTGGGAGGCTAGAGCAAAAATCAAACAGAGCCGTATTGACCAAGTTTTTTTCTTAAAAATGTTTTTGGTATGATTTTTATTTTAACTCGAAGATTTCTGTGGGTTTGTTAATGTACTCACTATGAAGCGTTTCCAAATGTTGTTTAAGTTTATTAGGGTTCAGGCTATCTGGTGCTGAGGTTTTTGAGCAAATGATACACAGAGACCTCTCTTCTTCATTGACTTCAGTACATGTAAACCCAAAATTCCTGTATTCCATATAATTTCTTGATTTTAGTGTTGAAACGTCTATCGCCTGTGCACTTGTTGATGCTTCACTAGTATTGAATGCTCGCTTACAGGCACTTAAAAATTTATCCATGATTTGGTATAAATTTAAGTATACTGCTGGGGATATACAGGGTGTCCGCAAAGTTAAATTAAATTTACTTATTCTCGGTAGGTTGTAGGAATTGTAATTAAGGCTGTACTGTAAGTTTAGCGTCAAAATGCTCAAGGTACATTAATATTGTAAACACACATCATTGTGTCAGGGGGTGGGGGGATAATTTTTGAAAATTGGGTCGCGAATTTTGAAAGATTAAGAAACTCTGTGCTAGGGAACTTGATAAATTCTATAGCCCGGTGATATAGAAGAATAAAAGGATATTCAGGGAAATGTGGTCGACATATGATGATAATAAAAATTGAAGTTCCGTGAACGTCACTCCGGCGACCCTATACTCTTTCGGTTTAATATATGATCAATTTTCTACACCAGAGTGATCTCACAACAGCGCCTTAGCTAGATGGATATATAAGGTAGCATAGGTACATTAAAAATAAGATACCATCAGATACAAAAAATCATTTATTTTGTTGCCTTTCATTCTTTTCACTAAGCAGATATATAAAGGACTTCAAGCAGTCTTAATAGCATCTGAAATTATTTACAATGAAACACCATACCACAATTATTGTTCATTGATTTTTCATGTTGAATGTTTAATATTTTCTTATGGTACAAACAAGCGTAATACTTCTCTTTACAAGCACGATCTGGATATCAATATGCAACAATGCTTTTATGTAATACTTCTATTTAAGTCTAGTGCACTACTACTATGATTATGAGAAAATAAATATGTATAATAGAATTAGAGAATAAAAGTGAACACAGACATAAAGCATTATGACCTAAAAAATTAGTACTTAAGTAAAAATAAGATAAAACGAATTTCAAGATGCTTGAAATGTAATAGTTTTAAATGCAATATGTACTGAACCTTTTGTAAATTATAATTTGATGAACAAGATCAATCTGATAATAAAGAAACTCTTCCATAATTTGATAGATCCACTATATAGCAAACCCAAAAATAATATAAATTATGTGACGTACTGAAAAATAAATCTAACAAGTTGTACAAATATCTGATTTTATCATATACCACTTCCCATTCAATGAACATAACATAAGCAAAAAATATACTGGCAGAATATCAAGTAATTTTCTCATGGAAAAATATTTAAAACATTATTTGAACTAAATAATACGGCAGTTATTTAAAGCTTAATTTAACTTTGTTACATAAAAATCACGAAATCAATATCCATAATTGCGTTTTCTTACCTGGCTAAGTTTTATTACAGAGGTTCTTTGGGAAATAAAAAGTGCAGACGGTCATACGCGTTGACGTATGACAAATGGAAATTGCAATATCAACAGCAACATCAACTATGAAAAGCTTGTCCCCACAAATTGGTTCTCATCATAACTTTCTTGTGTAATAATAAGAATCACCTGTGATAACATATTACTATATGTTAATTATATTTTCATTATTATTAATATATTAATTTTTTGTTGCCACTCCAACTACTTCTAGGAAGAAAAAAAACGTAATTTTGTGTATCTACTCATACAAATTCAAAATGACATGCTGTGGGGCAAAGCATTTTATAGTTTCCACATATTCAATAGCTATTACCGAGAGCATTTTCTATAAACCGGGTTTGTAACAATTTCCCTAAAATAATGAATATTTTCAGTAGCTATATATTTCACATGAATGAGTTTTTCGATTATGTATTTCAAATATATATACTTTTTGTTTCACCACTTATATTTTCAATGCTTAGAAGCTTAGCAGTCTTTTAGTAATGAGTGTTTCTACAGCACCAGCTATGATCCACTTAAGCTCCACAGTTAAATTGAGGTATACACAGCCAATAGAAATGATGATTTGTAGTGAAATATCTAGAAAACGTTAGGCTCAACTGAATTTACTTCATTATGGTCAAATAGTTTCGGTTTGTGAATACAAGGTAACCTTTAACAGTGAATGATAACTTATCCTTTGGTTCATTTTGGGAGTACCCTATCTGACTCTATAAAGTTAATATTTTCATCTCATACTGGACTTTTTTAAAACATATATCTAAAATACATTTTCAATTTTGCTGTGATACACTTCAATGAAAATTTCTGTAGCGAGAGAAATGACAGTGCATCATTAAAATATCCGTGTACAATTAAATAACAAACAGATTTGAATATATGTTCAAAATAGCCATCAAGCCAATATCGTCAGGCCAAAAATAAAGAACACAAGCAGAACTATGAAAACATAAAAAATGTTTGGTGTTATTAACTTTGGTTCTAACTTGCAGATGCAAAGGTCCAGAGAGCTTATAGAACAATGTGACTATTTTGAACAATAATCAAATAAAATAGTTGAAATTGCAAATATTGCTATGTTTAACATATATACACTGTTCTACAAATAATTGCTTTATGTGCCAAGAAATAACAGATATTCACATTTACGGCCTAGCAGATATCGTACATTAAAGTTATGGTTTACATTCATATTACCATATATGAAAGGTGGCTCTTGTGACACATAATATTTTATTCGCATATGTTTGGGGTAAGATAATAACATTGGTCTAAGATTTCCGGATACATTCAGATGAAGTATGAAAATAACGAATACCTTGGTGACAGTGTTACCGAAATTTTGTGAAAATCACTTTGGGTAAACTGACTTCATGAAAAACTCTCAAATATCTACTGTTCTGAATAATGACACAATGCCTTACGTAATTTTTTTCTTTGAATCGTTATTCAGTAACAAAGTCTCAACATTTGTGACCTACCTTTAGAATTAATTATGCAGAGAGTGTCCGGTGGAAAAATTCGGACTTAAAGTCTAAATTAAAAAAACTACAAAAGGTAAACATCTATTTCGATAATCATTATACAGAAGAATAGTGCGAATTTAATTTCTTAAAAATCATGTCATCTATGTAAATATTGACCATTAGGACGGGCACACTCTTGAAATCTCGCCTCAGTATTTCGTGCCACTCGCTGCAGAAGTGATTGTGGGATACCATTAACCCCGCGAACGATATTTTCTTTAAAAGCTAAGATGCGGGTTGTTTGCTGCTGATCCTGTTGCTCAGAATCTCCGCACCCACTAACAAATCAGTTTTTCACTGCTCCAAGCATCGTTTTCGTCGAATATTGTACCGTGAACAAAATTGTCGACGAGCAGTTGCACACGATTCATTCGCCTTTAAATAAGCTTCCATTGCGAACGCGCGTTGTTATCCCGTCCAATGCAACATCGTGAATAAAAACCCGCACGAATAACGAAGCTAGCGCGGCCCCTTCCCCGCTCTCCTGCCTAATGGTTACGAAAACATTTGATTTTGAAATCCGAATTCTGCCAACGGAAACCCTGTATGAATATTGCATTTAAAATAGTACCGTAGACCTCAGTATTTTCGAAGGCAATGTCAAGTTCAGTACGACCAGAGTAATTCACATATCAAACATATGCAAACAAGTGAACAGTACTACTTTAAGTAATAATGAACAAGACAGTCGAATGCAATTTAATAAAAATGCTGGATTTTCCATAGATTTATCCTAGATATTGAATAAGCTTCAATACTAATACTAAGAGAGCGTTAATTAAGAAAATATAGATTATTTTCATATTGTTTTGCCATCTAAATTTAATCAACAAAAGTTTAATACTTTTATAAACTTACATACGATAACTCCGTCCCACATCACCCTGCATAAATGATTGAGATTCGTGTCTTTGTAGTTTTACTCGCGCATTGTGGGAAAGACGAATAGATGTCAGCAAATCAAATAAATGAAAATGATTCCAAATAAGAGAATTTTACTAAAGCTACTCATTTAGGTATTTTCGTCATAGTTCTATGAATAAAACAATTACTGACACGATTGAATAACATATTGTTCAAAACGATGTTTCCATGTTGCCGAGTAGACGTGATTCCCTTAGCCATAGAAGTAATTCAAACAGACTCCATTTCCCATTTGAAGGAAACTGTTAATTCTCAAACCTGACATCAACTCTCTAAGGGAATATCAGCACTCAATTTCGCTCGTACTTATTCCTGAGACTTAGAAGTCTCAAAATTTCTCAACGACAGAAAATGAAATCCCGTAACCTGCGGCAACAGTCCAAGAGGTGACAACGACGACGCCTGAAGACGGTGTCTGGCATTTTTTTTCACTAAAATGGTATTTATTGTTGTATCTTGATGTAAAAATTATCTTACTAGACCTGAACCTGTGACGTGCACGTTCTTCCCCCAGACATCTTCTTCACGGCTGAGCCCTTTCCCTCCCATATACAGATTCCTAAATCCGCCCTTGGTTTGATAGGCATATATTTGTGGCACATCAATTTATTCACAATTTGAAATGCTATGGTACGTATGCTCATTTTCGCGCAGCCGGGTTTTTCAATTAAGTTCAGTACTTTCTAATGGAACATGTTCATCAAAGCTGACATTCATTAACTGAACTACTCCAAAAAAACACAGAATGACAACAAACATCAAAAACAATTTATTAAGTGCATTACGTGTCATCTGCATGATAAATCATATTTATATGGGTAGAAATTTAGAGACGAAATATACATTACAGAGAAAAAACTTGAACATTGGAGCCTTCAAAGCAACAAAGTTTGAGGATGTTTCAAGCATTGAAGCACAATGGATTAGATATATCATTTATAAACATGCATACATGAATTTTTGGACCAGCCATTATTGAAGCCCATTTATTTCAAAACTGCGGAATAGCACGACAACTTAGTAATACAATAGTATAGCACGTCAGTCTGTTGGCTTTTCGTTAATTACGAAGCCACAATGTATTATTTACACATAAGAACATGGGTTTTTTCTCTATGATGTATGTTTTACTGAAAATCATTTCTTGAATATTTGCAAAATATGGACGGATATACTGAATTACATAAAGCTATTAAATGGGGACTAATAATCTCGCCACTACTACTAGTTACTATGAAGGTGTTTCAAATATACCATATACAAAATGATGATTATTTCATTAACGTTATAAAATTACCACACTACAGGAAATATTGTCGATTTTTGGACTTTTTTTTAAATGAAGATCTGGTTTATATGCCAAGAAATAATTTGACGTGTGGAATTGATTATTAACATTATTTTCCTTTAATAACAACGTACCTTTTTCTGTTCCTTTTGTTCTGCGTTAGTACAAAGGGTATTATAAAAGTTTTGCAATATGACTTAACAAACGGACGCAGGAGGCTGCATCTTACTGCATTTTGAGACATGACCATGAGTGCCTAGTAGCCGCCAACAGCACGTTTGTTGATTTAGTTGTTCATTCGTATTGACAGTGTAAAGTGCGGACTAGGGCAATCGTGGTCACGTCGTGAGATAATGGCAGTTTTCCGGTATAACTTTACGCGTGGTTTAAGCATACACCAGTGCTTAGAAGAAATGACGCTTGCATTAAAGAATGATTGTCCACATAGTACGACTATATTCAGGTGGTACAGAGAATTCCAAAGGAGCAATTTCTGTCAGGAGGACGCTGAGAGGGAAGGAAGGCCGAGAACGTCAGTAACAGAGGAAAACATTACTGCTGTGAGGAAAATGCTTGACAAAGACCGGAGAATGACATACCAACAGATAGAGGAGATCTTACACCTTCATGCACCAGCAATTCATTCAATTCTGCATGGCCATTTACACTTAAGCAAACTTTGTTCTTTCTGGGTACCGCATAGTCTAACGGAAGAGCAGAATACTCGTCGTACGACATGGTGCCGAAATATGCTGAACATTTTTGATAAGGGGCAATCTCGGTAAGTGAACAACATCTGACAGGTGACGAGACTTGGCTCTATTATTACGATGTGCTGACCAAGGCGCAAAGCAAATTTTGGGTCTTTGATGATGACACACCCAGAGCCGTCAGAGAATCCCGATCTGTTAAGAAAAAATGATAGCTGTATTTTTCAAATCGAGCGGGACTGTTAAGCGTGTCGTTTTGGACACAAGACAGTCACAGCTTAAGTCATAGAGTTATAAAAAACCTGCGGCCAAAGTCAAGAATGGACACGTGGTATGTCCACCATGACAAAGTTCCAGCTCACCGCGCCAACGCCTGCACCGAGTATTTGACCACTACTGGACTGAAACTTATTCGAGCCCCTTCCATACAGTCCAGATCTTGCTCCCTGCGACTTTGCAGCGTTTCCGCATGTGAAAATGAAGCTAAAAGGAAAACGGTTTTCTAGCGATGAGGACCTTCTGAGGGCTTGAGACAACGAGTCTACCGCACTCCCGGGTGAAACTTGGCAGAGCCGGTTTAAGGACTGGTTTTGACGGATGCAGAAGCGTATTGAAATGTGGTGTAAACTACTTTGAACGAAGTCAATAAATAAAGTTGCATTGCAAATATTTTATAGTACCCTTTGTATATACGACTCCGTACTATAGTTTGGTATGGCTGAAACGAATACAAGCCCGAAGACGTAGGGGTCTTTCTGTCATTCCAGCATATTGGCTGAGGACAGTGTCAGCTTTGGCACGCCACACTTTTAGATGGCGTTTCTTACCTAATCGCACATAATAGTTTGGTATGCTGTCGAGTGTATGTTAGATCCCTAACTACACCAATATTGTTCATGTGAAAATTTTGTAACATTGTATCTGTATAAGAATTATCATTTATTCAACTTCTAAAAGAGGAATTTATAGTGCCATATTATATACAGAGAAATCCATATATCACTATGTCGTGTACGACAGAGAAAAGCACAGGAAGCGTGCAATAGGTATCTTAAGGCAGAGATCGAAGCACCACGTTGCCTAGCAACCCGAATGACAAGGCTATGGACGTTGCCATCGGCGCACTCCTTGTAAAACATACGTATTGCACGCTTCTCGAGCCTCTCTCTCGTACGCATTACCTTGTCAGTGATATTTGGATTTCTCTGTATACGAATTTCGCAACTCTGCTATAACTTATTGCATGAAAGATGTAAGAAAATGGAAATAAGTTTCCTTTAGAAGAACTCAGTAATCTTTTTAAGTGAAGATATGTTAATTGATTAGACAACAGAGAGTTTTGGCATGCGTAAACGTTAACGTTAGCCTATAATCCGTTGGCTTCTTACGATTTAAATGACGTTATAACATTTACATATGCGGAATTTGTAACTGCCAAAACTGTCTATTGACAGACAAAGTAATGGTAGCTGTCTGATTCTAGATAGCGACATTTGAACCGATATCAATTTTCTTTTTACACGCCACTCGCGATCTAGAGGTACTACTTCCTGAATCCGTAAAAAATCTTTCAAGATTTAACATGATTTAACTGTTCTTTTAAAATTGATGAGACAACTCTTATAGAATGACGATCCACCATTCATCCCTTGCGTCGAGTACCAAAGACCGAATCGTAACTTAGAATTTAAGCGACTTATTCTACGTTGTTGTCCGGCCAAAAACGCATCAGTAAATGAGCGAGTCCCAGTTTGTGGACAAATGGAGACGCCTAAGCAGATCCATGGTAGGGGAAATCGGAGAGAGGGGATTGTGATGAGATGGCAAGATGGCGGTGTTGCTACTGCTGTTGCTGTTGTTGAAATACCTACCGGTATGTGGAGACTGTAGATGTCTGTGCTTGATTACCTCGCGCTCTACCGGGTTCATCGCGTACCCCTGGATTAAAGGTGCGTTTATAATATAATTAAAATGGCAATTTCATGAGAACTTGAAACGTCAAGAAAGCGGAGGTCACAGGCTACAACTTTCAAAGGCTTATGAAATCTTACGAATGCTTTGTCGTTCATTGAGAACCATTTGGAGGTGGCAGGACAGTTGTCAAATATGAAAGCCTTTTCGACCTGAGTTACAAGAACCAAAACGAGCAGGCTCCTGTGTTCCTTGAGAAAATAAGTAAAATACGAAATGCTTGAAACGAATGACTATGTAAGACAATAAGGAAGAATCAGATCGAGCAAGACCACCTTCATTTTTTCGGTATTTGACAATTCTTCTGTTAGGCCCTAGTGTCCAAACTGTCAAGGGAAATGACGTGTATTCACTACTTAAAAGGTTCAAATGAGTGAAGTATTCGGGCTTTTTAAAGAAAAATAAGGGAATCGTGAAAGGTTGCATCTGTATTTCCGTTCGTCAACAAGTAGTGTCAAAACCAGTCAAGTGTTCACTCACGGTCGCTTGAAACTCTCATGAAATTTCCGATTTACAATAGCAACTTTAGACATTTAGCTTTAGAAAAAAATCATGCAAACAATCCTAAAAAAAGTAAAGCCATCTTTATACACTGTAAACCCAATTTGTCTGACGGCTTTAGTTCAATATGTACGAGAGAGCAGTGTGAAAATATGCGTTAGTCTATTCTCTACGCCCAAATAATGGTTTTATTTTGAGCATACACATTTTTGAGTTGTGAATTGTGTCGAATCTGTTTAGGATTGATTCCCGATCGGTTCTAATAGCACTCCATTTTAGGTTGAAATGAAAGCTCAGGTTCACCACTAATTCTGCAACATTGCATCATTGATTCGTTTGATAACACCGCATCACGCACATTCCAAGGCAAGGTTTCCACCTTCTTGATCATAGATGAGCGATTTTGGTCGGTGTCTATCTAGCGCTCATTGGGGAACGTCGTCCTACTTCGAAATGGTTTTTACCTCTGTGCATATATGCAGTGATAATTTGTATTGCGTAATTGTATTGGTTACATTTTTCGACCGCTCGATGTCGCAGAATGTAATAATAACTCAGGATGTGTTGATCTTATCCCCATCGGTGGAAATCAAAAATAATTCTAAAATAAATTAAAACACTAAGTCGCATCAAAATTGAAATAAAGAATTCTACTTAAAATATTAAACTAAATGTTCGAACAGACCTCCTTTTTGGGTTTGACAGTAACCTAACCTATTGCAGAAGCCTGTGCGAACATTTTCTGGTGTAACATATTGGCAATACAGTAAATGGCACGACCTTCTGCGTCACCGCCGCTAGGCAATGTGGTGATGACCTTCGGTCGTCAGCCGGCTTCTATCTCTTTCTAACATGTGGGTAGATACATACTTCTCGCGCTTCTCTCTCGTACACATTGAGCTCAAGCCGTCAAACAAATTTGGTTTTCCCTGTATGTAGTCTACTAAAAGCGACGGAAAATGTACTTAAAATAGAATAATCTTTTTTTATTACCTGTAGAGTATTGCTTTTATCTCAGGATTCTGTGCTTTTGCTTTTTCGTCCTCTAAGTGAACCAACAATCGATTTTAAAGCTGCTCCAATGCCTGCACTGGGTGTAGTTGCACTACTACTAGTAGTCGTGTTTCTTATTCCATGTGGATGTGCATCTAAGCACTTCTGATATCTCAGCTGGAAATTAAAACTGTTTAATTAGCATTCAGATTTTATTCACAAAAGGTGAAGTAATACTGTGCACCAGAATTATCATCAAGAGAATCAAAAAACAGTTCTTTATTGCCAACGTTATACTTTATATGGCAAATTAGCGAACGTATACTATAATACTCAACACTTTCTTATTGGAAAAGTAAAACATCAATTAGACAAACATTACGACGACTTAAAGCCTTGCAAATCAGGAGATATTGAGTATGATTATTTAATGGATAAAATTGAATACATATTAAAATAATTTATCTTACCTTACAAGCTGCTTCTATGGTTTTACATAAAGCTCCAGACGAAGGTTCACAGTAGAATACGTGCGACATAAAGGTATCTTGCGCTGTATGTACTATAAATGCACAGTGCTTCACTACTTTGCCTATTCCTAAGAATGATAAATATCTAACTCGACATTCGGCTAACACCCGGTCATCCTGAAATTGGAAAAAATCACTTATTCGGTAAAAAATAGTAATAGTAGTTAAAAGTAACAGCCATCAATGATTTGACATCTATCAGGACGAGTTTCACTTGACGGAATGAGTCTATCCTTTCGTCAACGATGTTCAGAAAAAGATAAGTAGGGTCAAATATACCCTGCCACCTATGAATAGTTAGTCAAATCATTAAATAACGTTGTATTCGTTTGTTCATGTTTACAGAGACGGAAAACAGGCAGATCCTATTCAGCTCGTGAAATATACGTGTTTTGCAATAATGTCATGCGTCTACTTATTTGTTTCTCATCAAGTTCTAAGCATCGCCGAATATTATTCACTGTTCAGAGTTCTATCAAGATGACAGCATTTGGAAGACGGAGCTGCTATCGCTTACTTGTTATTAGGTTGTAATTCAACATTTTCAGATGACTTGACATCTACCAATAACAAATGAGTGTACTCATTACTGAGCGGTAGAAGCTCCATCTACCAATTGCGGACAGTATGTTAAAAAATCAAGCTGGCTTTAGAAAAAAAATATTCTACAGAAACAGTAATCCAAATGGTGGTGGAAGACGAGAAGTACAGATGAGAAAGAATGTATTATAACGGTATTTTTGGACTTCAAAAGGGCGTTTGAGACTACAGATAGGGAAAAATTGTTAATGAAATTGCATCACTATGGTTTTAAAGAATCAGTATTAAACATTTTACAAAGATATTTAGTAAATAGACGTCAAAAAACTAAAGTTTTAAATATTATGTCAAGCGTTCAAAATATATCAGTAGGGGTGCCACAGGGGAGTAAATTAGGACCGTTACTATTTATGACTTATATAAATGATATCTCTGACATTTTAGAACACTGCAAAATTCAAATATTTGCGGACGATACATTGATATATATTTGGACACTGCTTTAGAACTGTTAAATAGGGATATTAAAAAAGTTATGGATTGGTTAAATGCTAATAAACTTAAATTAAACACAACATTTAGGTGACAATACAATTAGGCTCATGATTAATGATGAAAAAATTGAAGTGTCGAATCATTTAAATATCTGGGTATATATGTGGATAGAAAATTATGAAAACATTATTTCAAAAATATCAAAAAAGATAAAATACTTCTATAGAGTTTTCCCATAAGCTTAGTCTGTATTCCAAAAAAATTGTGTATAACACTATAATTCTTCCCCACTTTTTATATTGTTGAACCATCTTGTTTACAGCAAATGAAAGCATATTTCCAAAATTAAAAATTCTAATAAAGCTATGAGAATCATTTTAAATAAAAACAAATATGCTAGGATTAAGTCTATGTTAGAAGAACTACAGTGGTTGAATGTGAAAAATTTCGTATGTTATTTAGTTCTCATTTTCATATTCAAATTAAAAAATCATTTATTACCACCACGTTTAGAAAAGTACAAAGAAAATTAAATATTCAGTACCATAACTACGAAACTAAAGGCAGTATAGATTTTCATCTGCAAAATTGTAATAGAATAACTAGCAAATCGGTATTTCAAAGGGAGTATTTGAATTTAATAAATTGAATAATGATATTAAACAGTGTTCGAATTTAAAAGTGTTTAAGGTGAAATTAAAAAATCACTTTATGAATACTCAAAATGCATAGTGATGCAATTTTAATAGACACGAATGTGAAATTACAGGATATGGATTGAAGAAAAATGTGTAAGCGAATAATTATACAAAACTGTCTTTGTAGCAATAATGCTAAATAAATTTTCAACAAGCATACGAAGCATTGATTGAATATCTAACAGTCACGCAGCCGGAATACAGCAAAAAGTGTTTTTATATCTGTCTAATGGGAGAAGCTTGAAAAATAATTCTTTACTCACAGCTGCATGATGTATGGAGATCATTGAAGGTGCAATGGCGACGTTGACTGACGTCCACTCTTCTGGCGGAACACTAGCTACCAATCTGTCAATAGAGTCATTTAAAGTATCGATTCCCGTGGACGACGAGACCTGGGTACTGCCTAAGTACTGTGCTCGTAGAATTTTCTTTGGTTCCTCCATCGGAGTTGGAAAAGATGTCACTGTGAAAATATTAAATCATTGTCAAATGTTACTTACGTATTATAATCCGGGAACCAGTATCAGTAAAGTTACCCGTGTCTATGGCAAGGTACTTGAGAATCTGGTGCCTTATTACGTAAAAACAAATATGTCAAAATAAACCGAGAAAACTTCAACTTGCTGACTAGATAGTACCTAGTGTGCAAATGATTGATTCCGCTATTGCTCGCTGTGAGTGTTCATCAAAAGTGTCATCTGTGGAGGAATAAATCAACGTTACACTGAATGACCAGCTACAAGTCAGTTCCCGACAATGATTTGTTGGTTGCAGAATGCCGAGTCCGTAGAGTATATCTCTGAGAAGGTGTGACTGAAAGAAGATTGGTTAAGTAGCATAGAAGCAAGATCGCATCTGGATGATAGTGTGTATTGGACTGCGTATGTATAAAACCAGTGATTTTTGCTATGTGAGGAAATTATTACTGAATATGCTGCCCCTGAATTATGTCTATTATCTATACCAGACGTTTTCAAAAACTTTTAGCAGGATTACGGAAAATCACCACCTCGTCCGCGTAGTGTGTAAGTAAGCCTCATTACAGAAAAATTAGGAATACCTCGTGACACACGAAACATTTTCACAGTACCTCACATATATGCTCACGTTTCATAAATATTACCTATTGGTTGTAATATACCAGGGATTTTCTTTTTTTATCTCTGTCATTTTTGAAATTCAGCAAATTTGCATCTGTAATTTCCAGGATAAATAAGAACAAGTGGGTACGCAACTAATTTCTAGCTTTGCATACATCTCAAGTAAGTGTATTTGAAACAATAAACCAGTGGAATTATCATCATCACAGATTATTAGCACACAAATCCTCAATATGCACCTATGCACTGCCGTTTCATCCAACTATAGTATACAACTTACATCTTAGGCCTCCAATAATGCCATTTCTGAAGCAGATGTTACATCACATCTGATCCAAACAATGATAGCTTCAGAACGCGTGCACATCAAGTGAAAAACAGCTAGTTCCAAGTTGTGACATCTTGTAGAAAAACCTACATAATGTCACAAAAAAACCTATATAATATAAAAAATACCAACATAATGTGACTTTTCAATATACGAAATACTCCTGCTAATTAGCCGTTATGGCAGCTATAGTACATGCCAAGCAATCAGCTGGTTTCTCCACCTAATGCGTTCATTAATAGTCTAACCGCAGATGGTATTAAGAATCCAAATGTGTCACTTACTTCTTTTTTTCTAACTAAATCACAACTTTCTTACACACTTCCGCCGAGATTCCAACAGAAATTGGCACTCTAAAACTCTAAAAGTAAGTGAACGCTACAACCTGACATTTGGCACAGGTGCCCTATATCAGCTGTTTCATAACAGTGTTAACTTAAACAGGTAGCCAAGCGCTTAGATAGCAAAATATCACAATAGTTCTGTGCATAAATGCTAATCTGTGCCCGTTTTTACACCGCGTACTGTGTGGCTATGCGCCATATGAGAGTATAGCTATAGTCTTATTGCAGTACTTTGCGCGTGTTCTTTATATGTAGGCTGGGGTATACGGTATTTGATTGCATCTACATCGACGGATTCGTAAAGTACCGTCCAGTGTACAGAGCTGCACCTCAGATCTAAAGTATCATGGCGGTGCAACGGCGGAATGATGAAAACGTCAGAACACATTGGTACTGTATATGCGCAGTATAACTTGAACAACTACGAAAAAGATGAGAGCTCACTCAAAAACGTGCCGGCGGGCCGTGTCTGCCTCCGATGCTCCATCGGCAAGTTGTTCGGCCTGCAAGCTGTGCCGGCGGCTGCCACATTCCCTGCCACCTTATTGCCCCCCATTTCGCCCACAACCCTTGCCAGGTTCTGTTGCAGGCTGCGTTCAATCATGATCTTCTTGCAGATGTCACGTAGAGTGTTGGCGATCGCGCGAGCCGGCATGTCGCAGCGGAATACGTGGCACATGTGCTTCCTGATCGTGCGGTCGCGGGCCACGTACGCGAAGTCCCTGGTAATGAAACAGTGTCGAATATTAAAACCAAAGACCCAAGAATAGGAATGCTTTAAGAAAAAACATTGTAGACAAACAGGAAGAAATGGATTGTAAACGAAAATAAGTACACGAGTGAGCGCACATTAATACCGAAAGGCCTCAATGAGATACTCCAATGCATTATAGAATGAAGTTGACGTCAAACTGGGAACGGAGGATAGGCGAAGTCATAATGGTTATCGGGAAGATATAAAAAAAATCTATAAATTATAGGCTTAAAAAACAGAAAAATGTACACCCTGTGATGATCTTTTAGTTCCCATTACGACAAATTTAAATTTTTTCTTAGATGGATTAACGGGCAGTGTCATTGTACAAAGTGACAGCAAGACTGATAGTAACGCCAGTTTTACTAATTCTTGATTGTGTAGTGCCACCATATGTGGGTACACCATACAGTCATACGCCACCTCATTTATGGGGAATTTAGATGCAATGCTAGTGATGCAGCTAGGTTTTATCGTGAAGGGTACCCAAACGCTGCTCGTCATCCCGATCCCTCAAGTAGCTAAAGATAAAAGGTCTGGCTCTTTAAATATAAATCTTTTGGCAATACTCTAACCAAATTACCCTTTGAATACAAATCATTAATTGATGCTATTCATCCTTTTTTCTCCTCTTTTTCTTTTTTTTCTTTCTTGCATCTTCCTCTATCTTCTACTTAATAAGAAACCTCTCCTGGCTGGGATCAGGAAGATTCTGAAGAAAGAAACATCATTCTGCCAGAGAAGAGCCAAAGTCCTGCGGGTCGTTAAAATAACAAACGACGAGACGAGTCATCCCGATCACTGAGTTTTTGTGAATGTGCAGCGCTTACTCTCAGAGGGCCGATTCCCAAATCCAGCACATGGTGGAGGAAGAATTTCCTTTACTTACGAGTACTTCGTACTACAAGGAGTCGAAGAAGACCCGAGTACTTCAGTACGTCAAATAGAAGAAAGCATGGGAGTGCACTAAAGTACAGCCCACCGAATCTTGCGAAAGAACGAGCTCCACTTGTACCACGTACAGCGAGTACAATTTCTACAACCCCGGGATTATCTTCCAATAGTTGAGTTTTGTTTTTAGAGAAAATTTTATGTACTGATAAGTCGACATTTAAAAATGATGGTTTCATGAATCTACACAACTGATACGAGTGACATGTATAAAATCTACATTCGATAAAGTAAACATGTGGATTCTAAATGGAAGCATCATTGTACCCTTTGAGTTGCCAGAGTTCTTGAAGGAAGAAATTTATTTAGACTTTTTACTAAAGCATTTACCAAATTTACTGGAAGACGTGCCACTGAGCATTTACAGAGACGTGTGGTATCAGCAAGAAGGCTGCCCGACGCACTATACCCGTTCAGTTAGAGTTAGAGAATCTGTATGTGGAATACCCGAGCAGATGGATAGGGCGGACTGGTACAATTTCGTGGCCAACCCGTTCACCTGACTTCGATCCACTCCAAGTTTACTCAAGGCCAATCGAAAATTTAGGTGAGCTAAGGGACAGAATAACGGAAGCAGCTAAGTTTGTTATTATCGGAAGATTCGCCCGTATGATAACCCTATCATTAAGATGTCAAGCTTGCATTGATGCTGAACGAAGGTAGTTTGAACATTTATTGTGAGTTTGAAGAAATACATTCACGAAATAATAAAAGTGGCGTTACTATCAGACTAGTCACTACGTAGAATGACACTGTCGGTCACTCCGTTTAAGAAAAAATTGAATTTTGTAGTAATAATAAATAAAAGATCATCGGTGTAGATTTTTCCGATTTTTTCAAAGCCTATAATTTGAAAAGTACACGACTTGTTTTTTTTTATATTTTTCTGCCAACTATTATGACTTGGCCTATTCCCCATTTACGGCTTCACCTCGACTTCTGGGACACCCTCTATTCATGCACACTCGTATTTACCCTATTCAAAAGGCATTTATGCCGCGTCAAAATTTTCACGCGCTTGGAATATCTAAATTCTTGCGCTATTATTGGGTAAGCAACAATATGAGCAAGAGAAAAAGCGTGTCAAATAAGGTACCAGTATTGACGTTCCACGCGATATTTTCGGAAATACAAAATAGTTTGAAATTTGATCACAAAATGTCGATGATTGAGATGTTTTTCGGACTTGACCATTGTGTATAAGGTTTTTTATTCACGACGCGACGTTTCAATTGATGTCATCTTCAATCGGCAGTTCACTTGATTAAGATTGAAGATCATAACAAACGACACGTCATGAATCAAAAAACCTTATAGACAAGGTCAGTCCGGGAAATATCTCAAAATAGTTTGTTTCACGTAGATGTCTAGGGCAAGTATACCGACGTGGAATTTCTGTTTTTAATAATAATAATAATAATAATAATAATTTATTGATGTTAATACACAGAAAGTGTTTACACAAGTCAATATATACTCATCGAACGCTTAGAAAAATCTACATCAAACATGAATAAAACAAGTTAAAAACAATGCAATGCTGCGTAACGCATAATTACCAAAAGCAAATTGAAAAAAAAAAACAATACAAAAATGTCATGAGATAAAAGAACATCGCTAAGAAAAATATATGTACGTAGTCGTGCCATAAGTTCTGTCCCATGATAATCTCATGATAAAAATGAAACAAGATAAGATATATTTATATGAAAGATATTATTTATTCGACAACATTTTTAGAATTCATAATCAAACAGTTTTATTCAAAATGTCCCCCCTTGGCCTTCACACACTGCTTCAATCTCGCGGGCCACTCATCTATCACTGCACGCACAGCTTCCAAAGGAATAGCTGCCGCTGATCGGATCAAATCCGCTTTCAGGGACTCGATATTACGGTGGGCTTTGGAGCAGGCCAACTGCTCTAGCAGGTCCCACAACTTGTAGTCTAAAGGATTGAGGTCCGGACTCCCTGAGGGCCAATCTTCCGCAGCAATGAACTCTGGCACATTGCTTTCCAGCCAGCGCTGCGTACTCTTAGCCTTGTGAGCGGGGGCGGAATCCTGCTGGTAGACCCAGTGTTGGTTGGCAAACAATGTACCACTTAAAGGCTTGACGATAGGATCCAGTATGTCGCTCTGATAGTTTGCCGCTTTTGTTTTCACGCCCTGTTTACAGAAATGGAGCTGAGTGACCCCTTCGTAGGACACCCCCCACCAAACCATGACTGACGCAGGGTGGTGGCCTCTCTCAACTCTCGGAATGATCTCCGAAGCTTCCTGTGAACTCCTTGCATACACTTTGTCATTTTGTCGGTTGAATTTTTCTTCTATGGTGAAGATTTTCTCATCCGTGAACAAAATCTTTCGGAATCCCCCAGCTGCGTACCTCTCCAAGAGCTTCTTGGATCTTGTCGCCCTGATGTGTCGCAAGGTGGCCGTAAGTCGCTGGCCCGTACGTCTCCGGTAAGCCCCTAGCCCTAGGTCTTGTTTAATGATGCGCGACATCGTCCGGACAGGAATCTTCATTTCCCTGGATAGGATCTTCTGCTTCCGGAGTGGATTCCTTTGAATCCTGGCTTTTACGGCTTTGATGGCTGCTGGAGTCCTTACTTGACGAGGTCTTCCGCTTCTTGGCCTGTCATCAACAGAGGACGTCTCATTGTACCGCTGAATGGTCCTAGACACAAATTTACGCGATATTTGAAGGCCGCGTAAGAGTTCAAAAATCTGACTAGCACTGTGATTACACTTATGTAAAGCTATCACTGCAATACGGTTCTCTGCCTTGCCCCACTCCATCGTTATGCTTCGAGAGATCAATACAAACTGAGGTATATGTAATTACCCGAAAAGCGCTTAATCAACTGACACCACAATGTAAACAATCGGACAAGTATTAACAGGTCTACACTTGTTTGAAAACGAGGGACAGAACTTATGGCATGACTACGTATAATACAATTAACTATACACATACAGACAAACAAAACAATATCAACTGTACATAAGTTGGAGACAGAAATGAATAAATAAACATTTAAGGTATATCAGTAAAGTCATTTGCCAAATATTCGTCCGTGCTAAAGAATGCGTTTTTTATTAAATAATACTTTAGTTTCCTATGAAAAACACCAATATCCAATGTTTTTATATTGTTGGGTAGCACATTAAAAAATTTGATGCCATAAAAGTTTGTTCCAACTCTTGATTTTTCTAGACGGTAGTTATTATGGCAAATGTTGTTTCTATTTCGTGTTTCATATTTGTGGTTATCACTATGAGTGGGGAAGGTACTAATGTTACTTTTGATATATATGAGACAACTCAAAATATACGCGCATGGAAGGGTTAGTATGGCCAATTTAATGAATTCAGCCTTGCAGGGGTCTCTATATTTCAAACCAGAGATGTATCGTATACAGCGCCTTTGCATGCCAAACACTTTTTGCATATGTGGAGAGTGTCCCCAGACCAAAATTGCATATGTCATTTTAGAGTGGAAATATGCATGATAAGCAGTTAATAAAACTTTATCAGATACTCTATCCTTTAGACTACGTATGAGATATATAACTCTGGACAAACGATCCACCACACAGCGAGTATGCACCTCCCATGTCAGAGTACAGTCAATATGAACGCCTAGCAATTTCACTGTTTGAGCAGATTCCAACTCATGACTGCGTAAGCTTAGTATTATAGACTGAGTTTTATCAGTGTTGAGCAATAGCATATTGGCAGCAAACCAATCCTCAAGGTTCGACTTACACAATGAACTAGTTTCGACAAGGGTGTTTACATATTTATTAGAATTTACCAAAGTAGTGTCATCAGCATATAAGAACAAAGCAGCATTGTGCGTATCTGACAGGCTATTGGGGATATCATTAATGTATAATAAAAACAGCAGTGGTCCCAGTACGGAACCCTGAGGAACTCCATGGATCACTGATCTGGTATCAGAGTTACAGCCATTGAAATGTACTAGTTGTTTTCTGTCGGATAAGTAAGAGTCTAAAATTTTGATGCTAGAAGGATGAATGTGATAATAAGGTAATTTTTTTATTAAAATACTATGCTGCAGACAATCAAAAGCCTTAGATAAATCGAAAAGGTCCGCCTTGGTATGTAGATGGTTCTCAAATCCTTCGTTAACAAGATCTATAAGACAATTGATAGCTGTAGTAGTAGATCTGTTCCGTCTAAATCCAAACTGCTTGTCATTAAATAATTGACTTGACTCTAGATGAGAGGTTAGTTGATCTTTTAGCAGAATTTCAAAAATCTTAGCAAAGTATGAGATTAGAGAAATTGGTCGATGGTTGGAAAGCACATCATCCGATCCATTTTTAAGTATTGGAATGACTTTGGATATCTTGAGAATTTTAGGAAAAGTACTATTTCGAATACAAATATTAAAAAGTTTAGCGAGTGGAACGATAATCAGATTCATTATGGTCTTTATAATTTTTGAATTCAATTTATGTACATCTGTACTCTTAGAATTTTTTAGTGATGAAATCGCTGATCTGACTTGATTGTAGGATACTTCTTTGAACAAGAAAAGGTCGATGTTATCAGTATGAACCAAGTAGTCTAGTGCATCACGATTTGCTGGAGGAATATTGTCAATGAGCGTCTGGGCTATACTTGAGAAGTATGAATTGAATTCGTTAGCATTCAAGATGTTGCTTTTGTTCTGATTATTAGCTGGAACATTGGATCTAATAATATTCCACATTGCTAGCTGCTTGTTGCTCGAATTGTTTATATACAAGTCGTGTGCTTGTTTTTTGCTATTAGTGATAGCCTGTCGATATTGTGATCTATACTCGTTAACAGCTTGTTTGGTAACTATTTGTGGGTTAACCTTGTACCAATCCATCAGGAGCCTCAAACGGTCTCTCATAGCACGCAAATGACTGTCAAACCAATTTATTTTTCTTCCCGCTTTATTATCACTACCAAAGATACGTGATTTATATGGAAGGCATTTTTCAACTTTACTGCTGATTAGATGAATGAATGTTTCAAAGGCTTGCTCGATGTTATCATTTCCCCCGATGAATGACCAGTCAACCTTCTCAATTTCCATGTACAGATTGAAAAGACCCTCATCCGTAATTGGCCTAAAAGTAACTCTGTTGAACGTTCGTAAGTTCTTCCTTTGCTCACATGTAAATTCAATTGCTAGGTGATCAGACAGATAGCTCTCAAAAACTGTGACACCGGAGGGCCTGTCTATGTTTGTGAATATATTGTCCAGACAGTTATGCCTCCTAGTACTGGTGCTGACTTTTTTATTCAATCCATAGCAGCGAAATAGACTTTCGACTTGGTGTGCTCGAGTGTCATTGGTGGTGAATTTCACATTAAAATCGCCTGCTATGACTATATCCCTCTCGTAATTTAAGCGATCAAGTGTAGTACATAACTTATTAAGGAATGTATCGAAATCGCTGTTAGGGCTTCTGTATAACGAAATAATTTGAATATTGTTAATATAAGAGCCTGCTATCTCAAAAGTCTGTTCTTCCTTTTCTACAAAAACTGAATCTGGCAAAGGCGCCGCATCAACGTTGGTTTTTATAAAGATTGCTACACCACCATGTGTTTTATTTTTTCTACAAAAGCTTGATACTGGTGTATAACCTATTAATTGATTAACAATGAATTCACCCTCAGACAACCAATGTTCATTCAAGCACAGCACATCATACTGATTGTCAGATCCTAACACTGCTAAATCATCTGATTTGTGACGCAAAGACTGTATGTTGAGGTGAAGAAGTTTGAAATTAAATTTAGAGATTCTTTCTTTATTGGGTACGAAAAAACTGAGAAGTAACTGAGCTATTGACAGTTGCCAATTGATTTGTCTTTACTACTTTTAAAACAATATTATTTGTGCTACTCTTAGAGAGTATGTAATTATTAATCAGCCCGATTAAGGCATTTCGTCTTATTTGAACATTCCATTGAAAGTTTGTCGATGTATTTTTGTTTTTGTCTGTAAAATTTACAATTGCCTTACTAATAAACTCATCAATCTTTTCGTCCTGCATATGGTTTCGTTCAGTGAGAATGTGTAGATTCGTTACTTTACTGATTGGCAGCAGATATTTCAAGCTTTTGCTCAGTTGTCTGAAATTTGAAACGTTTTTTGTGCTAATCATAACAATCACATGGTCATTTTTACCGTATTGACGTGAATGTTCAAACAGAGTTAAAACTAAATCTAAAACATTTATGCTCGGCTTGACCACACCTTCTACGATAAAATCTCTTTGTGATAGAATGGAATATACTAAAAAAGATGCATGTCTTGCAAACTCATCGCCGAAGACCAGCACTTTAGATTTATCACTACCTACATGTCGTTGTTCTAAAGCTATGGGTTCACTGATATTTAGTCAGACTTAGGTGAAATATATGAGCAGGAGTACTGCACTACATTTAATGAAGGCTTGATTTTATCAAATCTGAATCAATCTTGATATGGGAGTAAAATATTTCTCCTTCTTTTAGGTACCTACTATGGCAAAAAGTAAAATACATTTCTCACCGTTTTCATTGTATAAGATTAAAAAATCTGAAAACCCTTGAGAGGGCTGTTAAATATGTAAAAGAAGACTTGGTTTAAACAGATATTGAATCTCATAAATCCCAATGCTGCTTAGATAATTTGTGTCTAAAATCATGTTGATGTTCGCATTGAATTTCAAATGAATGGAGATAAGAATAAATTACGAGATTACGAGCCTTGGCGGATAATGAAGCACAAAATAATACACCGCCTAGTACAATGTAACATCTTATATAGTTTGTACTTACCTCTCCCTAAAAAATGCAGCAGTAGGATAAGAAATAAAACTTTAGCTTTAATCCAGTTTGCAAACAAATAATATTGATGTATGCTGTGAACTGAGTTTAAAAAATCAATAAAAATGATTGTAGCCTATTGTATAGGAGTATATCGTATTTTCTACCATACTATATGTCTTATTTTTAACAATACTGGAGTATCCGATAACTTACCGTCCATTATCTCTTCCTACACCCCAAACACGAATTGTATGGATTGGTTGAGTATTAAGAACTGTTAAATTCTCAGGATCGAACAGCTTCAATGACCCTTCGTCTAGATCCATAAACAAATCCTTGCCCTAAAATAAATCATGAATAAAAGCAATAAGTAAACGAATCGCATCGAGTCAAACGATGATGAACGTAAGACTTCTAGAAAACACAATACCGCACACGTAATGTTAACGCCAATCTAGATTGACACAAAAGTCAATGAGTTCTTATGACGGGGATGTGATTGTTAAAGCTATCTCTTATGCATATGTAGCCATACTTACATCTCCCCATCTTCCGACACTATCCAAAATATCATTCTTTCCTAATGACAGATCCACAATGCATTTATTTACAGCCTTGCTACTCCTTTCTGGAGTTAAATCTTCCTCTGGAATCTCCACCCAACCTAATGATCGCACAGCAAATCGAATTGGACGTTCCTTCTGGTCTTGATCAGCTTTTGAAGGGAAGCTCCTCCTCCTAAAATAGACATAATTCCATGGCTTATAAAGAAAATAGATTTCAATAATTATATCAGGGTGGAGAACTATTACTATTTACCACGACACTTCAAAACACATTCTGACATTGATTTAAGTGTCCCCTTGTGTTGATTTTGTATTCTTGAGAACAGTGCATTTTTTTTTAAATTAAGCAGCAGATTAAAAGTTTTTTCACCAGAAACATAAAATTTACGTAATTCTGTCCTGAAATGTAGTCATTATGATTAGCAGCTATATCGTTGGTTTCTTCTTATTGTATATAAAAATTTTCCTAATTGATTACTACAAAATAACACATACAACAGCGCCGACGTCACTAGAATATACAAAGCAGTGCGAGGCATGCCTCTGTGTCTTGACGTTAGTTAGAATGTTACTGAGTGGTCAGCTGACATTTGTTGTCACGTTATGACGCACTGAACTAACATGGAAAATAGTCTAAGGAATTACGTGCAATTATATTAGCTCAGGTCTTCCAAAATGTGTGCAGCATAGAAATATATTCAAACTCAAAATGAAGGCTACTTACTTCAAAGCCATTTCTTCTTTCCTCTTCCTATCGTCACTTTCAAGATCCAATGCTGAACTTGTGGTGCTTCTAGTTACAGAAAAGTTACTCTCAAACGAAGAGATCAAATCACTCTCTTTCAAATCGAATTTTGATTCCGATTTGGGTATGCTGTCCTTGCTAGCTACTGGTATTTCTCTTTGGATTGTGCCACTCTTTATATGCCAATAGTATGGTCCGTCTTCGTCTATATTAGAATAATTAAAAATTAAAATTATTCAAGGGATAAGCGTTTAGTAGAGAATCTAGTTAAAAATGACTAAGCCGGTCTCATTTCAACTTATGAACTACAGTCAGTTCAAATTCAAGAAAGAGTAAAACCATTTATCAACGTATTGTGCCTCAATATAGCCAATCTAATACTATATTCGCGCGACCGAAAGATTATATCATAGGTGAAAATGAGATACTGTTGTGTCATCTATGAGCAGTGGTCACATCAGGTTAGGTGGCTACAGCGTCATCTATGAGACACTCACCTTTTGAAAAGAATATTTCTAATTATTGCGGCCATAAACTATGACAAATTCACATTCAAGACGCTTTAGATTCTCATATCATCTCGGATAATATTTCCGACGCACGAATATACAGGGTGACTTCGAAGTTGAGTCATTTATTTTAACAGTGAGTAGATCTGATCAAAAGAAATGTTTTTTTCCTTTACCATTTTTCTGGTAAAATTAAAGTAACAAAGTTATAGCCCTTTGGAAGTTTGAGTACCGCCCTGCCTATTATATGCTCGTGTTTGGCGACAACGGATATAATCCGCCTGACCGGTTCATCGCATCGGAAACAAAAAAGCGAAAGAATTTGAAACGTTTATCACGATGTTTTTCGTCAGTCGATAACGCGTAAGTGAATAGTAGTGTGTTGCGTGGTTCAAACGAAATCAAAAATGGCACATGTTTACGAAAATGCTGAACTTGTGGACATGATTCTTATTTACGGGGGGGCAGTCTTTACAAAATGCTCCCGGATGCATCACGGATTTATGCGAATCGGTTTCCCAATCGAGTGCAACCAACCCCTCGTGCCTTTGTTAATGTAGTACAAAGGGCTCGTGAATCAGGTGACTTAAGACCTCACAGGTGAGGGCATGCTGCTCCAAGACCGCACGATCAAATACAGGTCCGCACTGAAATACTTGTCGGGAGGATACTTTATTAAACAAGGTAACATTTTTTTTTTATTTTTTTTTTATTTTTACACACATATTTTGGTTTATCTTCCTTCTACAATCATTATCTGAAAATTAATGACTCAACTTCAAAGTTTGCATTAGTTTGGCTCACTATTAGCGTATAACACTCTTGGCATTGGATGGACTGAAGTTCATCATTTTTGAATTTGGGCCTGTTCAAATAAGTATTAACCACAGTAAGAGCAACCCTATCCTTGTACCTTCATGTTTCTCCCAACCGGGAGGAAGTTCGTTTTGACAATCCCATTCTTTTTCTGGGCTACATTTGTCAAGATCAGCTTTCTGAGCATATCGTTTGACTGGGATAGCATATAGATCATTTGTAATGTTCCCTACGATATGCGGAATGGCATTTTCATCTTCTTTGTTGTTAGTTTGGTCGCATATACTGCAACATAATAAAAATTAATAATCCTAATCCACGTTATCATATAACAATACACTAACAGTTTTCCAGTATTTTTTTGTTCTAAAATCTATCGGCAAAAATGAAAGTTTCCGATGTTTGAGCTTTAATGGGCTAGCTTAAATCTCTGCGTAGATGTAGATTTTGACAGTTGAAATATTTCAAAATTCAAATCAATTTGTAAGGTATTTGCGCAAAGCACTATAATGATAAAAAAATATTTAAATTGGCGTATTTTACTACATTAAGCAACATGTGCGTATTTTAAAAAATATAATTTTCTAGCAAATAACTTATGATGAACTACATTTTTTATTATTTTTTTGTGTTATTACTGTCACTAAGGAAAAACACTTTTTTTTTAACTGAAATGAATTGAGTAGGATCTTGAGCTTAGTAATACTTCTATTTTTAGGTAGTCAAATATGTATTTTTTTATTTTGTACGTGTATGGAGGAAATTGTGATGTACCAAAAATATCAGCTGACTCATTTGTGCTCTGTGACTATCAAAACGTGTCATGGAAAAAAATATGCACACTAAGCAAAAACATCTATCATGTTTACGTACTTTTCCCAAACAGTTGGTCTTTCATTCTTATCCTTTTCAGACATGGTATTTCCGTTCCACTCATTACCCCTACAAAAAACAATATTTGTTGTTGACCTGAAATTCTGACAGTTCTAATCTACATCTTGTTTGGCTAGGGGTTGTTCAGCACACTTTTTATTTTCAATTATAATTATAAAAATTACTCAAGCGTAACATAATGACAAAAACATACAGTTATAAAGCACCAAAATTATATGATGGTTACACTAATTAACGAATACTTCATTACATTGCCTCGTTAATTTTTAACATACTATTTCACATAACATACTAATTTCCGATCATCTAATATACTCGTAGGTGGCATGGTCCTGTTTATACCTTCTCATTTTATGTAAATTTGGATAGCAACTCTTACGAAAACATAAATGCTCATTGATACACCCTTCCATAAAAATAACCTTTCAATATTATAAATAAATACTTGGATGTACATACTGAACTTATAAATAGGCAGTGGTTAGATTCCCATTTAATTTTCTTTCATGGATGTTTATTGTGCAAACAAAATAAGTTCATCAATTAAAAAACGTAAAGTAATAGTATATTCTACAGCTTCATCCGAATGAAAATCTATTCATAACACAAAGCGCAATGGCATATAAATAGAATTCAATAACAGTCAGTACCTTTGTTATATAGAAATTGATTAGTCACAGATGACATATTTTCGATATGTTTGACGTCTAAACTTGAATCAGACCAGTAGGAGGATCACAATTCACTTCCGCAAACGAGTCGAGCAATTCTGGCAATGTTTCGAATTTATATTTTGACTCAGTACCTAAAAGGGTTTCCAGTGTTTCAAAAAACCTGCTATAACTCCAAAACATAGGATATCTACATCTTTGGCACGAACGAATTCAGACAGGCAAATGTTACAGCAAAAGTATTGTTTAGAAATGAGCGAGCTATCATGATTATTGATATTATCTTCCTCGTCTCAATTAAAATAAATAAACAAACCTTTCTGCAAATGATTCATTTTTTTTTTGCGGAAGAATTAACTTCGATCCCCTTCTGAAAACGCCATGCCATCAAGCATTAAGAATCAGCTACGTCAGCCGAACAGTCCAAGAACCCATATAGGATTTTTGCCGATTCTAAAAATGGGAAGATACCGATAATCAATGGTCGATATATCGGTATAATTAGCCTATCGGACGTTCGTTCTTTTTTCGTACATGATCCGGTATATTTTGCTACGTTAACTTTTGGGGAGCACGTGGGCCGTAACGCGACTTTTTAAAACCCTATTTACGCCGCATCAAAAGAAACACGGCTACTCCATCGCAAAAATCTCATGGTACTATTGGACAACAAGCTTGATATGAAACAATAAGCCAATACGAGCACCAGCATCACACGGTCGAACATTCGTTTTGTTTTGACGCAGTGTACGTGTAGTTTGTATAAGAACTCATAACATTTAAGTCACTCTGCATAACGGCAAAAAAAACGCCTTAAGGTGAAGCCGACTTTGTGAAACAAGTTTCAAGAAACCGCTACATACCTGTATATACCAATGTATGCATCTGTTTTTCAACAATTACGACAGTACTGCGGTAGTAATTTTGATGATGAAGAAGACGACAGTTTTGAGTCTACCCATTGATCAGAGACAAGCCAGCACTTAAACTTAAGTCATGACCTCAGCCTGACCTAGCAAATTTGAAAATTGCTTCAGAAAATGTCAAAACCAGTTATTCGCTTATTTTTTCTATTGAGAGACTTGCAGATCAAAAGAAAATCCTTACAGTCTATTTACACCGAATTAAAATTTGAAATTACAATCGAGACGAGAAGATGTAGATAACTATATGTTCCAAGTTTCGTTAAACTCAGTATTTTGAAATTTCAGTTAATAAAAATTCGGTTTCATGCTTCATTAAATCGATTTTTCTAATATGAATCGCACCTTATTTGGTTTATTTTGGCTGCAGCATGCCTAATACTCGATAAATATACCAATAAGTACCACGACAAACTTAAGGAGAACTGTCCTCCCAAATGACAAAAACTTACCTGTATAGAAGTGTCACCGTTTTTGGGATATTGATTTTTTTCTTAAATTTTAAAAAACGAACCTTTTCATCTGTGGTCTTTAGCTGCATGTACAAATAAGGCTATACTTTGTTAATTTTTTCTATAAAATACTTCTAGATAGTTGCTTTATCACACAGGGTGGCGCATCGAAAACGAAACAGACGCATTTACTGGCAGCTCAGTTTTTTTTTTGAAAAACGCTCAGATCCGTCGATTTTGTTTCTGAGGGGGACACAAGTTTGGCAAAACTCACGTTAGCACGTGCAGCCCCCTAAGCGGGGTGACACCACCCCCAAAATCTTAAATGGAAAGGGGGGTCGAGTGATACCTTATTTTAAAGGTCTTTCAATTCTCTTTATAATGATTTAAAATTAATGTACTTCAGTTCAGTAGTTTTGAAGATTTATTGATTTAAAGCTTAAATAAAACTAATACATCATCATTAGTGGAGATCAATACATTTGGCAGCAAAGTAATTTAAAAATGAAGAATGAACTGACCCGTTAGGCAAGTAAATGTTGAAAATGGCCACCATGACTCTCCATGCAATAATAAAGATTTTGGTCAAAACCTTGCCGCACATTTTGCAATATTTGAGGAGTAATTTGAAGGTACTCATTCACAATTCTTTGTCGCAGATCTTCTAATGATGTTGCCATTCAATGGCACCTCTTCTACCAATCCATCGATCTGGAAACGTCTGATCTAAATATTGTCGTAATGTGGTGGGGCACCATCCTGTTGGAAAATCAACCTATGCGCAATGTACCGCCGATCATTCTGATTTTCAATTATGGCTGTTAATGCAGGATCTATGGCGTCTTCCAGTAATTCTAAATACATTTCACCGGTCAAATTTCCAGGTAAGAAAAAAGGACCAACTAAAAAAATACCAGCCCAAACATTTAATTTTTGTGGCTGCTGTGTATGAACCTCATGATAAATTCTGGGATTAGAATCGGACCAATATCGGCAGTTATGACGATTTACTACGCCATTTAAGAAAAAGGAACATTCGTCGGAAAAGCGAAGTGTTGAATAGAAAATGTTCATGAAAACTATGGGCCTTTAGAATCCGTTGGACAGTACGTCGACTAACACCACACACAGTCTCCAATTTGCGGGTACGTAGGATCTACATAAGCATGCTCTAAAACCCCCACTTCTATTGCTTCGTTCCGTATGGGATTTTCAATGTTGCGTTTTTTATTGGCCCAGTTTCCCGAAATTTAGCTACAAGTTCTAGAACATATGTTCGATGCACGTTACTGTTCTCATGTCGCTCATTAAATATTTCTGCTGTTCTATTAGCGCACTGATTATTTCCGAAAAATATTTTGATAATTTCAACTCCTTCTGCTGTGGAATATGCCACAGTTAATTTATGTAATAAAGCGTTACAAGTTAATTTAGCAACAAAGTTTGGTCAAATCAATCGCAAACTATGTACTAAATTCCTATTTAAAATAAGTACGAGATATTTCCTTATCTTTCTTCAAGAAATAACTTTTTTGCTACAATTAAACGCTCCAATAGCTATTTTCAACAACGAAATGTTAAACCATAGGCGTAGTGAAGAAAAGAATTTACTTATTAAGTAAATTATTTTAGTCAAATTTCTTCTGAAAGTAGTACAAACTAATCTGATGTACCTATTAAAGTCTACTTTAAGCTTTAAATCAATAAATCTTCAAAACTACTGAACTGAAGTACATTAATTTTATATCATTATAAAGGGAATTGAAAGACCTTTAAAATAAGGTATCACTCGAACCTCCTTTCCATTTAAGATTTTAGGGTTGGTGTCACCCCCGCCCAGGGGGCTGCACGTGTTAACGTGATTTTTTGCCAAACTTGTGTCCCCCTCGAAAACAAAATCGACGGGTCTGGGCGTGTTTCAAAAAAAAACTGAGTTGCCAGTAAATGCGTCTGTTTCGTTTTCGATGCGCCACCCTGCATAAAAATGCAATGTAGTTAAAATATATTAAGGAAGCATGATAAAAAATAATTATTTTGTATTGTTACTGACTCGAGTCCGAGTTTCAGTAAGTTTCATAAAATCATATCAGGAGCAGGTAATAATAATGTAGCTTTGTACTATTTAGCACGTCACTGATTGGTAACCACTGCAACTTGAATTTAAATCTAATAATTACATTGTACTGTGTGTCAGTCTCAAAAGCAGCTATCACTTTTTTTTATTCCAAATAGTACGTGTGGTGACTTTCTTAAATCTGTATTCAATGAGCAATCTTTTTATTCAATATAATGTAGTTATAGGAAACAATATCAGAAGGTTATAAATCCCAAAATAGTCCTTATTTGATCATGGTTCCTTAATATCTTTTAATTACATTGCATTTGTATATGATAAAGCAACTATCTAGAAGTATTTTATAGAAAAAATGAACAAAGTATAACCTTATTTATACATGCAGCTAAAGACCACAAATGAAAAGGTTAGTTTTTTTTAAATTTAAGAATAAAATCAATATCTCAAAAACGGTGACACTTTTATATAGGTAAGGTTTTGAATTTTGGGAGGCCAGTCCAAAGCTTACCTTTTCTTTAAGTTTGTCGTGGTACTTATTGGCCACCCTGTATAAATGCGAACAACAGCCTCGTCTCGAAATATTTCGACAAAATACCCAGTCAAAAGAATGATACTACCAATAATCAAATTGGTGTATTACTTTGGTTGCTCAATTCAGTATAAAGCATGTACATTCACTTCGTAATTTGTACGTCAGTTATAATGGCCGTCATATATCGGCAAATAAGGCCGATATCGCGAAGACGCCTATCGGTATCGGTTGATCCCGAGTTACAATATGGTTCAGTAAAATCGATGAAGCTGTAGAATGTATCTGCCATGTTATCTAAATATTATATGTTACAGATTGAAGAGATATCACAAACCTCCTGTTGTCGATAAAGTCTTGCGTGACAGGGCCCGAGTTCAAATCGACCCCCATGGATCCAACGTCAAGAGTAGCGTACGTTTTTCTGCTGGCCGTGCTCGAAATAGGTCCTTTCACACCATGACCCATGTTGCAGATGTCGTTCAGTTCCTGGTAGATCTCTTCGTAGATATTCTGTTCAGTGTTGGAGTTCAGGGCATCGTCCAAATGATCAGATGGACCGAGCCGATAGTTCGGGTTTTCATAACTCAAAAGACCATTCTCTGCAATTGACAGAATCTTTCTAATATCTAGTTCAGTTCGAGTGATATCAACAACGCTAAGATATTTTCAAATACAGTGAAACCTCTCTTAACGGGCAGCTTCAATAAGCGACCAACTTCCTTGAGCGGCAACATTTTTTGGAACCGATATTTAAACATAGAAAATACACTCCAATAAGCGGGCACTCTAATAAACCGACGCGGGTAGCAATTTTTGCACATAGGACGAAATAATATCTCCTATCAGCGATCGCGAAACTCTAATAACCGAGCAAATGAAGTTTAACCATTACTTTAATATGGCCATTCGGTGATTCCCCGCGAGGTTTCGGGGATTTACAGTATTACACGATCACAAATTGTTGTGTTAGAGGTTAGAATTTAGAGTTATCAGTTTAGCAGTGTTAGTCTTGTTGATTGTGTTTTAGTGTGCACTTTTAATTTATAATAACATGCCGCCGAAAAAGCTGAAGGCTTAAACATCGATAAAGCATGTTTTGAATGGTTTATTAGTGCTAGAAATCGATGAATACCCATATCTTGGGGCCTTGTAAAAGAAAAAGCAAAGAAAATTGTACAAAAATATGGTTATCAAAAGTTTAGTTCATCCGATGGGTGGCTTCAAAAGTGGCGTAAAAGAAACAATGTTAGTTTTAAATGCATTTCTCGTGAGGCGGCCGATGTAAATCAAGAGATAGTCGATGCATTTATAGAGAAACTTTCTTTATTGCTTTTGGGATACCAATGTGAAGACATTTAAAAAGCCGACGAAAGCGGTCTATATTTTCGTGCGCTTCCGGATAAGACACTGGCTTTAAAAATAAATAGTGTTCGGGGCAAAAATTGTCGAAAGAAAGACTAACCGTATTAGTCTGTGCATGCATGACTGGATAAAAAGAAAAACTGTTAGTGATTGGCAAATCTGCACGCCCTCGAGCATTGAAAAATGTTAACAGTAAGATTTTACCTTTTTTGTGGAAGTCAAAAAAGCCTGGACGACACGCGAAATAATGGGTGAATGGTTAGCCGAGTTGGATTGAAAACTGGGCATTAAAAATAGAAAAATTCTGCTATTTTCATACAATGCTGCATCTCATCCTCGAGACTTACATCGAAAAAATGTTAAAATTATCTTTTTGCCTTCGAACACAACAAGCATGTGCCAGCCACTGGATCAGGGCACCATTAAAAATTTTAAGTTTTATTATCGTAATCAGATTTTAAAACATACTTTATTAAATATGGTTGATGTTAAATGATCCTCCGAATTATAAAAAAAAATTAATGTTTTGGAGGCATTGTACTGTATAAAAACAGTATGGCAGAATGTTAATGGGACAACAATACAAAATTGTTTCCGAAAAGCTGTGTTCAGAAAAGCTGGGCAAGAGGTTCCTCATTTTGACCCCGAGAATGACTTGCCATTATCTGTTTTCGCGGCGATGGTCCGAGCTGCGGATAAGCTGAACATTACCATCGATCGAAATTTAGATGAATATGTTAGCATTGATCAAAACACTCCAACTGAAGAAGATGCTGAGCTTGGACATTTAGTCGTAGAACTAGGTGGTGAATCTAATCAAGAAAATGAGACGGATGACGAAATTGAGGAGATTCAAGAAGAGGAAAATAAAGTAAAAAGCTATGATGAAGCCTTAATTTATATAAAAGAACTGAAAAACTTCGCAAAAGATTCCTATGTTGCCTTTGAACAAATTAAAAATTTGGAATGTCATTTTCAGAAATGTCGTGATGATGCAAAGCAAAAAAAACTTAAGCAGGCGACTATTTTTTCAAACTGTTTCTAAATAAGTTTTCTGTCCTATTGTTGTTATTTAAAAAAAATGTTTTCGCATGTCATCAATACATGTATGTACGTATTTCATTATACATACATATATGAAATTATAAATTATAATTTCATGTACAATGTGTACGTACATGTCTTATAATAAGACTTAATTTAATATATGTAATTATCATATTATACTTTATAAATTCATACTTATAATAGTATGTATGTACATACATATATGTTATCATGTCACTTATACATAAAAAACTGTGCAATTCTTATATTTGTTAGTTTTCGATTAAGCGGTCACCTCCAATAAGCGGGCAAAAAAGCTGGAACTATAGCTGCCCTCTTATGAGAGCTTTCACTGTATACACCTGACACACATGCAGGAGAAATAAGTGAGGAAAAAGAAAAAACTGATCCATATAAATATACAGCAGTAACAGATAACCTGATTTGTTGCTAACTATGCATGTCATCACTTACAGTCACATTTTGTTGAATCACAACATTCAAGTTAACGTAAATTAATAAAAATGTTTTTCTGGATGTCAACATCAAAATACATTGAATAATGCTCAAAGTGTCGGGAACTATGAAAAATGAAGACAGATAAATGAAAGAAACTTAACCTCCGTAAAGTTTCTTACTACACATTGTCAGAATTTTAATAATTATTTAACCATCAGTTTTTTCCAAATAGTTTTAGAATAGTTTTAGTAGAAATAAAAATCACTGAGAAATCGAAAAACATGCAAAATTATTGGGAATGTTTTGGATCAACTTGTAGTAATATTGAAATGTTCAACAAAATTGTGGAAAACTCATGTTAGATAGAAAAGGGGCACCTTCAGAATCTCAAGTGATGTACCCGAGCTTAACAATAAGACATAATTTTATGGTAGTAATTTAGTGAATTTTATAGATGCCAATCAAATATTCGATATAACCTCTTTTTGAAATGTCAACATAACAATGTCAATAATTTTCAAAGACCTATAAGACAAAACAAATCTGTATGAGATGCTGATAAGCCTCTCCGTTTTTCCAACAATCACCTTGGTTAAAAATTACCGGAGTACCAGACAGACACGGAGAGGGTTATGAAAAATGTGTACTTTTAAAAATTCCGCTGGAGCGCCAAATGTAAAATAGTTACTTTACCGAGAAAGATGCCCTCGTCTTCGTGGGCCTGCTGAGCCGTGACAGCTGCCATGCCACGGATCAGTGTGGTGAGTAGGGCGCAATAAGGGCTGCGAACATCCGATAAAAAGACGCTACTCAAATGTAGACCTACTGGAGCTCTGTGCAGCTCTCCAAACAACATTCCCAAAATACCAAATCGTTCCTACCTGCAAATAAAGAAAAAACCACCTTTAGTTGTGACCATGCGTTCAATCATGTTAGTTTCAGTGACGCGCCCAGCCGGCAGGCAGTAATCCTAGTCCAGGAAGGAACTTCTCATCTGCTCGGACAAATATTTTTGATTCTGTTTTTTGCTAATCTTATTCAAAAAGGACTCATTTACGAATCATATTGCAAAGAGCAAGATTGCTTTAAAAATTTTATTATGAATGTTTTCGAACAAGTGCCAAGTTGCATTTTTTTTCGCTCCTGTCATTTTTTAGGTTTTTGGATCATTCTGTACAAAAAAATGTTCTTCTGAACCCCGACCGCCCCTATGCTGCTTCTCTCTCTCTCTCACGCGCTCGCGCAGAGTATACATTGACGGCGCACTTAATCAACAATTAGAAACAAAGGTTTACAATTACAAAATGCTTTGGAATTTTGTAAATGAATATCTGAAGAATATTTAGAAAGTTTCGTTATTTACTTCCTACTACACTACTGGGCGAGGAAATATTGTAATCGCGAAAAACTTCGGAAATGAGATACTATGTTATTTGGACGTTATATCACATCACATCACGAAAAATCAGGTCTCATTTTCGTCGGTCTGTCTGTCGGTCTGTCTGCCGGTCGGTCGTCAGACAGTCTGTCTGTCCGCTAATCCAGGTCCGTCTATAACTTAAGAAGAAATGCTCGAAAAAAAGCCAAACACGAAAAAAATCAAATCGCTCAATACTCGTCTTCACGTTTCAGAGGGTCCTGAACATTTTCTGAATAAATTTTGTGGGGGTTCAAATTCGGGCTTGCGGGTTGTAGGGGGTGGAGGAGGATATATGAAAAATATTTGATCTTAGTATATTTATAAGCTCCCAGCTCCGGTAATTCTATCAGTCATATTTCACACATCATAACTCGCTACACCGATGCCGCATATATATGGAAAGGGACAACGTTGCCAAATGGACAGTAACTTACCTGACCGGTCTGAAGCAAAAAAACATTTTTTGGGATATATTTGAAAAATTGGTCAATCATTCCTTGAAGCAATTTGAGTCCTGGTTACATGCGGATTCATATAAATGAGTCCTGTTTTAATAAGATTATAAAAAAACCGAATCCAGGATGACGCGATACGTGGATTCGCTAACATGTCAGTTTTTGAATGACCCATCAAAGGAGAATACATGCATGGTAGAACCGCAAGAATGCAAGAGTTTGGTGAGGCAATCCATGGATTGGTGCATAATGAGGGCCATGCAGTGCATCGAGACACAATACTTGAAAATAGGATCAAGTGGCGCTGTTCTGACCCATTCTAATTTTTTTATTTTGACATTTCTCGAACAATTCAACGCGTCGGTTTGGCAACACATGGATTTTTTTCGGAAAACGATAGGCTCTAGCTACAATGCAAAGCTGCAAGCTTCTCTTCAGGACGAGCAAACATTGTCACGAAGGGTGACGCAGGTGACAGAGATGTCGCAGTATTAGCCAAATAGATCGCATTTTGTACTCATTATCTTGTTTAATCTGGCCCTCCAGGTTTTTTGAGCTCTGAATGCGCCATTTATCTCACAAAAATCAATTCCACTAATTCGACTTACAGTTTATTAGGTTTGACAACCCGCACATCGCCCACTTAAATTGATGGAACACTGGATTTAGTGTACCTTAATTTCAAATTAGAATAATAAATTTTGGATCTTTGTTGAATTGTGTGTACAGAGTAAATCTTCAAACAGGGGTACACCGACTAGCTTTTATAAGCCGTCGGCCACACCTGTATTATATTGCAATAGGATACAACGTATCTTCTCAAGCACCTACATCTTGTCAACTTTGAAAATTCAGGGTCCACGGAAACTGACGTGCTACGATTGAGCGTAGCATTTTCGAAGGTAAGATTTTTTTATCTGATCGACTTTTGCGTGTACACAAGAAAGTTGGTATGAAACATAAATACAACCGCAATCGACACAAAATTTTCCTCATATTACGTATTTTTGAGTTGTTAAAGAGTCAAAATCAATGACACCACTATTATACTGAAATGAAATCATACGCTTTATAGTTCGTAGAAAGTTGTAATGTTCGGAAAGTTCAAGTAGCATAAAATGTAGGGACAACCTTTCTACGATGTAAATCAGCTGACTCCTTACATAATTTAACCTACAGTTGCTATGGCAAAGGAAAACTTTCACAACACTGTAATTTACCTTTCAAACACGGCCTATTTGTTTGTGGGAAGAAAAACCACAACAGCTTAGTGAAAATCACACCCGTCTTATTCGGTCGAACGCCTGCAAAGTCCGCAATCCCTCAATGCACTTTTCATACGTGACTTTTCCTCAGAAAACCGCGTTTCAAGGGAACACTTAGCAGCGTTCTCGCGACCCACGATCGATGACTAGCTACGTTCGTTTCATAGTTTTTCCCAGAAGCGGGGTACGCCAATTTGATGGGATCGTAGACCTTTATTGCCTAGATGCAGTAGAATGGATCGATTCCCTAAATTCACCAAGCCGTGAGAAGAGAATAATATCGACCCCCAAGTTTCTTATTGTAGGGTTAACATAGGGTTTCCCAAAGTGATGGTCCACTTCTGTCCAATTCTGCGCATGTTGCAAGTGGTCCCTATATACAGGGAGCCAATAAGATGCCTGGCCAAACGTCAGGGGATAATTTCTTGAGTAATTCTAAGAAAAAGATTTACTAAGACATAGGTTCGGAACTTTTTCGTGTTCAATACAGTATGACAACTTTTTTTTTTCGTACAAATCCTAACAAACGTTTAGCCAAATTTGTTAATTTTTTTTTGAAATCAGAAATATGACCGAAATCCTAGATTAAACCGTGGTTTTATTAAGCTTACTTCTTGATTCTCAAATGATTATGGTAAGACCGTACATTTTAAATTCCAACAAATCTTAAAGCTGGCTAAAGAGGTATATATGTCTGTCACGAAAAGAAAATACAAAAGAAGTTGAACACCCGGTATCTTGAAAACGAAGCATTACCGGACACACATCATACATCTCAAAATAACATATCAATCTCTCGTAGGCATATAGAAAACAAAAAAATGGCGTCAGATAGGTGGACTCTGCACTTCCCATGCAACGGAATATGTTCAGGACAAACTAGACCATCTGAGGAAAAAGTCAGTCAAACAGGTCCATACAATTAGTCCATAGATTCTTTCCCTGTCTTACCGGTAGTGCATTTGGAAACGTCGCCTCTCCCAGAATACTTAACTCAGGCAGACGTGGCACCGTGGTAGCGTAGAAATACGTGTGACTATACTAGAACACTCATCACGGTCGGCGCACGTTTTCAGGGCTAATGTACAGAGAAATCTACGATGTCTGAAATATGTTTAATAGTAGTACCAGCACCAACAAAATAAGATTAACCCTCCTCACCCCGTTACAACCCCAACCCCATTTTTTTACATCTAACAGATTGTCCAAAAATGGTCAGTATATTCTGAAACGTTAAAAAACGAAGTTTGAGCGATTTTTACTTTTTTCGTTTTAGGCCTTTTTATCTGCCGCCACTGGACCGATTTTCAAAAACCATCTTTTGCTTCTTTGGCATAGTAGTAACATTGTATAAAAATTTCATCGAAATCTGAGCGGTACTTTTCAAGTTATAGGCAGTTATAAGATTAGCGAATAGGCTGACAGACAGACAGACCGACGGAAATGAGTGACATGGTTTTTCGTGATGAGCATGTCATGTAACATCCAAAAAACATATCTCATTTTCAAAAATTTTCGCCATTACAATACTTCCCCACCAGTAGGCGTGTGGAGTAAAATCAATGCGGCAAGCTCCTACAAAAAAACTTCTATGGGGCTCTCTTACGGAGATACAACCCCCTAAAGGACATTACTAGAAACTGGTTTTTCTCGAATAAATTTTGAATGACATCGTAAAACTCAAATAAATTAGATTAGTGTCATAGAAAACCGGTATCATACTAACCACACAATAATATTTTTCGAAAGCCTGACCTTCAAGATTAAAAAAAATGTGACCTTGTTCGTCATCGATGAAATTGACCGTTTTTAAGAAATGCACTCGTGTTTCGGTACAGTTCTATTAATTTTGACACTGGATCCAGTATAATGTTTACGCTATTTTGGAAATATATTAATTATGATAGATTCGCAATTAGCGGTCCAAAAAAATCTCAGGATATAAATGTTTTGATCACTTAATTGAGTTTTAGCTTTTAGTAAAACTTTATGGGGATGGCTGCGGTGGTGGATCAAAAGTATTCTCAAAGACGGATCATTTCTCCAAAATCAAACAATATGTTTAATTTTTCAGTTAAATCATCATACTTTTCGAAAATATTATTTTGGGCCATTATTGTACAGGGTGACAAAAAAATTTGCGAATATGAAATATTACTTTTATTGAATGTTACATGACATCTACGACCCGAAAAGCCATGCCACCAATTTCCGTCGATCTGTCCGCCCTCTATAACTCGGATATAATATAAATAAAAAAAGCTTTTATACTTCCTTTTTCGACCTTGCAGACTCCTGTTCACTTACAGAAAATCTTTGGAATTATACTTAAGTTAATCTACTCGACATCATTTTTTATAAAGAGAATCGCCCCATTAACACCTAATTCATCTGTTAATCGATTATTTTATATTATTGTGCACAATACTTCGACACTTCATCAATCTCTATAACTAACTAGCGATGTATAACTAATAGTTTTTCGAATATCGTCAGATAGATACTTTTTCGAAGCTTTTACTTCTCGAAACTAGATATGAGAGCCTTTTGTATCAACTAGCACGTTTGTATAAGTAGGGTTCAAGAGAGCGCGATATATGGTTAGTATAGGGAAGGCGAGGAATAAAAAGCATCCATAGCAGTAAGCGGGAAAATACTATTGCCGCGAGGACATCAAAACATTTTAATCCCGATTCTAATTTATTCAATATTTACGGTTTTGCTTTTGTCTTGAGTCCTTG